CGGACCACTGCTCTTTCCTCCTCCCATGGCCAGAACGCTGTGGGAAGAGCTCCTGCAACAGCGAAGGCAGGTGCAAGAGGAAAGTCTTAGAAGAAACACCTGTTAACATTCCACGCCTTTCACAGATAATCTTGGGGATCAGCTCTAGGGTAGTAGTAGTTGGGCTGTCTTCCCTGCTCACTATGGCCTGGAGGGCACAAAGGCCACAGGAACAGAGACCTAGGGTGCTAGGCTGAAACAGCTCCATCTTCTAAGACTTCTGGCTCCAGCCATGGATTGTCTCAGCACCGTTCAGGGGGGCTCAGGATATTTTGTGCTTGTCAGATCTTTTTTTTTTGCTTGTCAGATCTTAACAGCCCATCTAATTCCTCCAAACAGGAAACACTTGGCCTAAGAGACGACCTCACTTTCCTCTCAGACATGGTGCTGTAGAGGTGAAAAATGTGGGCCTGGGCCTGCTTGCTCCTGCCAGGCATTAGTGGACCCCACAGCAAGCTGAGAGGGCCCTTTACGTAGGTAAACTGAATTTAGGAACTGTACAATGATGTGACCCAAAGTCAGAGCAATTCCTGGGAAAGCACTGCTTCTTAGTCCTTCCCTTCAGGTGGTCTCTGCGGGCATGAGGAGCAGAGGTGTCTCCACTGAGTCACAGTTCATGCTGATAACTGGGTTTCCCAAGCACCAACCCCAGAGAGAGCAACTAAAAAACCAGACTCCAGGGACATGCTCTTGGGACCTCAACTGTTAGGCTTATCTTGGGTAAACAAAGGCAAAAGGCAGCCTCTCATTGGCTCTTTGTACAAACCAACTCCTGCCAGTCTTGCAAATTCCCAATTAGGCACCAGAGACTTAGGACTGACACTAGACCACAAACTCAGATGAGCAAGTACATGGCCAGATCTGGACACTGACTGGTGGAGGTAGCCAGGCCATCAGCATCTTTAGAAATGTGACAGTACTGAACATATGCAGTTATTGAAGTCATCGTCACAGAAAAGTGCACTAAACCTCAGTCCTGCTCACAGCCAAGCCCCATGTCAGCCCCTCTCATGTGGGTAAGATAGTCCCTGTGGGCTGGGGGTATCAAGCCCAACATTCTCCTTGAGAGACCCTCCGGTCCTGCACAACCCCACGTGCCTCAGTCCCCCTGGCATCTCCAGCACTGACTGGTGGTTGAGGGACAAATGTGAATACCTGAAAACTCTTTATAAACTGGAAAGCATAAACTGGTGAAATCTTCATTATGGGAAAAACCCAATTTCAGTATTCACTTTAATTCTTCAAGGACAGCTAGAAATTTTCTTCCTTTAATAAAAAAATCCCAGACATACTTTGAAGTCCTAGAGTAAATCGGCAACAGAACAAAGTGAATGCCCCCCAAGGGGGCGCTGTGGACCCAGCATCACCAGGAAAGCTCCAGGCTTCAAGCCTGACTTTGTCAGGAGCCTGCCTAAAAAATAAATTACAAAAAGGCTGTTTGGGACAGACACAGATGAAGTGTTTTTCCCCTCAGGTGCAGCAGGCATCGGGTAGACTACAAATCAGTCCGTGAACTGGCTGCCTTGGGAGCGTATTTAGGCATCAGTTCATTAATCTTCCGGATGTAGTCAGACTTTTCTGCACAGCCTTTGCACGTCTCTCCCCAGTCGTCCAGGATCTTCTTTAGCTCTTTAACTCGAAGCTTCTTCAGGTCTACTGTGCTCAGGTCGATCTGCTTGTCTGGAGAGAGCAGGGAGAATAAACAGCTAGGTGGGAGAACAGCAGACCCCAGTAGTCCCGCACATCCAAACCATCCCTTAAAACAAGCAGCCCTACTGATCGCAGGGAGACACATGCAAGTGTGTCAGTGCCCACAGCCCCCAAGAGAGAGAACTAGCCCAGGCCCCTTCACCAGGAAGGTGGGTCTCATGCTGGCAACGTCCACCACAGACATGCAGGTGTCACCAGGGACAGGGATGGAGGCCATGTGGTCCTTACAGGAGGAACCTTATAGGAGGAATGTGGCTCCCACTCCAAGTGCCTCTTAAACAGTCACAGTGCAGCTGACACCACTGTAGAATAAGAGCTCCAGGGTGACAGAGCAGATAGATCCCCTAGCCTCAACTGCCCAACACAGACCCTGGTCGGGCCCTTGAGTTAGAAGCTTACTCTTCCACGACCACTTGTGCCCAGAGAGACCCTGAGTCATCAGGACTGAACCAGGATCACTCTCAGAAGACCAGTTATCCTTGACACAAGTGGGCGAACACAGCCCTTGGACACTCAATTCACAATAAAATATGTTGGTGCTGTTTAAATTTTACAGAAGAGGACAATGATTCCTGGCCCTGACTCTTTCTGAAGACCTGAACTGTTTTTCCCACCAGAGACTTATTCAGCAAAAGAGATGCTGTGCGCCCATAATCTTGGGCCTTCTTGTTGGGACACAGCCATTCTTTTTAAAATAATAAAGATCGCTGGACCTTCAGAGCTTGCAGTCAGGACAAGCCTGTTTTTTTTTTTTTTTGCGGTACGCGGGCCTCTCACTGTTGTGGCCTCTCCCGCTGCGGAGCACAGGCTCCAGACATGCAGGCTCAGCGGCCATGGCTCACGGGCCCAGCAGCTCCGCGGCATGTGGAATCTTCCCGGGCCGGGGCACGAACCCCTGTCCCCTGCATCGGCAGGCGGACTCTCAACCACTGCGCCACCAGGGAAGCCCAGGACAAGCCTTTTAAAGGCAAGTCAGACTACATCCCTTCTCTGACCGAAAACCAACCTTCTCATCTTCCCTCAGACTAAAAGCCAAATCTTCACCAACTTGCAAGGCCCTCTGTGACCTGCCCACCCATCTGTCATGCCACTGGCTGCTTTTGCACTGCCTGTTTCCTCTGCCTGAAATGCTCTTCCATTAGTTATGCCCTTGGCTAATCCCCCACCTCCTTCAAAGTTTGCTGAAATGTCACCTCCTTGATGAGGCCTATTCTGACCTCCACCCACCATGATGCAAGGTGAGTCTGTGCACTGCCCCCCGCCCCCACCATTTACCACCACCAACCATGCTGTAAAACTCACTCGTGAAGGCTCTAGTTTATCACGTGCCTTCCCCAGCTAGAAAGTAAACTTCATTAATGCCTGAGCAAGGAGGGGGTTCAGTGTCAGTTAAATAGGGCCACACTCACCGTATTTTAGCTCACAGATCTGGCTGTCCTTCTTCTTGAGCTTCTCACAGATCTTCTCCACAGGGATGTGGTGGGCCAGGGGCTTCGACACCTCGTTGATGATCTTGGTGGCTGCATCATCTGTGGCCCCAATGTAGTAGCACTGCAGCAAGAAAGGACAATGGCCTTCAGGAGGTGCCACTTGAGAGCTGTCTCCTCCAAAGCATATTGACATCTGAAAACATCTTCTTTCTCTGCCAGGGCCTCATTTTCCCATGCCCCGCCTGTACTGGCAGTCAGATTCAGTCAGTGTAAACCCCAGGCTCTTAACACACGCTTGGTCCCAGAGCTGACAGCCACCAGATGAATTTAAAAGTCACCACGGTTCAAACCTTTAAACAGAAAGACAGACAAACCAGAGACTGCCAGAGAAGTTAAAGCTACAAAAGCCATCGTTTCATTAGGGCTCTTGTCCTCAATTCAGCCTTGGCCTACCCTGGGCACACTTTGTAATCTTCTACTGCCCTCACACATGCCAAGATTACTCTGGCCTCTGGGCATTCACACTGGCTATTCCCTCTGTCTGGGATGCTCTTCCCCTTTCACAGAAAAATTCTTTTTTTTTTTTTTTTTTTTTGCGGTACGCGGGCCTCTCACTGTTGTGGCCTCTCCCGTTGTGGAGCACAGGCTCCAGACACGCAGGCTCAGCGGCCGTGGCTCACGGGCCCAGCCGCTCCGTGGCATGTGGGATCTTCCCGGACCGGGGCACGAACCCGTGTCCCCTGCATCGGACTCTCAACCACTGCGCCACCAGGGAAACCCTCAGAAGAATTCTTGACTACTGTCTAAATCAGCACCCACTCATTCCATCCTGGTCCATTTTCTGCATGACACCCATCCCACTGCATCATTTGCCTGTCATTGCTCTCCCCTGGTATTTCCAGTGCCCAGCACACAGTAGGTGCTTAATCAGTACTAAGAGGGTAACATCACAACTGCAGAATACAGAAAGCCCTTCAGTCCCACATTAGTTAACTGACAGAACACCTGGCCTCCTGAATAGACAAGTGGGCAGGGCCTTTTACTGGGAGGCCTGTGAAGCAGAGGGTTAAACACTGGCCAGGGCCAGCTTGGGGAGGGTCAGACAGCTACTCACCAACCGATTCTCTTTGCCTCTTGCTTCACGGCAGAACTTTATAAGTTCTTTTTCAATAGAGGCTGGTGAGAATGTGACATCTCTGTCTTTGAGGTCCTGGTAAAATCTTCCCAGATAAGAAGTACAAACTGGAAAAGAGAGGGAAGGGAGATGCTCAGCAATCACCAAGTTGCACCGCAATTCGCCAGGAGGGAACTCCGTCAGCAATTTTAATAGGAGACACGGAGAAAGGTGAGTTTTTCCATCACCGATTTTCTCAGGTGCCCACAGGTAGACAGAACCGCGCTCCGGGTTGCTGGGCCCCCTGGTTCACCCAGGGCATACGGGGAACGAGCATCACCCAATGACCCACAAACGGCTCCTCCCTGCTTTTTCCATAAAGTTTAAGCCGAGACTGAACACGTGTCCTTGAGATGGACTCACTGTGACCTCATAAATGGACAAACTGGAGGCCGAAGAAAACAGCGATCCAAATGCTGCTCATTTCCAAATACAACACCGAACTCCGAGGTGCGGCTTCGCAACCCCATCAGACATGGCGCGGTGCCCACGGCCGGCCCTCAGGACTCCCCACCCCGGCCAGGGCCGCTGCCGGGAGCCCCCTGGCCGGGAGCCTCTGCCCAGTGATGGGAAAGAGCCAAAACTCCAGCGTTATCTCAATTTCAGGCCAAGTTTTCTGAACGATCTAGTCCCAGCTTCTTCGTCGGACCAATGTTTTGTAGGCCCAGGAAATGTTTCCTAAGAGGCCCGGCGTTGGCCCTTCCTCTGGCGGACCCCGCTGGGGCCGGCCGCCCCCGCCCGTATCAGCCCCTGCCACTGGGCTGCTCAGTGGTTTGGTTAGGTTCGGCAGCGCCGCCGCCAGGCGGGCCACAGCGCACGGACCCCCAACCCCGCAGCACCTTCGCAGTCGCCCGGCCGCAGCGCCCGGCTGCCCGGCAGCACGCTCAGAGCCAGCGCCACCGCCAGCCCGTGCGCGGCCCACATCCTCCTCCACCCGCCGCCGCCGCCACCGCCCGACTACACCGCGCCCGCAGAGCCGCGCTTCCTCCAGGTCCAGGCCGCGCGCCGTGGCTCCCCATTGGTGGGTGCCCTCCGCGCCCTCCCACACACCATGCCCCCATTGGTCCACGTGCCTCGGAGCCCAGACGGGCGGCTCCACGCTGCCCTTCCCCATTGGCTGGTGGCGTCGCCCGCCCTCGGCCCCAGACAGCTGTCGTCCGCTGATTGAACCAGGGCGGCCGGCAGGAAGCGGCCGTGGAGGCGGCGGAAGCGGCTCGGGCCGCCATCTTGGGTAGGTGACCGGCAGTGGCTGAGGCCGAGTGTTGCCGGCTGAAGTCCGGTTAGGTGCTGTACCGCGCGTGCTGAGTTGGCTTGCGTACCCTCTGTTCTGACTGAGCAGGCCCGAAAAACCCACGGACCTCCCCGCCCAGGCCCCGAATCGTGGCGCACGTCAGGGGCTCTGGGGTCAGCCGTAACCCAACAAGGCAGGGACGGCGGGGGGCCGCAGGCGAGGCTCCGAAGAGGTTTTTTTTTCCTTTTACCTTTTTTTAAAGGATCACGTAGGCGGGGGGGAACCAGACTTTGGGGAGCCCCTGCGGAGGCTCTGGCGCCTGCGAGGCCGGCGGGCCACGTCCGAATTGCCTCAGCAGCTCAGGCACCCACCCGCTTGAGCCCCGGGTAGCCGGAGCCCGCCTCGCGCGGGCCGTCAGGGGTACCCGGGCCGGGGTGGACACTCTGGGCTGGAGCGGCTCCCGTAGGAAGGGCTCTCCTCCGGGCTGCCTTCCCAGAGCTCAGAGAGGCACCCGGGCCAGGGTTGGTTGCGTGGCTTTGGGATCAGAAGCATCCCGCCTCAGAGTGGGGAGGTCGGGGGTTCGGAGGCTTGTCCCGCACGCTGGGAAGAGGTGCCCCCCCTTTCTTCACAAGCCTCGGAAGCCTGGCCGAGGTGGCTGGCGCGCCGCCTCCTGCTTCCCACTGAGCGCTCAGGGCCCTTGGCTGCCCTCATTTCCAGTGCAGGGCTTGGCTCCCTGTCTTTGAAGGCAGGACGTGGGAAAGGTTGGCTCTGCGCTCAGGGCAGAAAGGAGATTTCTATGGGCCTAAAAGGGCTTGGAGCCCAGCGGCAAGGGTTGGAGAGGGGCACTTGCGCTGCTCCCAATTCAGTGAATTCAGTGGGTCAGTATCAGGTATTCATCTTTAATTCACATCACAGCAGTCAAAGGAGTGGGGAAAGGGGGGAAATAAGGTGGCAGATATTTACATTTAAAATTCACATTACTTGTTGGATTTAGAACATGCTACCACAATATATACAGTAAAATACCTTTTGGGACACCAGTACAAATTTTTTTTTCTTTAACTTTGCTTTCTGGTACAGGTAAGACCATTTTTAAGTCACTTCTTATTTTAAACATAAATACACAAAAGAAATGGTTAGAAGTTTTCTTATTTTAAATAAGCACAGAATGCCAGAGGTTAAAAACACATTTATATAGGGCTGAATACCAAGTGGACATCACACTCTATACATTTTTTGCTCAAATTCCTGTACAAATACACAGCATTCAAATAGGTATTTACAAATAAGCTTGAAAGAATGAAAATCAGTATTTCACAATCTTTTCAGAGGATTCTCATCTCTTGCTTCCCACTTCCCTTCAGACTGGCTGATTCTCCAGTGAAAGGAATTTGGATTATGTCCTTTTCATCGAATTAGGGAAAATGGAGAGGGAAAACAAACTGGGCTCACCCTGTATAAGGCAAGGCCATAAATGAACCCACGTTCCACTCTCTACCCTCCCATGCCACCAGGTGGAGAAGGTAGATGTTCTTATGTGAGGACTGCCTTGTCCAGGGATTGAGGTTCAGAAGTGCCCTAAAACCTAAATATGCCCTCCTACCTAAGAAATCCAAAGCTAGTCCCCGACTGTCACACTTGTGAACACCAGATGGTCCAGGCCTGCCAGGACTGACCCACTCTGCTTGGAGTCACCCTTGAAGTATCAGAAAGGACCCACAATGGTGATAAAACACTCCCAGACGCCTTGAAGCTAATGCGGCTCCCCATCTTTCCTCATAGGTTACTTGCTGGCATTCCTATTAAACAACCTGGCATTTGTTTACAAGTGAAAAACACCCTAACCGTGGAGGTCAGATGGGCCAGCAGAAGAGGAACTAGGGGAGAACATACCTGCTCAACAAGGAGAAGGCAGCCGTGGGACCATCACAGTTGTGAATGCAAGCAAATAAATGTTTCGTAGACTTTTAAAGTAACTTAGAAGCACCCTGGTAAAATACTATTACCACCCCACCCTATTCCCCCAAATAATAAACCAAGAGGAAAATCGGTGCCCTGACCTGAAAGAGTTTCCTATAAAGACACCACTGCCTTCTGCCCAACAGACGGGAGGCTGGAGAAACTGCCCTCCTGCCCACCCTGAACCCTGAGTGGTGGTCCCCACGGGCCTGGAGCTGAGGCCCTGCACTTGGCTACTGGGAGAGGATAATTCAACCTGTGTGGCTCTCTGCTTCTAAGAGGAGAATCCCTCCCACCCTTTTTACCCAGGAGCTTGCTGAACCTGACCACAAGTCCTCGGGCCTTAGAAGCCTGGCTGGGCAGCCAACCCCACTGCTTGGAGGTAGTGCTGAAAATTCCTGATTCAGGAGCTGATGACAGGTACTCTGGCCACTTCTGAAAGCTTCGAGGATTTCCGGCCCCTGCCACACCCCAGCCTCACTCCTGTATCAGCTTGTTTCTCAACACGTGGCTGCCTGGGCCCTGGGGAGGAAGGTGGTGAGGGTAGTCCCTCAGGTGCTACACCCCCACTCAAGCTCCAGAGGATAGGAGATAACCACTGCAGATCCATGCACCAAGGGGGCTCCTGCAGGGCACGGGGTGTATTAAGAGTGGAGAGGGGCAAAGGGTCAGAAATAAAAACGATGGAGGGAAAAATCCAAGGTAGAGCAGGAGGCAGGGCTGGCTCATGGAAGCCTGGCAGTATGCCCTGGGCATGCAGTTAGGCCAGGTCACATGCCTGAGCTGGCAGGTTGGCCTAGCCAGCCTCTCAGTTGCACACTCCTGGATGGAAGAGGGAGCAGGTGGGCAGACATTTGTGCAAAATGGCTTGTAGCCCCCTTGTCCACCGGTGACGTAGTCAACGTGGTCCTTGCAATCCCTGAATACAACCGTGAGCTCTTCGGTCCACACAGCAAAGGAAGAGGTCCCTAGTGCAATTTCCATTCTGTGCATCCCTTCCCTGGAAGGAGGGCCTGGGCTCCTACCCCGCTGGACCCTGCAAAGCAATCGATTCTGTCTGTGCAAAATCTCCATATAGCTCCACGTGGTCTGGAACTGCAGGAGGAAGAAAGTATCTATCCCACAAAGGAAAAAGGAAAACCCATAGAAATGGAATGTAGAAAATGAAATAAAAAGAGAAGCCACAACCCTTCATGCTGCTGTGGCCTCTGTACATGGCAACACACGAGTTCACGGCAGTAGAATGTAGACTCGGGGTGGTTCTCTCCTGAGTGCCAGGCCTCTCTGGCTCCCTGCGGGGGGACTTGCTTTTCAGACCTGGAGTGGTGGGGCAAGCTGCTCACTGAGGGTGGTGTCCTAGCTGCCTCCCTACCCCTCATTGTTCCCCTCGGCTGTGCTCCCAGGCCATGCGAGCCTGCTCTTCCTTGGTGCTCCCAGGAGGCAGTGAGGCCTTGCGATGCAGGCCCCGAGGCCTCTCGGCCTCCTCGCGCAGCAGCATACCCTCGTCGTGCTCCAGGGCCGGCAGGCGGGGGTGGTAGGGCTTGGGTGGCAGCGCAGGTGGGTCCATGGGGTCCTGAGGGATGACACATCCCGGGGCTGAGTGGCTTCGGCACGGCTGGGCCTTGATGGAGTCCAGAACAGCGGACTCGGAGAGGCTGTAGTGGACGGGGAAGTAGGGTGGCTCAAGATCTTCGTCAGCATTCCAGGCCTGGCTCGGCACGGAGTCCATGGTGTCGGTTCGAGGAGGGGCCTCCAAGGAGTGCCCAAAGTTACTCTCGCTTAGGGAAGACACACCGCTGCTGGCACTGCCAGACAGCGTAGAGTTGCTGCCATCCAGGCCCGACTGGGGGCTTGTGGGGGAGGCTGGGATAGGGTGGAGAGGAGACTGCAAAAGAAAAGGTAAAAATGTTAGAATCCCTCTTTCCAAACAGGCTGTCTGGCCCACCATGGGAAGAGAAGACCAAGAGTCTGCTTATTAATGAACTTTAAAATAATCCTCATCAACAGCATGTTTCTTGTTTCATCATCAGTCACCCCCTAGCTCTTCCCTGCCCCCAACAAGCCAGTGGAGCCCCAGAATCACCTGCATTTCTGTGGCTAAAAAATGGCCCTGTCTTGGCTGCTGGGCAGTTGTGCCCCCTGAAGCCATGTCCCAGGCTGCTGGCTGTGGCTCTGGGGTACAGACAGAAGGGCTGGGTCATCAGGCCAGTTGGCGAGGGTAGAGAGAACCCTAGTGGGCCACGGACCAGATGAGTGCATTCTGCTGCTAAAATCTGTGACAGTCTTTTCCAATTTACAGAAAAGTTAATGAGTTTTTCATAAAGGTCTGGTATCTGATGCTTCTTGCTTTGAGTGGACTCCAGTTTAAAGTGCACCACAGGAACATTCCACCACAGGAATGTTTCTTTACGTCTTGAACTGTGGTGTGTTGATAAGTTGGGTGTTGGCAGGGAACCCCCTGGCTTCTCACTGCTCGTTGCTCACATACTCTGGGTACCACGTGTTGTCGTCTCCAGGACCCTCTGACTTCCCTACCCCCATCACATCTGTTGCAGGACACATTGGTCATCTGCATCCCAAGTGTGGCTCTGACCACCCCCAGCTTCTGCCAGGCTGGGCTCTCAGGGACAGGAGCAGGAGAGGTAGACCTCAGGTGTCTCAGGGGTGATTCTAGCAGCTGAGATGGCTCCTCTCAGCTGGGGCTGTCACCTTAGTGCATTACCTTGCGCAGGGTCCGGGCTGGGAGGGCCGGGGGGGTGTCACCCAGGGGGTGGTGGAAGGCGTCAAAGTGTAGGGAGTAATGACCTGCAAAGGAAACAGAACCAGAGCCTCAGCTGGGCCCTTCTTGCGCTGCACGTCAGCGTATCTTGCAGGGCCAACTGGACAGATGTGAGTCTCCTGCAACCCCTCAGCATTGAAGGCCACAGGAAAACCTCTCTTTTCACTGAAGTTCTCCAAAACACAAGCTGCTGGAGTAAAGATACCCATGCCACACAGGAGGTCAAGAAGGTCGAGTGCATCAGAGCCCATTGAACAACAGACCGCAGACAGTGGCAGCTTTCAGCCTGCTGCTTGGCGACGACAGGCTGGTGAGTATCATGCTTGGCATGGTCAGTTCTGATGTCTTCAGGCTCCACGGTTGGAAAGGCCTCACTGAGCTCACCTGCTGTGCCTGGAAACCTCACTGACCCCAAAGCCCAGCAGGATCCTTCCTGCGGTGGGGATGTTTTTTCCTTGGCTGAGTTGGCTCATCTTCTCAGCCTGGAGGGCTGTTGCCCTTGCCCGTGAGTAGAATCTGAGACTGGGGACTATCTGGGGGACCCGCTGAAGGTCTTCTTACCATGCAGCAGGCTTCGGGGAGGCACTGGGGGGGCCAGGATGCACCCCGTGTGGGCAGACAGGAAGGGCTGGGCCTCGCGGGCTCCGCTATCCAGGCTCCAGCTGCTGGGGGCTGCTGGCACCGCTGAAGGGTGAAAACAGATGGCATGAAGGGAGGTTACTTCTTGAGCCACCCTTTGAGAGAAGTTGTCCTACAGCCTATGGCTTCTGCAGGTGCATACTATGTACTCAGCACACGTGGGAGTGGCACGCCAGCTCCTAAGACACAAAACACTGGCCAAGCAAGGCACTGTGGCCCACAGGGGACCGTGGTCAGGACAGAAGCCACTTAAGAGGATAGCAACAGAGTGAACTGATGTCTGAAGAGTACTCAGGATACGGTAAGCAGAGAGAAAGTGCAGCAAGGAGTGAGCGTCTGCAGCCTCCAGGACTTGCCAGGAGGAGGAGAGAGAACAGAAGAGGTGAGAAGAGGAGAGTCAAACAGGCTGATGGGACTGCAAAGAGAGAGAGAGAGAGAGAGAGAGTGTGAGTGCGCACCTATGGAGAGTCTTAACCAAGGTCAGGATTCAGGGCTCTCCCATAGCCCTGGCCCAATGGGAAAAGCGGGGAGCAGGATGGACGGGCAGCAGAGACTGCCTCTGTCCACAGCTGGTGCACGGCCAGGGAGTGGGTCCTGCCCCCAAGCTGGCCCCACAAAGAGCCTGTGGTAAGTACAAGCTTTGCCCATCCCTGTTGCTTCTGTGCCCACTGGCCGGGCTTGGGAGGCACAGGGGTTTTCTAGGTAAGGACTGGCATTCACTGTGCCTGCTGGAGGAGAGTCTAAAGCCCGTGAGTCATGGCCCAGGTCCAGCAGGGACCACAGCTTCCAGAAAGGAGGGAGGACTGTGGAGCCCATGGGTGCTTTGGGGCATGTAGAGAGACCCAGTTCCTGGCACCCACATGCTATGGATGCAGGGTAGAGTGGGCCCTGGACAAAGGGAAAACACAGGGTGTCCACCTATGGTAAGGAAGAAGTCAAGTGCCAGAATACTGGCCCTTCAGCCACAGCTGGGGTGAGTGACTTTGTAGGTGGGGAGAGGAGAGAAGGAATGGCTGGACCTTGGGGTCCAAGGAGCAGAAGGGGGGCATGTGAATGCTACTGGCCAACTCCTCCTGGAGAACAAATAACATTGACAAGAAATATGCCCTTTCTCTGACAAAGCCAGACAGGCACCAATTCCCTTTTGGGCTCTCCTAGAGAGAGAAGCGGCCTACCCACTGGCTTTGTTCTGAGGCAGTCATAGCTAAAGTGAGCCTGATGAGGCTGGGGTCTGGGTTCTTCCCACTCCAGGTCCTGAGTGGGGAATGCCAGGGCCTAATGGGACCTGAGAGGCTCTGGGAGGGAAGGAGCTAGAGCTTAGCTATTGAGGAGGATGTGGCCAGGAGGGGTTGGACCCTGTGTGGTCCAGGGATAAGGTCATGGGTGATGTCCACCCTAGTCCTCCTCACTGGTCAAGAACTGCTGTGGGCTTGCAGCAGAACACAGGGTAGAACTCAGTGACCTCAACAGCTTCAGCTCTGAGGAGCATGGCTCAGTCTCGTGGGATGGCTGATGGCTGGTGGCAGAAGGGAGGGCGTGGCAGTGACTGGGTAGACAGACACTCAACTGTCCACTGAAGGGAGGAAAGTATTCTGACTCTGGTGAGCACCAGGTGGATTCCACCAGAAGGCCTCCTCAGAGAGCCTGAGCCACCCTAAGAACAGGACAGGCCTATTCCCATGTAGGCTTTCCTCAAGATGCAGCATGAGCTTCCTGGTCCTCAGCACTAAGCCTCCCTCTCCCGAAAAGGAGAAGTTCCATCTCCATAAAAAGCCACCAAACCTAACTGAATAAGAAGCTTGGAGGTGGGTCTGGGCAGCTTCCCCAAAGGGGCTCTGACAGCCCAAGATCTCATGTGCACATCTAGACCCCGGAAGAACTGTGGGACTGCAAAAGTTTACCCACAAGGGCCCAAAGGATCTTGCAGGTAGGCACGCTATGAGGGAAGAAAGCTGGCAAGGCTGCAATGGTGTACAAAAGGTACCTGCCTGAGCCCCTCCGTGTGAACCAGAAATCATCAAGCTCGCCCTGTAGCCTGCTGTTGGTGACCACTGAGACCAGTGAACTTGTGCCATAGAGCACAAGTGCGTTGGGGTTAGTGGAAAATCTAAGATGCACAGACCTATCCTAGGAGAAGAGGGGCAATCCCCACTGTGTCCTGGCCATTTCTCTCTCTCTCTGCTATGGGCCACCACTGGCCTGAGGTCCCCTGTGCACAGTCCACAGCCTCGAGGGCAGGCTTGCTTAGTCTGGGAGTCACTGCCTGGTAAAGAGAGACACATGTAAGTGAGAAGTGGAGTTCTCATGGGACTCAAGATCCCGATGACAAGAGAATGGTGACAAGTATGCACAGTTCCTGCCCTGGAGGATCCAGGTAGAGATTTAGGGAGTTATTACTCTGGCCTATGTGTTCCCCCTAGGCAAATGTCTAGTTTGCTACACACTGAGCACTGGCTTTGTGGCTTAAATGGGCTTGCTCTGGGCTCAGCCTTTGTTCTGAGACAACCCTCTTTCCTTCCCACACCTGGGGGGTGGGCATATCCAGCTTCTTGCTGCAGCTTGGTCTGAAGCCTGAAGCTCTTCTGGGTCCAGTTGGCGTTAAGGTCCTGGTCTGGCCACCAGCACCCAATTGAGCTCTGAGCCCATCTGTGCTCTTGGCTAGATCTGAGATTGCTCCACAACTCAGGTAAAGAGAAGCCACTGTGGATTCTGGCCCTCAAGGCCAAAAGGGCACTCTCTTTTGGGGCACAGGTGCAGGGGTCCAGGTAAGCCGCATGTTTTAGGGATGTGCAACCTTGAGGCTAGGAAGGCATCTTCAGCCAGAATCTCCATGCCCTTTGTGGTTGAGTACCCGGTGCTGATGCCTACCAGGCACTGAGGTCATGGACCGCGTGCGTGGTCTCCTTAAAGAGGACAGAGAGGCATATCCTCCATGATGAGCAAGGGAGGAACAATGACAGTGAGAACAGCAGACAGTACTTGGTGAAGAGGTGCAATGATGATATGACAACAGCTTTGGAGGGACATGTTCTGATGGGACAGCAGGTTGTATTGCTGGGGACTAAGTGTGCCCTGAACTCCAACAGATGGAGGAGAGGGGAGGGGAACCTACAGGGAGCGGGCTGACAGGGGCCGGTTCCGTGTGGCAGGTAGGCTTAGCATAGTCCCCACACAGGTACTGTTCTATGTTAAATGAACTCAGGTCTCCATGTTTGGGCCGGGGTCATATGGTCCAAGTCTGGTTCTTCCTTCAGCTTGCTGGAGCAGAACATAGGGTAAAACTCCACTACCTATAAACAGCCTTTGTTCTAAGTATTGCCTAGTCTCATGGTATAGTTGTTGGACTTGCAATGTGTAAAAAATGGACTCACAGCAGCTGCAGGCCAGAGCGGCTATAGGAGGAACTGAAGTCCCTTGGACAGGACTGTCTCTGGGAAACTCACTTTGCCATGGCCTGTCCTTCCTATTATTCTTGGGTGCATGCTTGGCCACAGGCCTGTTCTGAGCAACAAGGAGAGGTCCCCGTGGGCCCAAGTTGAGAGGGACCAAAGGGGCCACAGGGCCCGCTGAATACTGGGGCTGGTCGGGAGGAGCCCCGGGGAGTGGCTGCCCACCATTTGCATACGGCAGCCCAAGTTTTCATAAAGGTGGGCTCAGGGCAGGTGGCAGCTGGGGCTTCTCAGAGGGTGGGCCCTGGGGAGGGAGAGATACAAACAAACAGGATCCAAACCTTAGCATCAAGCCAGACGTGGGTTAAATAGTGAACACAGGAGCTGGTCAGGACTCTGGACAGACAGACTGGCCTGGGCATTACAGTGTGGCTCAGCCTCGGCCAGCTGGTGCTCAGGGACAAGAGTCAGATGCTCAGGATGGGGATAAACATGGGAGGAGGCCACCTGGGAAAGGGAATTATACCTTTTTCAGCCACAGACAGATTGGGATCACTGCAGGGTTTGCAGGCTCCAACCACTTGCTGGAACAGGGCCCGCTGGAAGTTTGGCAGCTGAGGGAAGGAGAAAAACATCAAAGAGTGAAAACAACCAGTTACACCTTGGGGGCAGTGTTTTGGGCCACAGGAGCCAGGATATTCCAGGATCAGATGGAAAAATCAAAGCAGTGGTACAGCTCATGCTTGAGATGTGTTGAGAACATCAGGCCAGCTGGAAAACTATCCACGCTATCTGGCTCTGAGTTCTGCCATGTGCAGTGTTTGAGGGTCCACCCTCCAGTGTCTCCCTGGGCTCCAGGTTGTCCTGTACATGGCCAAGAAAAAGGACACAGGCACCCGAGGGTATCTAACTGTATCCTTCTGTCCTGCCACGGAGACCCACTGGTAGAAAGGATTTAAGGACCCCTTTCACCCCTGAGCACTGGCAGGTTTAGTCTCCTGGAGATGCCCCACATGCACAGGCCCATGTGAGCACTGAGGGGAGGGAAAGGGAAGCACTCAAGCCCAAAGTCACAGACAGGACCTACTGTTCTGATGGGCAGCTGCCAGGCAGACCTGTTCCTTCCACCTGGCAGGGCTGACCAGGCACAGGGAGGTACTGCTGGGAAAGTCCTGGCACTCTGGGACTAGGTAACAGTTGTTTGGAGGCGACTTTCATGGACCCTGACAGAAGGGCAGGGAAGACTGGACAGGAGGGGAAGGAGCTAATCCCTGCAGCTTCTTGTTCAAGGGCCCCATATAGGATATTTGGAGAGCTGTGCAAATGGTGTGGAGAGTAGTCCCAGCGGGTAGAGAGGGGCTTCAGGTGGATGGATGGATGGATGGATGGATGAAAGAGGCAGAGTTTGCCCCAGTGAGGATGTCCTTCACACACACAGGGAAGAAGGCCATTTTCTAGACCCACGTCCACCACTGCCTTCTTGGGACAGAAAAAAACCAATTTTCTCTGCCAGACTGTTTATAGATGAGGAGTCCAGGAGGCTGGCCAGAAGGATAGAGAGCCACACAAACAATGGTGGTTCCAACCCTGCCACCACTCTACCCACAGCTGTACTCCATCTGGACTGCTGGTCCTCACATTCACTTCAGTTCCCATCTAGGAGCCCAGCAGCCTTCTGAGGGTCTTATGGCAGAATGAGGGAAGCACGAAGGACAGTGCAGAAAGCCTAGCAAGTGCAACGAGGGAAGCCCAGGCCAACACACTTGCAGCAAAGGGCAGTCAGTAGGCTGGCTCCATTACCTGTCCGTTCTCCAGGATGGCTGCTGGATACATGGCACTGCTTGGGCGATCCCGGTGTGTGGGCAGCAGCAACATCATTTCCCGGGCATGGCGGTACTTATCTGGCAGAGAGGGAGAGCCTGTAACCAAGTGAGAACAATCACGCACAGATGACAAGCCACAGATGGAGGGCCCAGAGGGCAGGCATCCCTGGGGCCAAGGAACCAGGGTGGGTGTCCCCTTGCAGTTGGGGTGAGGATGATCTCAGCAAGCATTGGAGAAATGAAGCAGAGCCTGGTGGTTAGATGGTGGCGGGGGCTGCACCTGGCATCCCAGCCAAGGCACACATACTACAGCCTGGGGCAATGCAGACTCCCGACAACGCCCTCACCACGCTCAGAGGCAGATCATGAGGAGAGCTGGGGACTGGAGCTGGGGCCCTAGGGGGCCTGTGCATCCAGCACTCTTGGGAGATGGGTGTGGCCTGGATGCTGAGCTCTCTCAGGGGGCCCAGGCATGGGCCCAGGCCAGCTTGCAATGGAGCCATCACACAGAAACAGACACACTCAGATAACACAGCAGCACAGTTCTTACTTGACACACTGTTTCTACACACTTACCTTCTCCAGACACCACTGGCCCTGTTCCCAGCTGGCTCCCTACCACCTTTTCCCAGATTCCAAGCCTCCAGTGCCTGGCCTCTGCCTTCCTGGCCATCCTACTGCAGACCCAGCCAGACTGGCTGGGGGCCCAGGGCCCTGCACACAGGGGGCTCTCCAGGGTTTCTAAGACTTGCCCTTCAGTGAACTCGGGAGTCATGGAGCTAGTCTGGGACTTGTGGGTCTTTAACCAAGGCTCTTGAGTTGACTTGGTTCATGCCCTTCTCTTGTAAGAACTCCTCTGGCCTGAGGGGCTGTTATGGAGACCAGATGTGGTGTGGCTTAGTCCCCATTGATGCAGGCCACAGCTATGGGCCCAGGAACCTGTCAACCAATGGTCCTCAGGGGGACCTTCCACAGAACTAGTGAGAATAAACTTGCAGGCTTCCCTTGGGAAGATATAATTTAGAAGGCCCTCCAAAAGTGTATCACTCATTGTGCCAAACACCAGCATGTCCGTGTCAAACTAGTGGGGTCTTCTGGACCCTTCGTGGGAGGGTCACCTGGATCCCAGTGCCCCCTACTTGCCCAGTGGCAGCTCGGCAGCCTCTGGCTGATTCAAGTGGTTGAAACCCCTCTCTGTGGTGTTTTCTTAGTGAGGCTCCATCTGAGAGGTGAACCTGCAACTCAGGAGGCTGTGTGTCCCTGAAAACCAGGGTCTCTGGACCTTCCTGTGAGTGTGCCGTCCAGGCACTGTCAGGGTACAACTAAAAAAGGTCTTCTACAGCCAGGCGTTCTTGAGATATGCCTCTTGTACTCATTTTAGTCCAAGGAGATGAGGCTTAAATATGTTGAAGAAGTCAGTATATTAAAAACAAGTAAGAGGCAAAATTATTAAACTTCTTCCACAGCTGGTCTGAGCGATACTGTTTATAGCACCTCAGGGCTGGCTCTAAGACCTAGTTTTAAAAATATCCTTCACTGATAAGGGAATGAGTAAAGTATGCTTTTTTAAAAAACTAGGCCTGAATTGCTACTATTTGGTGATTTTTTCACTTACATCAATATTTTCTTTTAGAACTTATGCTCTGAGGCAACCTCAAAAAGACGGCTGTTAAAGAAAAAAGGAAAAGGGCTCCTAATCCCACTGGTTTCTATAGTGGCTTTCCAGCAAGAAACTCTGAATGCTCCCTGGGTCCTGCTGGCCACATCTCTGGACAGGGGTACCCCCAGCTTGGCGTGCACAGAGACATAGCCCCTTTATACCAACTCAGTTACATCAAACTCATATCTAATACCCATCCCGCACCAGGCATGTGGTTGGAACATGGTGTACCGCCTTGCTCAGCTTGGCCATGGTCCCTCACCTCACGGAGCTCACAGTCTGGCTCACCAGGCCAACCCCAGATCAGCACACTCAATATCCTGATACATGTTGCAGGGCTAGGATGGAGGGACAGCAGCCTGCAGGCCCCAGGGGCTATGCTGAGGATTTGTATCCATGTTATGGAGCCCTCTCTGGTGTGAAAACAAAAGAGTGCTCTGTGCTACCACTAGATTTTCTAACTCTATCATCTTACTTCCTGCCCACTCTTGTCTTCCCTGGGCAGCCAATACCATGGTAGGAGAGAGTGATGGCTACTTTTCATGAAAACATTTAAACACCACAAGGGCTTTTGTGTCACAGGACTTTTGAACTACTTCAGTTGTAGTTTGGTAAACCCCAGGGGGGCTAAGTCCCAGCGTGACTGAGTTATTCAAGGAGGATCAATCAAAATCTCCATGTTTCCTAGCCCCACTCAGCCTTTTGACCACCAGGGGGCGCTGCCGACGTACAAGAGTTTAGACTATGCCTTGCAGGCCTTTCAACTTGAAGGTTTCCAAAGCAACAAGAACCACAGCAGAGTGTCAATGGGGACGGCAAGGAAGGCTATTGGTGACATGACCACTCCTGGGAGTGGGGAAAGTGACTCCAATGCAAAGGACTCTCCAGAACACTCTCCATGAAAGCCTTCCCCTCATCCGTAACATCAGACATAACCCCCCGAGTGGGCCATTCTGTTTCTTCGGTGACCCCAGTGCATCTACTTCACCTCCCACATTTATCTAAAAATATCAGAGTCTTCCTCTATGACACCAGGTCACAGTCTGTATCCTCTCTCACATGTGGGCCTGACACATGTTGGGCCCATGGTTTTCTCCAGATGGGCCTACACATGGATGGCATGGATGTTGTAGCCTAGAAGTGACTTCCTGCTCTTTCTTAATAGCCTCTGCTCTTATCACGATACCCCGCTTTGGGCCCAGTTCTATTTAACCATTTTGTTCACTTTTATACTTCATATCTACTCCAGAAAAGGAGGGAGCTCCTATCAGCCTTTCACTATATGATATTCTAGAGTTTGACCATCACGATAGCTTACCTCCAGAGATGGCGACCGTCAATGCCTTCCCTCCCAAAACACACATGCCACTCCTCACATCATGAGGTGCAGTCTTATTCCACACCCTGGTATTTGGGTTGGCCTTAGTGACTTGATTAACCAACAGAATGTGGCAAAAGGGATGTTCTGGGACTTCCAAGGCTGGGTAATAAGAAGTCTTGCAGCTTTTGCCTGGGTGTCTTGGAATGCTTGCTCTGGGGAAAATCGGTTGCATGCTGTGAGAAGCTCAAGCTACAGAGAGAGGTCATAAGTAGGGACTCAGGTTGACAGCCCCAGCTGAGCTCCCGGCTGACAGGTACTATCACCTGCCAGCCACGTGAGCAAGCCATCTTGGATGTCCAGCCTAGTTGAGTCTTGAGATGATTCCAGCCCCCAGTGACATCTGACTGCAAGCTCATGAGAGACTGCAACTGAGAATTGCTCAGTGAGCCCTTGTTAACCCACAGAATCACGCAAGATGATAATAAATTGTGGTTTTAAGCCACTAAGTTTTGGTGGGTGGTTTATTATGCAGCAATTGATAACCAAGCCATTTGAAATAAAAAGGGATCATTTCCAAACAGGGAGAACATAACTTCTCTCTATTCAACTCTGAGGGTGTAAGAGCAATGCAGACTTCTCACTGAGCACTTGTAAAAGCTTGATGAGGGAATAGATTAGTATATGGTTAGCTGGAAGGACAAACGTGGTACCAGAAAGCCTGTGAGGTCCCTGATGGCATCTTTGTCCTCTTCAGGGCACCGAGTACCAGGCACTGCCTAGAGGAAGTGTCTAAGCAACGTCAGAGTGGAAGTGAGTTAAAATGTCCATCCTTTGCTGCCTCTGTTTTTATCAATAATCATGGTTCAGAGATCTGACTTCAGCAAGAATACCCAGCTAAAGACTTAGATATGGCTGAGTATATCTTAGAGAGTGTTCAGGTTAGGAAAAAACCCACACAACAGATTAGATTACAAAATCTGTTTCTGCAGCTCTATTCAGGAGCATTACCTTAAGACACCGCAAATGCTAACCTCCACTACAGAAGTCATGGCTGACTTATCAGGGTTTCCTTCCTTTTTATTCCCCAAACCATCTTTTGATGTACCTTCTTTATAACACAAATCACTGTTGCTTCTCTATGTTTGCAGCCCTCACATACTGACAAATCTTCAACATGCACCCATTTGTTGGATCATTTTTCTTCTTTAACACTAGAAATACCTGCTTCCAAATGCTGGCTCCCCTTTTTTGAGTGCCTTGGTCCATGTTAGGGAGGCAATCATGGAAGTGGAATGGGCATCAGACTGAGGGCTGGCAAGTGTAAAGACTCAAACTCCAAAGTCAACTTGGCCACAAACTGGTTGGATGGCCTTAAGCCCCTCTCACTGGACCTGTTTCCTCCACAGGGAATGAGGGGCTGGGCTGGATGCTTCAGGTGAAAGTCTGTAACTGTGCCTGTTGCAGCCTTACCCCCCTTCTGCTGTCTGCTGAGGCTTTTCCCAGTTGGCCACTGCATCTCTCTCTCCATCACTGCTACTGTGGGCCTTTCAGGTTTGCGTGCTATGAAAGAAAAGGTTTTTTTTTTTTCCCTCAACGACCCTCTATGTCATACATTTGTGCTATTTCTGTTTATCTTCATAATAATGAGAAGAACAAAGAGACTCCACCCCTCTGAAGCCTGGAAGCAACAGCCAGTAACTAGCTGGTAAGCTCACCACTCTCTTCTGCTACTATTCTGCACAGCCAACCCTGGGAAGTGCTAGATTTTAGTCACCATAGCTAATTTCCATTCCACTGTGAATGCTTCTATCTAAAAGGACAGAGAATCAAATTTTACTGCAGGAACTAGAATCAGAATGTGAAAAAGATGCTGGCTCAGAACAATATTTATTCAACTGAACAAGAAATCAAGCAATAATTGGCAAAGTTAATAGCTTTTTACAGAGCCATCTCTCCTGATTAAGACTTTCCCAACTGAACAAAGATTTTTTGGCTGTTGTTACCGTAAATATAATAATATTTTCCAGGGTTAATTTTAGTCTTCAAATTTAATTTTCATACTTTTTCATCATGTTTGATTATTCAAGAAAAAACTCACTTTTGCCTTAACTTTGAGCTTTATTCTTGCAAACACTTCAATGGAAAAGAACTGAGCTTTCCCCTAGGCTGTGTGTCCTCTTACTGAGGTGGAGATGTGATGGCTAGCTACCTTGGTGGCAGCATAGCTGCAACCACTGCTCTGAGCAGGGTCTGAAGCCAGCCAGAGGAAAAGATTTGGAGGTAGGACCCCTCGAGTCCTTGGTGCTAAAAGCGCAGGTGAGCATTCTCTAAGTCACAGGGCTGCTTTCAAAGACATAGCCACAGATGAGAGGAGGACAAGTGGGGCCCATGAGGCTCTCTCCTCTCCCTTCTGCAAGCAGCGCCCTGCCATCCTTACCTCGGGCACTGGAAGGGGCAGAGGTAATCATCTGGGATGGTGCTGAGTGAGTGGAACTCAGGCTGGAGGAAGAAGGGCTTGCCTGGGACGAGGACAGAACAGAGACGTTGGTGACTGAGCCCTGGTACCTGGGGTTGGGATACGCGAGCTGCAAAGGGAGAAAAATTAGCAGGATAGAGGTCTGAATGGCCAGGATTGTAGACTGGCCCAGAGTTGGCTTCTTCATGCCATGAGGTGCCCAGACCCAGTGTCTGATACTGTACCCTTGCCCTGATGGAGGCCAGGCTGATGGCCAGCACTAAGGGTCACCTATAACCCCAAAGGAGCAGGGCTGTTGGGTAGACTCTAGTGATGGTGCCCATGGAGGAAGCAGGACTTAGCCATCAGGAATGACAGGAAGGAATAAGGAATGCCAGGAAGGAAGGCAATCTGTCAGAGGAGCTTTCCCATGGGATCTCTAAGAGTAGCCAGGACTGAAGCTAGATTTCCTTCTTGGGAAAGAAGGCCTGGGAAGTGCAATATGGGATGGTGTGGAGGGCAGGCAGTTTTGCTAGCTCTGGGTGTTCTGAATTCAGGAACAAGAGAACTAGGCAGGGATGCCAGTCCTCAGGCCAGCAGAGAGGTGAATCCTCTAGGTATGGTGCCCTGGCCCATTCTCCTTGGACAGTTCTTGTACCTGCATGTGATGGTACAGGTCCTCAGGAGCCTCGCCCATGGAGCTGTCACCCAACATCACCACGTTTCCAGCTTCGCTAGATGTGTGTGAGGAGAGAGAGGATGATGAATGGCGGCCGGTCCCCATCAAGTTCATGGGGCTGTGAACAAGAGTGGGAGATAGGGAAGTCAGGTCTGGAGCTGAGACACTTTGCTAGGTGGTGGGGGCGAGAGTCATGGGTGTGTATAAGACAGTCATCCCCAAGCCTTAGCCATCACTGGTTCGGATGGTTCCATAGCCAATGCTCATACCCATCTGAGACCTGCAGCAGTCCTGAACCCCACCAGAGGCCCCTAGTCTGGGAGGGCCAACGGTAGCTTGGCATAGCCTTGTCCTAGAGTTAAATGGTTTACGGCCACTCAGTCTGATGACATCAGCAGTGTCGCAGGAGGAATGAGAGATATGCTGAATCAGGTCAAGGATCCCAGGTCCTCCTTGCTATGGGGTGTTTACCTGAGCCAGTGCCCACACCCGAATGGGATCTGCTCCTAGGTCAGGGTATCTTCCTGGTTTGGGGAAGCTATCGAAATAGCTGGCTGTGAACCATCTGCTGGCCTCCTTCCATCTCTGTGGCCACAGGCTTGCCAACAGTTCTCTTCTATCAGTTCTAGGCAGCTCCCCATTCATTCATTCCTTCTTATTTGCTGAGTACCCTCTGTGCTGACTTGCTGCTTACATTGGAAAACAAAGCCAAGTGAGGGCTCCTCTCCAGGGTCATCCCCTGGCCTGGGCTTCCTGCCCTGGAGACTTGAAGTCTCCCCAGTGGAGCCCCGGCGACCAGGACTCCTGAGTGAAGAGCAGGGACACCTTGATGTTCACATCACCATGTTGTCCTCTTCCTTAAAACCAACTGGTGATCCTCATTCACCCTGGGATCAAGTCCAAAGGCCTGAATGAACCGAGCCCATCCAGAGCTGGTCCTGGCCCTCTTCCATGCCCTGGAATCCTGCATTCCAGCCACTTGGCTCTACCTGTAGTGCTGAGCAGACTGGCTTGCTCATATCTTGAGGTGTCTGCACATGTTAGTGAGTTTGCCTGGATCTTGCTCCATCACCTTCCTAACACCAACTCTTTTCTGCCCAGCAAACTTCTACTTACCCTTCAAGACTTACCCCAAATGCCCCCTCCTCCGTGTTCCCACAATACCATGTATACTCCTCTGTCACCCAGGGTGACTGGATGCAGAGTGTAGATCCTGTAGCAGGAGCTGTGTGTTTGCTGTGCACATGGGTAAGAGGGCATGTGCGTACACACAAGCACTATTTTGGACTTCCTTGCTCTGATCTTTGACATTCAGACTTACCTTTGTGGAGGGGACCCTCCTCAGCCCTAAAGCCATACCTGTGCCGGTGGGTCATCTTGATGTTCTCTGGGCTCATGGGGCTATGCGATGCTAGGACATTTCCCCGTGGGGTGCTGGTGCCTGAACATGCAGGACTTAGCTTGTCCAAACCCGGAAACTCCTGTTGAGAAACGAATGCCCCTTCATAATAAATAATTAAGAATAAATAAGTAATTAAGAGGTGAGAGGGAAGAGCAGGCTGGTGGCAGAAATGTAAATGAAAAAAAAATCATATACTGTTGGCTGAACCTGAACTACTGGCTTCTTTTGGGCAGTGACCCCTTCACGACCAAAGCACCCTCCTAACCACACCACAGCCTGGGGCAGAGGCTGTGAGGCCTAGGTCAACCCACTAAGAGCACATCTGGAGTAGGCTGAGGTTGGTCTGAGTTCACAAGAGTGTGTTAACAGGCATTTATCACTATAGAAAAAGTAGAACAAGAGCTGGGAAACAGGAGAGGAAGAGCTGATTATCATCTGTCAGACAGTGGACACCTCTTACATAAGAACTGGAGTTGGGTTTTATTGGATTGCTAAATGGCCCAGCTCTCAGTGACCTGGGTTAAGTTGTCTGTGACACAGTCTATGGGGAGACAGGACACAAAATCCTGATGCAAGTAATTGGAAAACAGTACAGTTCTATTTTTGCATAATTAAGTATGTAGACATCTTGGCAGAAACTTTTGATCCCAAATCCTCCTGGGTGACAGCACATTGGTTTGAGTCCCTATTTGTGACTCTGAGGAAACAAAGCACAACTGTCCAGGTTTCCTGAAGTCCTTCACAATCTGTGGGCCTTAGGTGCACTGGGGATGTTTCTGAGCTTGCCCTGAAGAAGCAGGAGGTTTTCCACTCCCTTGTTCCAAAGCAAGCAGAAGGCTGAAATGTGCTTCTGCAGCTGGAGAGGACACCTCCATGTATGCCCTGGAGACCCTGAGGTATGTGGGTGAGCATTTTGTGCCTTTTCCTGCAGTGACCTGACAGCCTGCATGCTAGAGAGCTCCCCCAGTGGCCAGGCTCTAGCTTGCCTGGGTCACCTGCTGTGATGGGGAAGTTCACACACAGAGAGACCAGAAGTTTGCGCTCAAGACCACCTGAAGCCTACTCTCAGCCAGACAGCATTCCCTGTAAGACCCCTGGAGGGAAACTAGCCCTGGAATACAGGCCCTGCTTCTGCTTGTGTGCATCAGTCCTTGGGTCAAGCCCTGCCATGGAGACCTAGGAGGCAGGTCAGAGTCAGGGAGATCTTCTGGGGCCTGGGCCAGCCCCAGAACCTGCCTGACCCTTCTGAGAGGCCAGTACAAAAGTACTGCCCAGCCTAGGCTTTCTCCGATGTGAGCCTGAGTCATCAGACATGATGGAGGAAGAGGGAGGGAAGGGAGGCAGGGGGTTAAAGAGGAAGGGGAAAGAGAGGGGAAAGAGGGAGAGGGAGGAAAGAAGACTGGCTCAGGCTATGCCTTACCTCTGTAGGTTCCTGGGATGAAAAATATCTCCAAAGAGATCCCTGCATGTGGGCTGTAAACTTTTCCTCCTCATATGAAAACCTCTCTTCACCAGCACAGTGCATTCAAGGACATTCTCTGTCCTTGAATATGACTCCTTCTTAGGGAGGAAGTGAATAAGAGGATCCTGGGTGTCCTTCCCCTGGCTAGAACACCCACCTCTGCCTCCTGCTATCCTGTGGTGGTAACAGCTTTTCCTTCACGTTCGCCTCTTCAGCCCCTCTTCCCACCCCCCTTCCTTTGGCTTGCTGCACAGGTCTGGAGGAAATGACACCTGGTGATACTGCAGCAGGGACAGGACAGGGATCAGCTTACATGGTAGAGACTGGCCCGCATCATCTGGAACTGATCAATCAGCTTCTTATGCAGAGGGCGCATTTCTGGGTGCACGAACTTCTCATGAACTGCCAGCCCGACTCCAAGAACATGAACCTATTAGGGTGATAGACAACACTACTCCGTTAGCCAAGGAGCAGACTTTGGGTGCTGCAGCTATCCAGCTATCGTGTGGTGCCTAGCCTTTCCCTCCTAGACACTGGCCTCCAACCCTGGCAAGACATACCTGCTCTTGCATGAGTTCCTTGAGCTGAGTGATCTTCTCAGCATCTCCTGGGTGCTTGGTGATGTAATCTTTATCAAAGAAGGCCTGTGAAAGAAAAGGCCAAGTCAGGAAGACTCTTCCCAGGGCTACTACTAAGAGTCTGAAGGTGCCACCTGAAAGGTAGCCGGGCTGCCTCCTAGCAGGTACACACACCAACGTACCTCTAGCTTGGCCTGCTTGAACCTCCAGCAATCACAGATGTGTTTTTTTGTGTCTTAAGAAGGACCAAAGGTGACCAAGTAATCTAAGCCTGAATGCTGGTCTCAGCCCCTCATGGAGCCTTGCTGGCTTGGGTAGGGCAGGCAGGGCTGGTGGCCAGGGTGAGGGGACTAGTCTCTTAGCCAGCCCACAACTCACTTCTCGTGAAGGGCTGGGCTCTCAGGCTCCTCTTGAAGGCCACTTAACATCCTTCCATCATCAGATGGATTACCCATCTGTCAGAGTTCAGAGAATAAAAAGGAAGAAAAGGCCCCATCAGAGAGCTATGCAATGGAAACAGGGAGTGGCAGGGAGCTTAAAGCTTCATCCCAGGACCATCCTTGGTCAGCTGAGGAACAGCCAGGAGAGGGCTTGTTGAGAAGGCTTCCCTCAGAGGCTGGAACCTCAAGGAGAGGCACCTGAGAACTGCTTTCCCAGCCAGGGTTTAGTCTGGGACCCCAGCTCACCTCTTGGTAGCGTGCAATGCCTCCGTTGACAGCGGCGTCAATGACGCCATTCAGGCACATGCTGAGCAGGTTGATGTTGCCATGCACCTGCTTATGCTGATACTGGCTGATCAGGGCCCGTAGTTCCTGGTTCTTATTCTCAACCACTTGGATGGCATTCTCCAGGGGGCTCACCTCCACCTGGGGGCACACAGCAATGGTGTCATCCCAGGCACAATGTCAACCCCTCCCTCATCACAGTCCTGACAGCAGGGATCTGTGACCTGTGATTCTGATTCCCCACCCTTGTTCCTGTGGAGTTGGGACTCCCTGAGCCCTTTCTAATTTCCTCTTCTAATCTGTAGGCACTTAGAAGTACAGTAAATAGAGAAGAGCACCAGTTCTGAAGTCAGAGGTCTCTGGCTTCCTGAACTTCAGAGAATAGTTTCTGCATTCATAAATTGTGAGAAAAAAAAATACCTGGTGCCTAAGGGTGTTGTGAATATTAAATGAGAGAACGAAGGTGCACAAAGCCTCCAGCAAAGGACTGCCTGTAGCAGCCTAGGCCAGGTAGGTGGCCTAAGCACTCTTTCTCTCTCTTCAGTCCTTAGAGAAAGGCCCCCAAAGCAAGAACTGAGGAAGCAGCTGTGAAAATGAGCCCCATCTGAAATGTGTCTCACCAGCTCCCTCCTCTCCACTTCGAACCACCGAGAGATGCCAGGCAAGCTGTGGGTCAGGGTCAGCGTGGTACGCTCGATCCACAGGCTCTGCAGGGAAGGCACAGGTAGGTTTAGGCCATTAAGTGATTTTTATCATGCCCTGCCGGCCCGAAGGGTGAGACACTGAAGAGCTCCTGAGAATGTGGGGCTTGCCCCGGCCTCGCTATAAGCACTGCCCCCACTTCCCTAGATTTGTTCACCTTGAATTCATTCTCCTTGTCCTTGGGGCCTTTGTGAAAAGGCCTGTCGTACCGGAACTTCCTCACATTGTTGACGCGGTAGAAGCTCTTGACGCGATCTGGGACCCTGTCCATCTGCAGGACGTCCACATAATCTGGAATGGGCGTCACTGCATAGATCTGCAAGTCTGGGCAGGAAGTGAAGGAGAAACCCAGAAAGACTGAAAGAGAGATGGACCTGAGTGGCTGACCCCTGTCATCCCCTCAAAGGAGAGAACACCACAGCCCCCGTTCCCTACTGGCAGCAGCATTTTAAGAGGCAGATCAGACCCAAACACAGACCGATGTTCTCCAGTGCCCCTTTAAGAAAGAAAGGAAAGGGGTCAGGAGAATGCAGGTGCCCACCCCACAGAAATGAAAAAGCTGCAAGGGCCTGGGCCTGCCCACTGTGGGTAAACTGTATTTACTGCAAAACAACATTTTAACAAAGTACTCTTTGGGATCTCTGTGGCGAGATAACATATGGGAGTCTACCTGCCCTCCTCTCTCTGGAACAAGCTTGCTACAGTCATGGCAACCATCATGAGGTGTTCAAGGAAGCTGTGTGTGGGGAATGAGGGGCAAGCCAGTGTTTGCATTCAGACTTCCAAGTGCCTCAGATCCCCCGTCTCCTCCCCCATCCCCAGAGCTGTGCCTCAGTCCTGCTGGCAAAGGCTCTGGGTAACAACAGATGCACATGGGAGTAGAGCAGGACACAGAAGTGGAGTATCCCTGCAGCAAGAGTCCACAGTGATTGCTGCTGGCTGCCTAGGCAGACCTTCATATGGCAGGGTGGGGACTCAGGTGCTGGCAGCAGCCAACCAGAGGGATAAAGGTCCCCCTGAAGCTCAGCTGATGACCAGGCCCCCATGGCTAAGGGCATGCCACGGCCCCTCTGTGAAGCATGAGTGCCCTGCTAAGTGTCAGTCAGTAATGAGAACACACTCTGCTTCAGGACTTACAGGTAACCTGGCCTGTATGGCCAATGACATGGCAGAGGGGCAGCTGACTGGGTGGGCCTCACCTCCCAGGATCCCAGCCCTCCTTCCCCTACCAAGTGTCAAAAGATACACTGGGCATCACACTGCAGGATGGTGTCGTCAGGGTGGTTGGGGTGCTGCATGGCGACAGCCTGTGGGAACTCACTGAGCATCCTCTGCTGGAAGGCCTCCAGCCTCTCGTAGTCGTGGCCACGGCACACGTATTCTTTGTTCTGCCACAAATGGGAGAGCACACTCAATGCCTCGCCTGCTGCCACCCATCCCCTGCATCCTCATCCCACAGACGTGTCCTAGGAACCCCTATGGTAGGCATGGACACAGCACTAAGTCTCTGCCTTAAGGGAAATGATGGTTAATAAGGGTGAGGGACAGCAGAAGGGAGAACTGCACTGTGGTGTGACAGCCCAGGGTGGGAGGTACGGCAAAGGCTGCAGGAAGCTTGAGGGAGGGAGGGCTCCTCACACAGGAAGAGATGCAAGTGGGGAGGCGGGGTGAGATTTTGGAAACAGCCATGCCTGAAAAGAGTCCTTGGAAGGTCCACCTGGGTTAGCGCAGTAGAGAAGAGTGGGGGGCAATCTATGTGGGTACGGTGACAACCAGGGCCACAAGCCAAGACAGGAAAAGGCACAGCTAGAAAGAAGGTGCTTGTGGAGAACTGGTGGGAGGGTGACTGAACATGCCTGCAGGTGTGTGCTAAGGAGTATCACTATGGGTGCTACCAAATAATTTAGAAAAGGGGGTGATCAGGTGTGTGCTTTTGTAGGATCACTTTTTTTTTTGCGGTTCGTGGGCCTCTCACTGTTGTGGCCTCTCCCGTTGTGGAGCACAGGCTCCGGATGCGCAGGCTCAGCGGCCATGGCTCACGGGCCCAGCCGCTCCGTGGCATGTGGGATCTTCCCAGACTGAGGCGCAAACCCGTGTCCCCTGCATCGGCAGGCAGACCCTCAACCAATGCGCCACCAGGGAAGCCCTCTTTCTTTTTTTTAAAAAAATAAATTTATTTAGTTTTGGCTGCATTGGGTCTTCATTGCTGCGCATGGGCTTTCTCTAGTTGCGGCGAGTGGGGGCTACTCTTTGTTGCGGTGCACGGGCTTCTCATTGCAGTGGCTTCTCTTGTTGTGGAGCACGGGCTCTCGGAGCGCAGGCTTCAGTAGTTGTGGCACGTGGGCTCAGTAGTTGTGGCTCGCGGGCTCTAGAGTGCAGGCTCAGTAGTTGTGGTGCACGGGCTTAGCTGCTCTGCGACATGTGGGATCGTCCCGGACCAGGGATCGAACCTGTGTCCCCCACATTGGCAGGTGGATTCTTAACTACTGTGCCACCAGGGAAGTCCCCAATTACAGATTTCTTAAAACCTCATGTTACATCATATTTGGTACAGGTTAGGTCTCAGTTTTTCTCTTTGTGTACGGAAGGCATGACAAGGCACCTTCAACCCTGCTGCTCTGCCTACCTCACAGCTGGTCAAGAGTGAGTGGCTGGAGGAGGCTCCTCTGAAGCTCTCTGGTGACATCTGTCTGCCTGCCTAGCTGCCTCACTAGATTCACTTTGACAAATGGTGTCAGGCACGGGCAGCCCCTCTTGGCATGTCTTCAGAGGAAGGGGGAGAGAGAGGTTCCACAGGGCCAGCCCTACGCTTCCCAGTACAGGGATAATCACAGGCCAGGCTGTGGATGACCTCAGCCTTTTTGGAATAGGATTTTTGCCCACTTTTCACTTCTCTTACTATGGGAGAACTCAGCTAAGGCTAGGCCACATGTCCAGATGGATCAGAATGGAAAGGCAACACTGGAAGGGAAGTCAGCGTCAGGAGGAGCAGGCTGGCCTCTCCAGTGGAACAGACAGAGGACAGAGACATTTCTAAGTCCCTTGCTTGATAAGGAGAATTGACAAAGAAGGTAACTGTTTAGAACTGGCCTTTTCATATCCACTCACAAACGTACAATCCTCTCCAGTGTCTGTTCATGAGTCACATGAAGAGAAACAGAAATTCCCCCAAGGAGGGAGGGCTGGATGTTTTCCTGTCTCCATGCAGATTAGCAGATAATCACATTTGTGAGGCAAGACGGGCAGATGGTCCAGAGAACTCAAGCTGACAGAGCTAGAGTAATAGATGGCCTATGTGGGAAGGTGAAAGAGTAGCCTAGTGTTCTGGGGAAGACCCAGCAGGAGGAAGGCACAGAGCATTGACCTTGAGGCTGGTTGCTGCTTTCAAGTCTGCTCAGGCGAGAGCCCCAGCATCCCTACATGAGACAGATCTGGCTGCCACTGCTTTCCATTTTACCCTTGCCATTTACAAGGCAAACGGCTACCTCCACTGGACTTATTCCATTTGCCACAGATGAACTGAGCAGCTGAGGGAAGGGAAGGCAGCATGTAGCCAGGCCAGGCAGATTTGTATGCATGAAACATAGCTCCTAGTGTGGAAATGAGGATGGACTGATGGATGATGTTTCCTAACACCTCTTGTTATTTTTCCTCCATTAATGGTACCCTTGAAACTACGTTTGAACATTTAGACTGTCACTTGACAACACTGTATGAATGGCTCAGATGCAGGTACTATGCCAGGTCCTACTTGTCAGAAAGCTCTGAGAGCCCTGAGACACTGATGTTCCCTGTGACATGAGCATGAGGGGTGGGAGCCAGGTGGAACCGTGATAGAGACCTCCTGCTTGACAAAGACAGAAATGGGGAACATCAGGGCCTGATTTTGTAATACTCAAAATAATGATGTTTTGGAGTAAAATCTGGTTGATGACATACAAATTGTGGGACTAAACAAGGAGAATAAAATGACAAGCATAATTTGCAAAGATAAAATGCGAAAGAAATAACTTACAGGGCTATAATCATTAGCTTATCAAAGGGCTTTCTAGAGATGCTTTTGGTTTCTAATTCTTGTACTATTCCTTCTTTCTTTTTTTTTTTTTTTCCTTCTTTCTCTTCTGTTGACCTTTACCCCCACTGCTGTTGTATGATCTATGCTGATGGGGGCAACAAACATGCCACTTCTGATATGCCTGGACTGGATGGTCCCTAGAAAATGAAGGAGGTCCAGTCTCCTGAGGAGATCCTCTACTTATTCACATTCTGCTACTATAAACACTCCTGTGCAATAGACTTAGAGCCTTCTGGGGACCATGATCAGGCAGTGTGCTTGCTGTCCCTATCACTATTGCTAGTTCCTGCAGAAATCACTTTCTTTTTAGCCTATAATGATTACTGCCCAAGAAATGTGCATGTTGATCTGCCTTACATCTGAAATGTAGTCAGCCTGGACTTTGTTGCTTAGCAGACTGGCTTTTTGTAAGGAGCCATTAAGCTCAGTTGACCTTTGATGAGATACCAAGCTTATTATTGCTCACTGGCTAAAGCAATTTCTCCAGTAAGATAGGATCCCAAACACATCAAGGGAATCCTATGAATTTTCCCAGCTGCTTCCTGGACACTGAACCTTAGTATGATAGTGGAACTGGGGACAATCGGAGCTACTCTTAGGTCTCAACTGCAGCCCTAGGGCTCTTTCATCAGCACAGCTTAGTTTAGGTCATTTGGGAACAGCAAATCCATGTGGGCTACAGCCTACAAGCCCAGGCTGACTTCTCCTGGAGCCTCTGGGTTGTGCTGATTAAAGACAAAAAAATCGCAACTGTTTAACTGGTGTCAGTATGTCTATGCTCAGTCATTCCTTCCACTCTGTTTATATACCAGCTCAGCCTTTCCAGCAATGGTGGAGGAAAATGGCTGTAATCATCATGGGCCAGAGAACTGGCTGCCTAGGAAAGGCTTTCCACAGCCAAATCCAATGTTTGGCAGCTCCCACAAACCCCAGAAGCAAGGGGACTACCCTCTGAAATCTCTCAAATCAATAATTCTCCACCCTGGCTGTACTGCCTACTGTTGAGGTCAGGGCTGTACTGAGGTCCTGTCTGGCTGAGAACAGTCACACTGGAGAATTCCAGGCACTGGAAACAGAAGTTGGAAGGTTTCTAAACATACCTATGGGACATTCCCACACCCTGGTCATTTCCTGCAGGAACTTGGTTGATTTGGTAAGAAAACCACCCTCATACATTCCAGGTAGCTACAAAACAGTACTGCAGAGAGAAACAGAGTCTAAAGTTGGTAGCCAGTCCAGTCAAATTAAGCCAAATGCTTTTTGTTGGCTGGTCAGTCCTTCAAAAAGAAGTATTCAATAGAATAGGAAAAAGGTTAAAAAAAAAACAGGTTATAAATAACTTACGTGTAAAATATGATAGAAGTTCTTGTGACTACCTGAATGGACTCACCCGAAGGAAAAAAGGAAACTTCCTGCCATAGAAGCCGACCCGAAAGAACTCAGGCTCCAGGCGTTGCTGCTCTGTAATGTTGTCATAGTAGCTGGCCTCCATTTTCTGTGAACGAGAAAGGCAGTTGGCTTGACTGCTAGTGGTGTCCAAAGCAAGTTCTCCCAGGCCTAAGTAAACACTGTCTTTTGGAAAGAGAACATGGTGACTCAGTCTAGATAAAAAGTGAGCCCCTAGCCCTGATCAACCTCTCCCTGGAGAACTGCCTGATGGAGAGGAAGTCTTCGCTCTCCATTGTCAACTGACGGTGAAGCAGCCCTGAGAGGCTGCTTGGAGTGTCCTTCCCAATGAGTGGACTCAGCCCCACAGAGACTCAGGCTTCCTGTACTTTCAGGGGTACACATTTAACATGGACTTCCTTTTTTTTGCTCAGGAATTCCTGGTTTTGACTGATACTCACTACACCAATTGAGTATAAGCTAGTGTTGCTTATAGGTGGCACCATTTTCCATCAGTCCATCTGCATTGCTCTTGCTCATTTATCATCTGACTCGATGCTAACAGAATGAGGAAGGCTTAGTTACCAGCATCACTCGTACTGGTCCCAATTTAGGAGATTTTAAACTTTAAAAGTTGAACTAATATCCACGATGTCTGGTATTACCAAGGTCTATAAGTTTTTTAGTCTTGGCTGGCCTGGCTTCAGGTTCAGAAAAATTCACTGAAGTCTGACTGGGAAGACAGCCCTAATGCACTCAATCAAGCCAGCCTGCCAGGGGGCAGCAGCCTTCAAAGACCAGTCAAAAAGCTATTGCTAGAGAACCACATCTATTATATAGGCCCAAATCCTGATCAGGATCAGGGAACACAGAAGAGCTAGCCATGCTGAAAAGGGTGCAGGAGGAGGATGAACTGAGATTCCTGACTTCTCTTTGCCAATGACCTGTTACAATTTAATACCCAGCACCGGCAACTAGGAAAAATTTGGGAGACCTTCAAAGTCCATTTCACTTAATTTTGAATATTTTTCATCAAAGAAGGGAAGAACTTCCTTTACTTGGGTGCTTAGAATTGACCATTATAAGAAAGATCTTATAATGTTTTCAGATGAAGCATATACCTGAACAAAATCATTTCAGGAAAAGCTTCTTCACGAAGTCGAGCTGCCACCCCCTCCTTGAAACCCCCATCCTGTCCTGTGTATGCTGCTTCTCCCTTCCTTGAGCACCAGTGGCCCTTGGGGTCTGGATCATACAATCATTTGTCATGTGTTTGTTTTGGTTCCCCAGCCATAATGCAAGCATCTTGAGAGCAGGAACCTTGGCTTTTGCTTCTCCTGTACTGTCCACAGCACTAAACCAAGGGCTGGGTCCACAGTAAATGCTCCCTTAGAAGTTGATGCCAGAAAAGTGCTAGCCCCTCCACTCAGGGTTGGGGCGGGGGAAGGGGCAAAGCTCACCCGAATCCAGCTGAGGCTCTGATAATCGTAGAGGCTCTCATACTGACACGCCAGCTCCCTGCACAGTGGGATCCCAAACTCCCAACTCTGCATCAGAAATAGGAAAAACGCTTCAGCACCTCAGGCAACCTCGGAATGGCCCAAGCCCACATCAAACATATCAGAGGGCACAACCAAAGGCCTCCTGCAACTCGTATGTCACAAAGAACATATGCTCAAAACCAATTTGTGGAGAACACATAGCACTGGTTTTCTGGCTTGAGGCATAGTTTTCAGGTTTCTACTCAAATGTTTCCACTTCCAAGAGGCCTTTCCCTAACTACCTTGTCAAGGACAGGCACTACCCCAACCATTCTTTCATCACTCTGAAGTTATCTTGTATAAAAAAAGTATTTACTTTTTCAAATTGAAGTGTGGTTGATTTACAATATTGTGTTAGTTTCAGGTACACAAAAGTGATCCAGTTATATATATATACACACACACACACACACACATATATATATATATATACACACACATATATACACACACACACACACATACATTCTTTTCAGATTCCAATATTACTAGATATTGAATGTAGTTATTACAAGATATTGAATGTAGTTCCCTGTGCTATACAGTACATCCTTGTTGTTTATCTATTTTATATATAGTAGTGTGTATCTGTTAATCCCAAACTCCTACTTTATCCCTCCTCCACCCTTTCCCCTTTGGTAGCAATAAGTTTGTTTTCTATGTCTGTGAGTCTGTTTCTGTTTTGTAAATAAGTTCATTTGTATAATTTTTTTAGATTCCACATGGATATATAATATTTGTCTTCTCTGTCTGACTTCACTTAGTATGATAATCTCTAGGTCCATCCATGTTGCTGCAAATGGCAGTATTTCATTCTTTTTAATGACTGAGTAATATTACATTATATATATAATATATATACATACACACACATACACCCTCCCCCCATCTTCTTTATCCATTCATATGTTGACAAACACAGGTTGCTTCCATGCCTTGGCTGTTGTAAATAGTGCTGGCGTGAACATTAGGTGCATGTATCTTTTTGAATTAGAGTTTTTATCTTTTCTGGATATATGCCCAGGAGTGGGACTGCTGAATCATGTAACTAAAACTAACTCTATTTTTAGTTTTTTAAGGAACCTCCATACTGCTCTCCATAGTGGCTGCACCAATTTACATTGCCCCCAACAGTGTAGGAGGTTCCCTTTCTCCACACCCTGTCCAGCATTTATTATTTGTAGACTTTTTGATGCTGGCCATTCTGACTAGTTTGAGGTGATGTCTCACTGTAATTTTGATTTGCATTTATTTAGTAATTAGTGATGCTGAGCATCTTTTTATGTGCCTGTTGGCCATCTTTATGTCTGTTTTGGAGAAATGTCTACTTTGGTTTTCCGCCCTTTTTTTTTTAAATGGTGCAACCACATTTTTTGTTTTGTTTTAATGTTTTTTCTTTTAACAATTAATTAATTAATTAATTTTGGCTGTGCCAGGTCTTATTTGCAGCACATGGGATCTTTAGTTGCGGCATGCATGCAGGATCTATTTCTCCAACCAGGGATCGAACCCGGGCCCCCTGCATTAGGAGCACGGGGTCTTACCCACTGGACCATCAGGGTAGTCCCTCTGCCCTTTTTTTGATTGGGTTGTTTGTTTGTTTCTGATATTGAGCTATATGAGCTGTTTGTATATTTTGGAAATTAAGCCCTTGTCGGTTGCATCATTTGAAATACTTTCTCCCAGTCCATAGGTTGTCTTTTCATTTTGTTTATGGTTTCCTTTGCTGTGCAAAAGCTTGTATGTTCGATTAGGTCCCGTTTATTTTTGCTTTTATTTCTTTTGCCTTGGGAGACTGATCTAAGAAAATATTGCTACAATTTATGTCAGAGATTGTTTTGCCTATATTCTCTTCTAGGAGCTTTAAGCTGTCATGTCTTAAATTTAAACCTTTAAGCCATTTTGAGTTTATTTTTGTGTATGGTGTGAGGGAGTTTTCTAACTTCACTGATTTACATGCGGTCGTCAAGCTTTCCCAGCACCAACTGCTAAAGAGACTGTCTTTTCTCCACTGTATATTCTTGCCTGAAGATTAATTGACCATAGGTGAGTGGGTTTATTTCTGGGCTAAAAAGTATTTACTTTTATGTTGTATTAGTCTCAATTAGATGATAAGCTGCATAAGGGCAGGGATCCTGTTTATATCCTTTATCCTCAGAGCCTAGAACAGTGCCAGTCATGAGCAGGTACTCAATAAAGATTTATTTAATGAGTTAATGAAGGAAACAATGACTTTTATATTAAGATCATTTAAGCTTAGAAACAAGTCTGGAAGCTAAGTAGGAAGTAGCTACCCAAGGGCTTGGTAGTAGGTCTGATAATTTCCTTTACAGAAATATTCAAATCTTAGAGCAGGCTTCAGATAATCCTTGCTTAATCATGTCTCGGGCTGTTTCCGTGGTGTGGCTCCTATTATGGTGACAGGCTCATCTAACAGTGGCCTTCAATAAGGGGCAATATTGTCCATTTCCTCCTCTTTTTAATACAGTGCTTTCTCTCTTGGTGAGATTGGGAATCAAAGGTTTACTTGACATTTTAGCCAGGCTCTTCTCCCCAACTTCTAAGTACTAATTAAAATTTTTTATTATAGGAAAATTTTAAACATATAGAAACATGGAACTATGAACCCCTAGGTACTCATCACCCAACCTCAACAATGACCAACTCATGGCCAGTCTTGTATCATTAAATATCTCATCCACTTACTCCTCCCCATAGTTTTGGAAGCAAATATCAGATATCATACTATAATTTCACCCATCAATATTTCAGTATGAATGTTTAATAAGGACTGTATAAAAAAATAGATTTGGAATAGCATCAGGGAGAAGGACAATACTGTTTTATTCACGACCGTGTTTCTTTCTTAAAAAAAATTAATTAATTAATTAATTTATTTTTGGCTGCATTGCGTCTTCGTTGCTGTGCACGGGCTTTTTCTCTAGTTGCTGTGAGCGGGGGCTACTCTTCGCTGTGGTACGCAGGCTTCTCATTGCAGTGGCTTCTCTTGTTGCGGAGCACGGGCTCTAGGCGCGCGGGCCTCAGCAGTTGTGACTCGCGGGCTGCACAGCGCAGGCTCAGCAGTTGTGGCGCATGGGCTTAGCTGCTCTGCACCACGTGGGATCTTCCTGGACCAGGGCTCGAACCCGTGTCCTCTGCATTGGCAGGCGGATTCTCAACCACTGCGCCACCAGGGAAGCCCAGGACTGTGTTTCTTATCCTTTGAAGAAATTAACGCCATATGGATTGAACTGCAGGACCAATTAAAAATGTTGAAACAAACCAAAGAGAATTTTAAATAGCTCCGATACAATGCCTCTGCCTCAGTGAGCTAGAAAGCCTCTTGTACCCCCACATCACAGCTTTTAAGGGGGCACATGTCTGTCCTCTCTCTGGCTCCAAGTGCTGCTTGGGCAGGTTTCAGTGAAGGGTCCACAGGAGGGTCTGCCCGGCAGGAAGATCCAAGGGGTCTGGCGAAGCAGCTGAGCTGTGTGCAGACTGCTAGCCAGCCTGTAAGGAGCGCCCCATGGGGAACTGCTCACTTAGGTGATGAGGAACCCATGTGAGGCTAAAGGCGCTTTGTCTGCTGACAGTAGCTCCCAGTAAAGCAGTTCTACTCTATTAGGATCAATGCTTATCTGCCTTGCTGGCATCTCTGCCCTAATTTGTAGCCCTGCTGCTCCAAGCCTGCCCCCCCAACCCCCAAGGGTGAGCCAGGACACTCTGTCAGCCTTGAGGGTTATGCTGGAATGCTGGGGGTTTTGAGAGCTACCTCGGAACACAGGGAGGGAACGCCCTGCAGATACAATGCATCCCATCTACATCTTCTCTCTTGGTTTCCTTCCTTCTGGCAGGAGGCAAAGCCAACTACACAACTACTAACCAGTGTCTGAAATCCAATCACTTCTACCAGCTTGGGCAGATGTGTGTTTATACATCCTTGTTGCCCCCACTGACAGGGATGGCACAAAAGTTGTACTGACTTGGCTCACTCTACTCAAACTGGAAAGGAAGGCAAAAGCCTGGGACTCCAGACTGTCAGTCCTTGTACTTCTGTCTACACACAACATTTTAGAAGCAACAGACTCATTCCTTCAAAGGAGTGTGAACAATAGCAGCCCTCAGCAGTAGAGCCCAAGCCCACCCCCACATGGAGGGTTGGTTCGGTCCTGATGGTCTGTATGCCTTAGGGGTCAGAGGCCTCCTCCCAGCTTCCCTTTCTGTCTACTCCCTCTTCCCTGAAATGAAGGACCAGCTCTCATCTTCATGCCTCCCCTTCCTTCTTTTTTTAAAAATTTATTTATTTATTTTATTTTTGGCTGTGCTGGGTCTTCATTGTTGCGCACCAGCTTTTCTCTAGCTGTGGAGAGCGGGGGCTATCTTTGTTGTGGTGCGTGGGCTTCTCATAGCAGTGGCTTCTCTTGTTGCAGAGCACGGACTCTAGGGCACGTGGGCTTCAGTAGTTGTGGTGCATGGGCTTAGTTGCTCCGTGGCATGTGGGGATCTACCCGGACCAGGGCTCGAACCCGTGTCTCCTGCATTGGCAGGCAGATTCTTAACCACTGCGCTACCAGGGAAGCCCAGGAGCACTTTTCTTGCATCAGACAGGTTTTGCTTTTCTGGAGCCATTAGTAAAAAAACCCTGAATGCTTTCAAGAGAACTGGTTAGCCCTATCCACTGGTTCTGTCAGGTATGAGGTACAGAAACAGAAAAGTTGGACCTTCTGTATGAGCCCAAGAGAATGGTTGTGATAAACACCCCTTTGAGGATGAGCTCATGAAAGGGCTCACTGAGTGGTCTGTTCTCAGCACAGAAGCTGCTCCCCCAGCAATTCACACCAAAGGCAGGGCTGCTAGAAGGAGGGGGAGATCCCTGACAAGGTAGCCTACGGAGCCTCCCAGTCCTTCTCCCCTTCCTGCTTATCCACAATACTCAGGCAGGTTTTGCATTACCTTCCCTTGTTCATACTAACCTTTAAACCTGCTTTCTTAACACTACTGTAGTGTGGGGTGAAAAGGGGACCATTAATGCTCACGTGTCCCACTGCTGGGCTCAATCAGATAAGCATAACTCTACTCTGTACTCTATGCCCATGGAAAGAAAAATAAGCTAATATACTAACAACACTCATGCACACTCACACCATGCTTATGCCATTCCCTCAGAGCTGGGAGGGCTCGCTGGGCATATGGGTAGGTGGCAGCTCCAGGTGGGCTGGCTGCCAGGAAGACAGACCTAAAAGTGTGCTGGCATGGGGCCCTCCGTCCATCTCTGGACCAGCAAGGAGAGGAGGCTTTGGGCTGGCACTGTGGCTCAGTCATGTGTGGCTGGCTGACAGCTAAGCATGGGTCTCCTTTCTGGGCCAGGTGAAATGAGAGCTCCTGAGGTTTTGGAAAGGTTCCTGCTTACCAATGCGTTCCCTACATGGGTGAATGTTTTTGATGAACAAACGTCTCTCATGTTGTGTAAAACTGATGAATGTTTTCTGATTTATGGGCAGAAGTTATTAATGTTTAAATCTTTCTTTTTTATGATAAAAAAGCTTATTTTAAAAAACCAATTTCCATTCATGTATGGAATTCAGCCACTATAGCTCCCTGAACAATCTTGTTTCAGCTTTTTAACATGCTCAAAGCTGAGTAATGAGAGAACAGCTTCAACAAGTTACACAAGCCCAGCCTTTCCAGTGTATGGGCCATAGGTGGGTCAGAGCGCCCCACAAGGAGCTCTCCCAGAGATTGGAGCAGAATGGCTGGGAAGTCCCAAGGAAGTCTGAACCAATGCTGACAATGCCTGCTAATTCCACAGAATCAAGTTTAATAGAGAATAACCCCAATGAGAGGAGCCCAGACTATGCTGTAAGGAAGGGAAATCCAAGACAAGAACACGTACCCGTAAGAGGCAGTACAGGCCTCCGTTGGCTGTGGTTAGAATCCATTAATTTTTACAGCTCACATTTTCTATAGCAGAGCAGAAAGCTACAATAATTTAAGTAAATCTAATAAATATAAGCAGGGGGCCCAAAGCCCCTGCTGTTGGAGCATTAGTATTTACAGATGTGCAAAGCTGGTACGTGGGGTTGTCTCTTACATCCCCAATCTGGAATTGGCTTCCAAGCCACAGAATTAAGCTGTTATTTTTTTTCCCCAGAGAAACTCATGCTGCCTCCAAATCTAACGCACACATATGGGCCTCCACCCCCTCACCACCCGACACAGTACCCTCTGCAGCTGCTGCCATCCCTGTAGCGTTAAGATGCCATGTAGTACAGTAGAAGCTGAGACGCTCAAAGCCTTGCCTAATAACACCCACCTTGCCTTTGTTGAAGTAGTGGATGATCTTGCGGCACAGTCCCTCTTTCCGCTGCCACTCTGTCTGGGATGGGTAATGGAGGAATTCCCGCAGTGGCCTTTCCTCCCACTGTAGCAGCTCACAGTAGAGGAGCAGAGTGAATGCAGCTTCTGTGGGGACAGGGGCTATGGAGGTCCAGGGGCAGCCAGGTGCCAAGGGACCAGGCTAAGCAGCATGCCAGCGCAAGGCATGTGCAGCCCAGATCAGGGATGCTGGATACCAAAGCTGAGATAGAGGGGCTGTCCAGCCAGCAAATAGCCCGTGAACACAGCGTGAAGGAACCAAAGATCCTAGTAGACACCTTCCTCCCTCAGCCTGGTCACCTGCTCTGGGCGCTAGATAAAGTATGGCTCAGGTACCTAGGGGGTCTGTGTACAGGTTGCTTTGCTCTGGGACACACTGTCATGTCAGAGAGAGTTCTTGGGTTCCTATTTGCTCAACTGACTAGAGCTTCTTTTCCAACCTTTTCAGAACTGTCTCTGAGGGGTAAGCACTGACTAAGGCTTTTCTCAGCCCTCCTGAAGCCAGCCTCAATGTCTCCAGCTCCATTTTCTGAGCTCAGCATGGCCCTGGGAATGACCCTTTCTCCTTCTTGACCGTTTCTAAAAGGACCAGAGAGAAGGAGTATGTACGGTGATAACTGTGTGATGGGCTCCATTCCTGGAGGAAGCTAAAGTGGATGCTGGGCCCAGGGCGGGGCCCTGTGACACCTCCCATACATGTGGAATAGTTGGAGAGGGTTTACAGAACAACCGCAGCTAAATACTGTGGCTTCCTAAATCCCAAAGAGTCAGTCAGACTGAGTTACAGCTGTGGCTCATGGTCCCATGACACGGTCTGCTCTTTCCTGTTCTATTTGCTCAGTTTTAGTGGGCATCTCCTACTAGCAAGTTAATTAGTTCTAGCTTCTGCCTGGCCTTCAAGGCCCTATTCAAATCTGCTCCCCATGACTATGAAGAATTTCTTTTCAAATTATCTAGTGACCCACTTCCAGTTTTAGCCAGGTATATTGCCTGCAGCCACTTTCCAGGCTCCTGCTCACATTTGCGCTCTGCCTATGCTCTGGCTACTGGACCCTCCTGCCCAGGGATATACGTGCCTCCTCACTGGAGCTGTGAAGCCCCTTCTCACTGGGAACAAGCCCATGAGGCCCTCAAGGCCTCCCTGTAGAACTTAGAAAACCATGTGAGATCCTTTTCTTCCCTGCCAATATTCTTTTCAGATGTTATTCCTGAGGCCACCAGAGGCAAGGCTCAGTACCCTCTCTCTGTCCAAATTCCTGACATAGCCTCTCAGTGATGGCCCAGTCCTCCAGGAGTTTAGTAAATCCCTCTATTGATACATGGAATTTTTCAGTCTATCACTTCACTGCCCTCTCAAAGGGCTGCTGTGATCATGGGTGGAAGTGGACGCAGAGAATGGCAGGTTCATCCCAGTCATTTCAGATTTAATTCTTGCCAAGCTGTGTCAGGAAAGGTGGAATCTATGCAAAACACTCATTAACATCTAACATAAAATAAGGAAGGAGGACTCTGTGTTTCTACAAATTCATCTAATTCTCATAATGCTGTGGACAAGAATAGCTTGAATTTCCTGGTCTATCACACAAATTCAAGTCCTATGGCTCAAGGGCTAAGATGTGATGGCTGGTCACCACAGTGAAGAAGTGGCTATTTTGGGGGAACTATGATACAAGGTAATCAGGCAGGACACACATGGATACACATATCATTCTGACTCACAGTGGCACTCAGTAAACAGAGTATGACAGGTAGGTTGAAATGCTTTTAAATTTGTTCTTTTAGAAAAGGCCGTAGTAATGTATTAAATTGTAGATACAGTGAAAGGGTCCCTGTCTGGTCTGTCAGAAAGTTAAGGTGAACATTCTCCATACTCTCCACTGGGAGCTCAATGTGGGGCTGTTGTGTACTTGCAGGGGAGGAGCCCAGACTGCAAGGCAGGTCTGCCAGCAAGTTCTGGAAGTCCCAGGGTTAGGCTGATGTTCCTGTGTTATGGCCTCACTTAGTTCCAGCTGTGAAGGTCCTCAGAGAAGTTCTGCTCATGAAGAGGGACAGTGAGCTCAGGATGCTCTGAACCTGGCACACCAGAATTTGGAGGTCACCCTTGAGGCCTCAGAGCGGGTGAATAGGAGGCAAGGAGAGTGGAAGAGCTTTGGGCAGCAAGGCACAAGTGGAAGTTCCACCTGCTTTTTCTCCACCACATTACAAAGGAGTTGAGGGAAAGGAGTGAGGTGATGGGCATCATGGGTCCTGACACTCTGCTAAAATCTGGGAGGCACCAGCTCAGAGCCTTTCTCTGCCAGCTGTGCATGTATGTCCAGTCAGTCCTCATGGGGAGGCGTAGCTTCCTCTTCCCACTTACCTGTGTAGTTTTCGGCCTGCAAATGCATGTCACAAAGCTTATGGATATAGCGGATATACATCTCTTCTTTGTTAATCTCAGATTTGTAAAAGTTCTGTAAGAGAGAAGGAAATATAAATGAAGATGGGAGAGGCTGCTGCCTGTGGAGGCCATCTCTGAACTCCAGGCAGTTGGCCAAAACCCTGGGTGTGCTGGACAGGAGGCAGAAGGCAGGCCGTGGAGGTAGCCAGCACCAGGAAGAGAAGGGACCAGCCAGAAGGCACACCTGCTGTGGGTGAAACCTCTGGCAGATCTGCAGGAGCCCTGAGTGATGAGACAGAGGAAGAATACCAGGGCAGACTGGAAATAAGAGTATGTCAGGGTTGGCGGGACCTTGCCAAGAGGCCAGGCTAGAGCTCTGTCCAAAGAGAAGCTCATTTCATTCCTTTCCCAAGTAGGAATGTGAGTGATGAGGTGCAAGTTTCCAAGATACCAGTAACAGAGCTGATGTCCTGACTCAAACCCTTAGGCTTGGAACTTCCCTGGTGGCACAGTGGTTAAGACTCTGTGCTCGCAATGCAGGGGACCCGGGTTTGATCCCTGGTCAGGGAACTAGATCCCATATGCATTCTGCAACTAAGAGTTCACATGCCGCAACTAAAGAGCCTGCCTGCTGCAACTAAGGAGCCCGCCTGCCACACCTAAGACCCAGAGCAACCAAATAAAAAACGAAAAACCAAAAAAACCCCTTAGGCTTATAGCCATGTACTGTAGAAAGGACAGGCCAATCACAGGGTGCACAGAAGCCACACTACGAGGCAGAGAGGAGGAAGAGCCCATATTCTCTCACCATCAGGTTAACAGTGCAGCCGATCTTCTTATTCTCTGTCTCCTCTCCTTTCATGCAATCCCTGGAAGGGAGAGCACAGATGAATGCACAAAGTGGTGCCTCTGGGACAACACAGAGACCTGCAGTGTCACTGAGGCATTAGTATGTCCAAACCCCAGATGAGGATGCTCTCCAACAGAAACTTCTTCCACAGATGAGACTGTACTGTGAGCTCCCTCTAAGCTTTGGACCCACTCCTAGGGTTCAAAGATCTCTGTTCAACTAGACCCCTTGCTCTGGTGGCAGAGTGTAGAGCCCAGATGCTATATCAGGGCATTAAGTCACACCTACCAATGTCTTCAGCACAAAAGAGTATGTCAGTAAAGTAGAAGGTTAAGTCCTCAAGTTTCCAAAAGGGGAGGCACAGAGCTTTCCTTAAAGGGCAGTTTTCATTTTGTAGGACAGTGTTTCATAGAAGCCAAGACACTCTACTCTAGGGACATACCTTCAGGACCCTGTGGCCACAGCAACCACGGCATGGCTGCCATGTACATAATCTCATTCGCTTTTCTCCCTATAGTGTCCTTCCTGTGCACTAGTCTTTGGAATCCCCTCTAACTAGGAGCAGTGGGTTTGGAGCTTTTTTCCTGATTTAGGGGTAGCTTCGGCCAGAGCTGAGCTGCATTCATGCTGAGTAGGGCTGGGTTTAGGAGGGGTCGTGGCTGGCCTGCCAGACACAGAACAGCGGGAACACTGAGGATGAATCCTTGCCAAGGGAGGGCAGGGACTGGTCAAAGCCAAGCTCCTCTGGGGAGGAGAAAGGCCTAGCACAAAGGCATGAAAGAGAATGAGAACCAGGCTGGTGAATCCAGCAAGAAGCTTCCTGTACACGCAGCTAGCTGGAGTCCCAGATGCTCTCCCTTGGCATCTGCATGACATGTAGCACAGAGAAGACAACTATTGCTTGGGTCTGGGTTTCCTCTATCATTCCTCCTCATTCCTTATCACCTTCCTCTAGGTTCCCAAAAGGCACTCTTAGCTATCACCTGAACTCTACTGACAGAATAAATAAGGCTGCAATGGTAGCATTATTGTTACTTTTAGGCTAAGTCAAAAGCCATGATATGACTGAGAAGGCAGGCTTTCACGAAAAAATGAATTTCACATGAACTCCCAGACTGAATGTATCATAAAGATCTCTGAGCTCACAGGCTACCTCCTCTAACCTGCTCATGGCCAGGATCAAGGGACAGAAATAAACAGATTTTACACAAAGAATGGAGGCATGGAAAAGTTGGGTCCCTCTTCCCTGGAAAAACCAAATGAAAGTCCTCCTGGGTCACACTTCTGTACCAGGTGATGTTTTCCTGCCCATCTGCCACATGGCTCTGAGGAAGGTCTGCACTAAGGACCTAACTTGCTCTGGAGACAGCCTTTCTCTTCCTCTCTGCTGTGCCCATTCCTCTGAGCCTTGACTTTTCTGGATGAAAAGCCAGAAGGCTACATGTCCCTGGGATACCTCCTGGGTACACATGCCCACATATCGGGGGTAAGCCCAGGAAGCCCTGGCCTACCCCTAGAAGAAGGCTTTCTTCCTCTTTCTCCTTGGCCATCAGGAGATTCCTAATGACTGGTGATGGCACACAACACCAGAACAGTCCTACCTCTCATGGCCACGAGGTCTCAATTTTAAGGTCAGGGGATCCTCCTGCTGGGGAGAGCATCTAACCAGAGAAGAGGTCAGGTAGGTTCCTGAGAAGATACCTGTAGTCAAGAAGGCGTTCCATGAGGCGGGTGACCGAGGTTACAAAGGAAATGCCGGTCTCGCGCCATGTTTCCTGTTCAACTTTCTCCAGCAGGCTATTGGTGGAAGCAAACACAATGCACAATGCATGAGCCTTCCTTGGGCACCAGAGTAAGGTCCCAGAGCCCGTGGGGCCTGTGATGGATCTGGAGACGGCAGACTTACCACACTGCAGTCTTACCTGGGGTAGGGCCCAAACAGCTGGGTTCTACTCCATGCAGCAGAAAGCAAAGACAAAGCAATTACTGAACTGGCCAGCAACCAATGAACACGTCTTCCATTCTCCTGTGCAAGTTCCGAACTGAGGGAGCGGTTTCAAAGCCCCAGCCCTTTTAGGTGTACACACTGTGAGATCTGTTCTGAAGAAGCAGCGGAGTAAGAGTCCACTGAGGGATAGACCTGGCTTTGCCAATTGGCTGGCTGCCTCTATCACTGCTTAGAACCATCCTCAGCAAACATACTAAGCAACGTTTTCATGTAAACCAAGGGAAAGATTCCAACCAGTCTTGAGGGCCCAGCGTGAAGGACAGTGAGTCCAGGAGTTACACTGTCATCTTCACTGTCATGGGATACTCCCATGTAAAATGTGCCAGAGCCAAGAGCTAAATGCCAAGGTGCTTTTCTCACTTGCCAGCCCATGCTCCTGTCGCCTCCAGGTAGCCTCTGACTTCTTCAAAGAGCCTGGCTTCTGAGATCCTCTGCCTTTTCACAGATCTCTCCTAGGGGACGATGACCTGGATGGACTCTTTCTGTTTGCTCTAGTGATTGTCTCAGGTCAAGGTCTCACTCCTGATCCCTTTGCACACTGTCCCTAGCTCCCTAAGGTCATGAAAGTCACCTAGAGTGGAAGGCTCAGCCAGGGACCCAGCACTGGGAACTCACACCCACAGCCTGACTGCTGTTAACACTGCAATGATGACAACTGTCTTCCTTGCACACAGCATCTAACTTGAGCAGAGGCTTCTGGGAGAGTGAGGGTTTCCATGTGACCCATTTACTAGAGCGAGAAGGTAGGACCATTGTCTTTCACCTCTGAGCTGTGTGGAAAAAGCCACTGTGTTCACATTTCCCAAACTCCGTTCTACAGAGCTCTGCTGTCCTGGAGGACAGAGAGAGGTGTTCTGTGAGCAAAAAAGCATGGAAGATGCTGATCACCACACCTTCCTTTTAGAGAGTTTTCACATCTTTCTAAATATTAAAGGCTTTGAGAAGTCCTATAATACAGAGGCCTGTTCGATTTTATTTAACTGAGTTTTTTCTAAACTGATTAGCCCATGATCCACTCCCACCTCCCCACAGCATACCTACAAACATCTTCCCCAAACACAAATTGGGAAATGCTGCTCCTTGGTTATCAGTGGCTTTCAGTTCTCAGACGTGAACAGTGTATATGTAACACTATTTGGTCAGGTAATTATTAATAGCAAGTTATTTTTGTGCATTTTCCTTCATAGTAAAATCATCAGTCAGTGGCTTAGGAAGAGATTTCTCTTCCTTATTTCCACAATTAGAAACATCTTCAGCTAAAAGAGAAGTACTAAAGGATGGATTCATTTTCACAAATTAAAATTACTTAAATTTCAAATGAATTCACATTTTATTGCATGACTCATCAAGGAACAAAGTAGGCAGGGTGTAGCAGGAAGATTTCCCCCTCTTGAAACTGGAATATCTGGGCTGTACCCCCAGAGCTGCTTCTTACTGGCCATGCAACTGAGGCCATGTTACCACTTCTCTGAGCTCAGTGTCATCACCCCTACTCCTCAGGATAATATCTGCCTTGCCCACCTCACAGGTGTGTTGTGAGGATTAAATCAGATATGTCAACAAATTTTGTACACTGTAAAGTTCTAAGCAACTGTACAGTATTATTATTAGAAAATACATTACAGGCTTATCTTAAAAATGTCACTAAAATAAAGAAAATCTCAAAGCTAGAGATAATGAGTGAGATAGGAGAGGGCTCTAGAGCTGTAAATGTCTTAAAATTTTGTTTTTTATGAAGATAAAATACCCAACTTTACTATCTCTCTGGGAGAACCATGGCTCTCCTGAGTCTTTCCTTTGGGCTTAGCCCTGTGGCTAGTCCTGTAAGGTCTCTTGGCCTCCATCAACACAAGACAGAAGCCACAGCTGGTGGACCTGGGACCCCTGACGTCAGTCAGTACAACCAACCTGTTTCACAAATGGAAACTGGTTTGGAAGGGGGTATAATTTGTTCAAGTCACAAAATTCATGGCAGTGTTTTTCAAACTGATTGTACAATCTTACAAAGCAGAAATTTAATTCCCTCCCTCCCCCCACCCCGAAATGTCAGCCTTGAGCCCTCATTGAGTCCCCATGAACTGTTTGCCCAACTAGATACAGTACATGGTATGAAGATATACGATGATCCTTTTGCTATCAGCAAATCCAAGAGCTCAGAGTTATCACCCGTCCCTACATCTTTAGTCAACTATGGCAATCCCTGAGAGAGCCTGCTGTCATGATGTCACTTTCTTGTAGACAGAAGGTGAGCACTGCTACCACCAGGAACAACCCTGGTCTCTCCTGATACACACCCTCTGAAGCCTGCCCAGTGCAGATTGCACCGCTACCCTTCATTAGCCCACTTCACCCCCTCTCCCAACGTGAGGTACTTGGGGCTGAAGCAGCTTACAGAAGGCCGAAGAGCTCCCTGTAGCTCTCATCGCCTTTCCCTTCTGACACCATGCTGTCCAGCTTGTCAATCAGCTCGGCCTCCACCTAGAGGGAAGCAGAGATTTTGTAAACCCAAAGTGACCTCAGAGGAAGGATGGGAAATCCAGCCCCTGTGATAGGTGAGGATGGTGGGGAACTGCTTCCTGATTTTTTCCCTGCACCAAATAAATCCTAGAGAAGGCAGGATCTCATCTACAGCACTGAGAAACCACCCTGCCTCCCCAATCAGGAAGGGCTCCCACTCTAGTGGTTTAAATGAGTTGGAACTTACACATATGTCTCAGATACTCTTTTCCCTAGGGGCAAAAGGCAAGGACTCTCTGGTGAGAGAAGTATTTCGGATCCAAAAGAGGCCTTTGTCAAGTGTTTTTCTTTCTTAAAAAATGTTCATTCAAAGGAATTGGTATGTATAAAATACATTTGGTTAGAACTTTACCCTCTATCAGCCAGCCACAAAGAAAGCTTGCTTTGGGAGGCTGGTCCTCACTTTAATGGCTGGCATTAGTCTGGGCTGAGGGAGATGTGTTTCCTTCAGAGAGTCCCCGTCAGGATAAAAGGCTCTATTCTTTGTCCTCACAGGACCTAAAGCCCTTGGAGCTGCTGCCCCTGCCGCTGCCTCGTCACTGGAGCCCCTTGCACTTGCTATTGGATTCTTAAACCATAAGGAGCAATACTGCATTCATTCCTACCCCACTAATCTGCAAGGCATTCAACAGTGTTAAGCCACTTCTCTAACAGGCCTCAATGCATATACTCTGAGGTGAGAAATTAGTTGTAAGTGATGTGAGATAAAAATCTTTTAAACTGTTCATTAGCCTTTAAAATGTGGTATTGTGCAATTATTTATACAGATTTTTATATAGACAAAAAGTGGCATGGTTGCATTTAATAATGAGCTATAACAAAAGCATTTTTTCACTCCACATAGGGCCAGAATCCTAAGACGGTGAAATATTAAATTAATAATTGAATTAGGAAATTCATCAAAGGCAGTTACGGTTTCTGAAACCCTATCAGCAGAAAATAAGAATGGATGAATACATATGGCCCTTTTATAGTGGTCTGGTATGGCCAGGATGGAGACTGTTGTACATTTATGTTTGGCCTAATCAGTCAGCTGCTTGAATATACTTTCCAGAGGAAATACAAAGTCTGAGATCAGAGGTCCTTAGGGATCGAGGCCATCTGCCTTTCTCCGTGTGGAGAAAAGGCACCAGCAGGGACTTGCCTGCTGGGGTCATGTAAAGTCAGGTTGGGATTTCTCATCACACACGCAGGTACAGGTTGTGCTTTCCAGAACAGGGCAAAGTTGGGGAAGGGACCTGGAGCAGCAGAGAGTACAACAGCGCAAATGTGGGTGCAGCAGTTCCCTGGAGTTCTCAAAATGGGTCCCTGGGCCAAAAGCATCAAGTCACCAGAAATCTTGTTAGAAATACAAATTCTCAGGCTCCACTGGATTAAAAACTCAGGGGTTGCGGGGTAGCAGTCTGTGTTTTAATAAGCCCTCCGGGTTGTTCTGATGTCTATTCAAGTGTAAGAACGTCTGTATTAGGCAAAGGAGCTGGTGATGGAAGGATTCAGGGACATTACTTCCTCACTCCCTGCAGTGCTGATAAAGGAAGAAGTTACTAAGAAAAATTGAGAAATCCAAAATGGGACACTGAAGATCAATGTATGCAAAATCAATGTCTCTAAGTTAAACAAATGCTAAGTTCTTCAGATATATCATGTCATAATTGGTAATACTGATGATTTCAGGTCTGTGGAGTTTTATTTTATAAAACCAATATTCCTGAAGTGACACCTTGTTATTCATTCAACAAACATTTGTCCTGTGACATAACCAGCTGCCTACTTCTGTACAAAATATTTACCTATGCCTAAATTTCTGCATTTATGAAATGGTAATGGTGGTTAACATTCCTCTTCAGTGTCACTGTGCCCTAGCTCTTGGGAAGTGCTCAATGAATGTTAGTTTTGATTTTCATCTTTATGAACCCACCTTGTCTCAGGCATGGGTTCTAAGAAATAAAAGCACAAGAAATGGTCCTGGCCCCAATAACTCATCATCTGGTAGAGGAGGCAGGGATAACAGCTAACACAGCTCAGCATGGGCACTGCTTAGATGGGGCACACACAGAAAGTGGCCTGAGGTCTGAGTAGTCTACAGACAACAGAGGTTGTTGGAGAGACATAGTGCTGTAAAAACTTAAGAAATGTTTTTACTCTTTGATACAACAATTACAGGTGAGAGATTTACCTAAGAAAGTAACTTAAAATGGATATGATTTTTGTAATGTTAACAGCAAAAATTTGGAATGAACCTAAGTTCCTAAAACTATGAGACTGGGAATTCCCTGGTGGTCCAGTGGTTAGGAGTTGGCAGACTTGGTGCTTTCACTGCTGTGGGCCCCAGTTCGATCCCTGGTTGGGGAACTAAGATCCCTCAAGCTACAGGGCACAGCCAAAAAACAAATAAACAAACAAAAAAACCAAAAGCCCCACAAAACCTAGGAGTCTGATTAAGTACACTGTGGTCCAAGCTATGCAATGGAATACCACATAGCCTCTAAACTGACAGTGTGGTGCAGAGAAGCATTAACTGACATGAAGGATAGTGATGACAAGGTGCTACTAAAAAAGGGAGATTAAAAACCAATATGCACAATGGTTCCAAAAAAAACAATGTACACAATGATTCCATTTTTTAACTTAAAAAACTCTATGCACTGGGAAAAAAAGACGTGCCTAGCCCCTCTCCCCCACAAGTTACTAACAGTACAATTATGAGTTAAATCTTTTCACTATAGCTTATTTGCATTTTAATTTTTCTATATTAAATAAGTATTATTTTTATAATTAGAAGAAGTATTTATAGTAGGTGGTAAGAAGTAGGGGAGGAGTTAATAGAGCCAAAGCTGTGGAAAGCACAACTAGAACCAAGACCAAAAAGTCAATTGGACTTTAATGATTAAAAAGTTATTCAAGAGAGCAATGTCAACAAAAGTGGGTGCACAATATACATTAGACTGAACTGACAGAGGGTGGGAAGTGGAAATGTGGGGATGAAAAGAGTAGACTACTCTTTTAAAATATGTAATGGCAAAGGGAAGCAGCAGCAAGATTTTTTTAACCAGGGACAATGAGGTTTACATGGCTTGCTGGATATCAGTTATTCATGACAGTCTTATTGGAGGAAAAAATGCTACCCATCAGCTGAGTCTTGAAGTGTGAGCCAAATGAGCTCCAACTTAGTCTTCCACAAAGCTAACCTTCCTCATTCAGTGTTAGTGATGGTTAAGTACAGCCCAGCTCTTCTTTTAGTAGACTCAGATGACCCATGGTGCAGTTCCACAATGTCATCTACTTCTTGGTAACCAGGTTCTCTCATCAGGCAGTTGTGCATTTTGCACAATTAGAAGGCACATGTTGTGGCAACATAGAAAAGCAACAGTTCTTTTCTGTTTGAAGTTATTATTTCCTGAAGTTCTGAAGGCAACAGAGCTTCACACTCTAAAAATGGATTCTTATCTTAAATACTATTTACTCAAGATAGAGATCATCTATGAAAAACCTAGAACTAGCATCATACTTCAGTGAAACACTGAATGCTCTCCCCTAAGATTAAGAACAAGGCAAGGATGTCTACTTTTATCATTCTTATTTAACATCAGACCAGAGGCCCTAGCCAGTGCAATGAGGCAAGAAAAAGAAATAAGACGCTTACAGATTAGAAAGGAAGGAATAAAACTGTGTCTTTTCACAGGTGATAGGATTATCTAAATATAAAATCACAAGGAATCTACAAAAAAGCTTCTAGAACTAATAAGTGAGTTTAGCAAGGGTGGAGGATACAATGTTAATGTACAAAGCAATTGTATTTCTACATAATAGCAACAAACAACTGAAAATTTAAAAGTTTAAATCAGTATAATTTATAATAGCACCAAAAAACCCAGAAAATACTTACATATAAATCTAACATGTGCAAGATCTGTATGCTGAAACTACAAAACATTAATGAAAGAAATCAAAGGACACCTAAATAAATGGAGAGATATAATGTCTTCAAGGACTAGAAGTATTTATTAAGTACTATTAAGATATCAATTTTCCCAATTTGATCTATAGATTACAATGCAATCCCAACCAAAATCCAAGCAGGAATTTTTATAGATACTGACATGCTGATTCTAAGATTTATTAGAAAAGGAATTGGAATAGCTAATACAATATTGAAAAAAAAAACAAAGTCAGAGGATTCACACAACCTAATTTTAAGACTATAAAGCTACCATAATAAAGACTATGTGGTATGGTGACAGATAAGACATATAGATCGATGGAAAGACTAGTGAGTCCAGGAAGAGAACCACATGCATATGGTCAACTGATTTTCAACAAAGAATATAGTCTTTTCAACAAAAGGTGCTGGACATCTACATGTAAAAAGGAAAAATAAAAAGCCTTGACCTATACTTCACACCTATACAAACATTACCTCAAAACAGATCATAGATCTAAATGTAAAATTATCAAACTTCTAGAAGAAACAAAAGAGAAAAATTTTTTGGTCCTGGGTTAGGCAAAGAGTTCTCATATATGATCCCAAAAGCACGATCCATACAAGAAAAATAATGATCAATTGGACTGAATAAAAATTAAAAACTTTTGTTCTGTGAAAGACATTGTTTAGTAAATGAAAAGACAAGCTAAGAGAAAATATTGGTAAATCATATATTCAACAAAGGACTTATGTTCAGAATATAAAAAGAACCCTAAAAACTCAACAATAAGAAAACAAACAGCCCAATTAAAAATGAACACAAGTTTTGAATAAAATCATTTCACCAAAGAAGATACAAAGATAGCAAATAAGCACATTAAAAGACGTTCGGCATCATTAGTCATTAGGGAAGTGAAAATTAAAACCACAGTGATATACAACTATACACCTATTAGAATGGCTAAAATAAACAGAGATAATATCAAATTCTGATGAGTATATGGATCAACTGGAACTTTCATACACTGCTGTAGGTATTTCAAAATGGTATAGTCACTTTGGAAAACAGTTTGATAGCTTATAAAGTTAAATATACATTTACCACAATACCCAACAATCCTACTCCTAGGTATTTACCTAAGAAAAATGAAAGTTTATATTCATACAAAACCTGTAAAGAAAAGTTTTTCAGAAGTTTTATTCATAATCACCAAAAAGTGTAAATAACCCAAATGTCTTTCAAATGGTGAATGAATAAACTGCAATGGCATACTACTCAGCAATAGAAAAACTGATACATTTAACAAAATGGATGAATCTCTCAAAGGCATTATGTTAAGTGAAAGAAGTCAGTCTCAAAAGGCTACAGTCTACATGATTCCCTTTACATGACATTCTGGAAAAGGCACACATACTGAAGGAGAATAGATCAATGGTTGCCATGGTTAAAGGGAAGAGAAGGGTTTGACTACAAAGGGGCAACAAGATGGAATTTTTAGGAATTAAAAAAATCTTGACTGTGGTAGTGGTTACATGACTTTATGTGTTTACCAAAATTTACAGAGTTGTAAATCCCAAAGACTGAATTTTACTCTTTGTAAATTTAAAAATTACTGTTTGCCTGGTCTGTTCCTCACTGTTACAGTCACTCACTCTAAGAGCGCTGGTTCATCCCAGAATCACAGGGTTGGGAGGGAGCTTAGTGGGGAACTGGTTATAGTCCCCAAGCCAAAGTAGAAATTTCTCCTCGAGGCCTACAGGGAGCTTCTGTTTGAGAACCACCAGCAAAGAGGAACTCCCCATCTCTGAAAGCAGGCCAGCTTACAGCAAATAACTTGTTGCTAGCAAATTATTTCTTTTATTAGCTAAAATTGGCTTTTCTACCACTGTTTTCTACCTATTGTTACTAATCCTATTCCCTGGAGCTCTAGATAAAAGGGCAGGGGCCATCTCCACCTTAGGGGTGGCAGAAGAACTGCACAGCGGGACAACCTGAAGTCAGTCAGAAGCCAAGGACTTACATCTCATGGACCCACCCCTCTGTGCAGGGGTCTGTGAAATTCTAGGCTATGAGAAGTCATCTTGTCTGGGCTCTAGCCTTAGAAATGCCCAGACCACACACACTGGGGAACCTCCAGAGAGAAGAGACAACACTCCCAGGACCTTCTCCTGAATGAAGCTGGGAGGTTACAGTCTGTCATTCTCTCCTTGATCATAAAGTTCCTTTCACATGATGTTCAATTCCTTTCCTCTGATTCTTTTCTGGCCTCTAACTTCATGAAGAAAATCCACAAATCAATTCTGGCCAGTAAGTAAAGGAAACCCTTGAACAGGACTCAAGATGGCCAAGTTACAGCCTACTTCCGCTGGAACTATAGCCAGGCATCTGGATCACGTGCCTGGGCAAAAGGGGTCCATTCCAGGGGAGAGCACCCTTAACATTGCCAGGTGTTGTCTTACCTGTTTGAAGTTGCCATTTTTCCTTTGCTCCCAGTCCATCATGTCATGAAAGATGGGAATCATAATATTCCGCACTTCTGGCTGTGGGACCAGTGTCACACCCAGAAAAGGACCAATCATTCCCGGAATAAAGTGGATCTTATGTTCACCTGAACAACAAAACCCAACAGATATTAGTTTATGCTTGCTTTGCTCCTTCCATAGAAGCTTCCCAAGTGGGGCCACAACACATGATTTGATCTTCACTGGAAGCATCTGAGAGCATAGCAAGCTCTCCCCTATAGATTTCTGAGATACCTGCTTCTCTTGGCTTTTTAGAGTTCATGGATTAAACTGGCCCAGTACAGTTAAAACAAACTTTCAACAGGCACAAATTCTTTCCAAAGAATTTACTGGGAGGTTCTACAAACTATCTGAAAATCATTCTGAGGTCAAGGAACAGAGTTCACTACTCTAGACAGAATAGGATTTCTGAGTACACTGTAAGTTTCAGATAATCTGTTCATAGTGTTTATTTAGCAAGGAAAATTCATCTATTTCTGCTTAAACACAATGCACTATCCCTGGGGTTTCTGCCTCTAGCCCAAGGGCATTTAAGTGATAAGGATGTTCAGTCCTAGGTCCAGCCACTAGTGATCTGAAATCCATAGGCCTCTTCACTGCCTGTGCTCAAGTGTGCCCAAAAGGCCCCCTCCTGAGTTACCAGGAGCCTCCTACACAGCCCTACCCTGACAGACTGGCTGAGAGACTCTCTGTGCACCCTCCAACCCCCACCCCTTGTCTTCACACTGCATTTTTGATGGTAGCATTACATTTATTCAGACCAGCTTGGCTCATCCCTCAGTGTTCTTAATGAGGCCCTTCCATGGGAAGTGTGTGGTGTGACTCTCCCTGTGATTAGCTTGTCATTTGGGGCATGCTCCCAGAAGGCAAGACCAGTCTTGAAGACCATGGGAGAACTTTTCTTTGTAATGGTAAAGCGAGTGAACCATCTTCCAGAGCTCTGCTTTCAGTCCTTCAGAGACTAAGGAGACAAACTGAGGACCTGTGCAGTGACTGTTATGGTCAAGTAAAATCAGTTCTTGAGAACTAGAAAATGTCATTTCCACCCAAAACAATGAGGCAGGAATGGCTTTATCAGGCAAGTTTGACATGTTTTTTGATTTCTTCCATGTTAAAAGCCTATTTAAAGAGCAACTGTTAGCTCTGAGGCAGATTCTGCACATTCCAATCTTGGTATGTGGTACAGTTGCTAGTCCCATGTGTTCCCGGGAATTTCAGAGTCATCTTCGGGGTTAAAATCTATACCTGGACCATGCTGGATGCAGGGAGTAAGAGTACTGAAGCTAGAAAGCTGGTTTGGGGAAATGCATCCCCACTCATGGACGGAAGGCCCTAGTGTGGGCAGGCATGCCTTGCACCTTGCCTGCTGCCTCTAGAGCTGTGACTGGGATGGTTAATGGAGAATGATAAGATTTTATGGCCATCATTCCTAAGACTTCAGAGCCATGAGCTTAGTTGAAAGCAGCCTTCACTAGGAAGAAGAGCAGCAGCTTCTCTATCATCCTGACAGGCCACTAAGAAGCCTACAGCATCAGAGAATGGCCCACCTAGTCACCAGGGCAATCCAAGGATTCTACCAAAACCTGACAATCTGAGATCCAAACCAGTGGATATTAGAGAAGATGTAAAGAGAAGCTGTCGCAAGAAAGGAGATGAAAATCAATCTCACCTAGAGGCTGCAATTCCTTTCTTACACGCAATTGGCAGCAGGAACCTCATCTGGATGCCTAAATACCAGAGACCCAAGAAGTGTTTCAATCTTTATTAAAATGAATAGCTGCCCTTGCTCATGTGCTGACTATCTCCAAGATCTATGCTTGTGGGCCTGTATCATCTGGACTGGGACATGAAGAACACAGAGGATCTTATAGTCTTATAGCCTCATCTTCTTTTTTTCCTTTTGACTTTGGTTCTCAAAAAAGGGATTGTGCATATGTATTACTGGGGTCTTATTTCTCAGCTTAACTCTCCCTGCCAAGGGCTTTGTGCACATGTGCTACACTATACCATCCATCTGAGGTGTTATGTTAAAGATATGTAAAGATCTCTTGGGTCTGAATTAACATTCACAAAACCTGGGGGAAGTAATTAGTCTTGTCACTTTTTATTTGGCTATGCAATATGTGTAAGGGAAAAATATGGAGAAAAGACCTACCCAAATTCTGCCACATGCTGAACAGTTCATAAGCCATCATCACACGCATGTCCCCATACCTGGTAATAGAACACAGGAACCAGCTATTAGTGGGAGAAGGTTCAGGAAGATGGGGCTACAAACCCCAGGAGGCCAGTACTTCAGCACTGTTTCTAAAGCTTCCCAAAATACTAAGTTTTTTGGCTCTCAACTGAATTCTTATACTTGGCTCCTTGGGAGGCTACCTCAGTGAGAACCATGTGGACTTCTTAAGAAGCCCCTTATGGAAACATAACCCCATCTGGGCACATGGTAGGAAGATGAATAAGAGACATATGGCTTACTTATCTAGAATCTTCTTCCTCTTGGTGGAAGTAATGATTTCTAGCTGAAGGCTTGGCTGATTTATGAACAGAACTGCCAGGCTAAAATAAGAATTCCACACCTAGAGAGAGAGAGAGAAAGAGGAAATATGTGAAAGCCTGAGTCCTTAACCTTGCAAGGAGAGATTATAAATATATGCATGTAGCACAGAATTCATTTTACAGTGTTAAGATCTTGATTTTTAAAAAAATATCTTTGCAAACAGGACTTTTCCACCCCTTTCTTGACTTCCCTGAAACCAGTAGTGTTGATTCTGGACTAGAAAACAAACTCATGGATGTCTGGCTCCCAACACCTCCAGCAGGGGTCTTCTAGGTCATACTCTAATTACCAGCAAGCTTGGAAACTGTTTGATACTATGAACATATTAAGAAAGCCCCCAGCCACCTAGCAGACACCTAGCTGAATCCTTCTCAAATTCCTGACCTGCAAACTTGTGAGCAAAATAAAATGGTTGTTTTAAGTAAAACAAAAAGAAAACAGTGAGCTTGGTTTCTGGCTTTCTAGGGTTATTACAAAGACAGTGATGGATTTTAGGAGCTCCTACCTTAAAGTCGAAGTCTGTCTCTGTGAAATTCTTGTGCAGTGCAGAAGACAGGTACTGGACTGTAGTGACTATAATACTGCAGTAAGGGAACAAGGTGTTGGCAGAGTTAAAAGACTAACGATGGCATCCTATAGCTTAGCATCAACGGTCTATGGCCCATGTGCAAACTTCTTGAGTACAACTAGCTCTCATGTAAGATGTGACTTTAAAAGAGAGAGAGAGATGGCACAAACCCCACAAAAAACCCATCTTGGAGAAATGCCCCACCAGTTGGTTCTAGACCTATTAGCTCTGCCATTACCTGGCCTTGGTACTACTTCTCTCTGGGCCCCAGTTTCCCTGCCATATAAAAGGAGGGGAGTGAGGTTTAATGGTTCTTCAAGGTTTCTTCCAGTTCAAAGAGTGATTCTAGTATTTTGGGGACCTTGCATAATGAACATATATTATGACCACCAGAGGACTTAGAGTAGCATTCTATTATTTTACTTGATAATAGGGGTTTATAGTTATTAAACCTCTACTTTTATCGTATACTATTATTTTCATGTATAAGTCATTTGATTTCAACCTTTGATCTAGAATATCACTTTCAATTTTCACCTGGGCACATTTAAGGGGCAACGGGAGGCTGATTTGCTAGAACCAAGGGCACAGGTCAAGGGAGGGAGAAAGTGAGGTGGGACAGGCAGGTAAGGGTTTGATTACAGAGGGTGTGGATGCCTGGCAAAGGAGCTTACATCCGAAGCCTTGGTGCAGAAGAGGGGCAAGGCAAAAACAGTGCATTAGAGAGACTAGTCACCAGCAAACAAATTTGAAAAGTAAAAGCTTTGAAAGAAGAGGCTGCTCCTGCAGAATGGGCTGGAGAGCCTGAAGTGCCCTGACTAGAGAGAAACAAGGGGGGGGTCAAATGGAAAATCCACTATTTAAGGAAATATCTGTGCAACTCTGTTTAAAACCCTTCTTCTGTTCTGTATAAAATATTTGCAGTTTTGAAAAAAGAAAAAAGAGTGCTATAAAAGGTACAAAGTAGAAAGACCATGCTGACACCTTGGTAATATATCTAACATAAATAATTTCACCACACTGCATAAGGTCAACATAAAAGGCAGATCAGAGGGAGCAGGCAGTAGACTAGAGAGTGGAGGCCAAGTGGCCTTCTCCCACAAGCACCTTACCACCCACACTACTTGTCTGGTTTGTCTGTTAGAAGCACAGCGTAGAAATATGAATGGGGCAGACAATTTGGGGTCAGCCTTAGAGTGAATTCTGTGGCCAGCGTTAGAAGTGGTCAGAGAGAGCCTCACAGCCAGGTCTCAGGTGGGTAATTAGCACTTGTTGTGGGAGGCAAGCAGTGTCTGGCAGACAACACAGATCAAATCAAGAGGAGGCCTTGGGATACTGCCTGAAACTACAGAGCAACAGAGGCCAATGAACAGGCCCTCCTCAAGGAGGAACGCTTCTCTGGGTATTATATTTCTCATTCTTAAAAGTTCCTTTTCTATCTTTACCATGACATCGTCTGCCAGGCACTTAGATTCCAGTTTTAAACTATCTTTGACTATTCCTTCTCCGTGAACTTTGGTAAATGGCCAAGTCCTACTGATTGTGCCTCCAAACATTTTCACATTTGCCCTCTCCTCTCTGTCCCCATGGCTTTGACCTTGATTTCTGATTTGCTTTTTCTCTCACACATATACACACTCTCCTTAGCCTGGGAACAGTTCTGTGGATGCTAGTGCAGGGCCCTTCCACACTCACTTGCTTGTGAGAAGTCTCATCACCATCCAGTCCCGAGGAAAGACACTCATCTTCATCAGGTTCCGGAACACACAGAAAATCTTCAGCAGAAATTCCTGGTCCAAGAGGAAAATCTGATGTGAGACACCACACCTCTACCACTGCAGCATACATTTCCTCAACAGGGCTCTCCAGACCTCTAGACCATGAGAACGTATGGGACCAGTAGGTGAGACTCTGGTTCCCTTTGTGAGCTGCTTTTCTCTTAGAGGGCTGCATGAGAGTGAGGTCTGGGCACTCTCACAGGCCAGTCCCAAACTGGGTAGAAGAGATGCACTATACCCACTCAGCCCAGTGCCTAATGACCAAAGCACAGGGGGTCCAGCAGAAATGGTATCCACCAGAGTCCCTCGTTCTCAATCTTTGGGGCATGACCCTGAGCACTTGACTGTAAGAACTTGCTTTCCTGGAGTTAAGAACTCATTGACAAGAGAAGCACTTTAGGGATAGCAGAGTAAGTACCTCCAAAAATGTGCTCCTCCATGAAAGCAATGAGAACAGTCACAAAGACTGGTTAATGAAAGGTTTGCAACAACAAGAAGTGTTATTTAAGAAAAATGGTTGAATCTCAGTAGGAAAAGTGAGCTTTATTGTGTTTTAACTTTCCCCATTCCCATCCCCTCTCTCTCCCTATCTTCAGGGTATCCTTGAAAACAGGCAGCTGTAGAACCATAGTAGTAGTAAAACCCAGCACCCTAGCAGTCACTAGAAGGGACAAAATGGTTTTGGAGCTCCCCAAAAAGTGCCATCCCAAGAGAATTGTTACTGTTTGATCTGTTTGGCAGCAACCTGGGAAAGCCCCATTCAGAGGGCTTAACTGACTGGATTCAGAGTTCACTAACTGAGAAAAGCCTTATCCCTAGTGCAGCTGTTGAGAACATCATCCATAATAATTTAACATCCCAGCTGCATGAAGCAATTATATTAATTGGGACAAACAAGAGAGTGGCCAAAACACTTAAAAGAAAAATCTGGTAATGAGACATACACCTGGGGCTTTGAAAAGCTCTGACATATTCCTAGGAATCGAGAAGGCCACATATGTGTGCAGGGCTGTACACATCTCCAGAAAAGACCTAAGAAGCCTAATCTGTCACCTCTGGCTGACTTTGAGGCTCTATGCAAGCAAGAAGTGAAGGCTAAGGCAGCAACGTAAACTGCTGAAGCACTGAAGGTGAGCCGCAACCCCACACAGAGACACTTAATGAAGTGGAAGACTCATTGATTTAAGGTGTTTAAGGAAATCTCTATCTAGTTATTAGCTTATCATTAAGCTAACTGAATGAAAACTTCAGGGGCTGCACACAACAAAAAATGCAGACATTAAAGAATTAGTCCAGGAAAGTCACTAAACAAACAAATATCAACAACAAAAATGAAACAACAAACCCTGGGGATGTGGGCAGGGGGAAGGGAATCTGATTACCAGACTTGCTACATTATTTAAATTGTCCAGTTTTCAACAAAGAAATTATAAGATGTGATATGAAACAGGAAATTATGGAAACATACATAAGACAGATATAAAACAAATAGCAAAATGGCAGGTGTAAATCCTCTTACTGGTAATTACAACAAATGTAAATGGGTTAAGCATTCCAATCAAAAGGCAGAGACAGGAAGAATGGATTAAAAAATGAACATGATTCAATTATATGTTATCTACAAGATACACAAATACTTTAGATTCAAAGACACAAATATATTGAATGTAAAAGGATAGACAAATATATACAATGAAAATAGTACCCAAAAGAAAACTGGTGTGGCTATGTTAACATCAAACAATATAGACTTTAACAAAAATTGTTAATAGAGATTAAAAAGAACATTTTATAGTGATAAAGGAGTCAGTTGATATGGAAGACATAAACATAAATGCACTTAAAAGAGAGCCTCAAAATACAGGAAGCAAAACCTAACAAAACTGAAAGGAAAAACAGACAATTCAACAATGACAGTTGGAGACTTTAATGTACCATTTTCAATAATGTATAGAACAACTAAATAGAAGATCATCAAGGAAAAAGAAATCTTGAATGGGACTTCCCTGGTGGTCCAGTGGTTAAGAATCTGCCTTCCAATGCAGGGGATGTGAGTTCAATCCCTGGTCAGGGAACTAAGATCTCACATGCTATGGGGCAACTAAGCCCGCGTGCTCTAGAGCCCATGCACCACGACTAGAAAGCCTGAGCACTGCAACTACTGAGCCCGTGTGCTCTGGAGCCCGCGTGCCACAACTAGAGAGCCTGTGTGCTGCAACTATTGAGCCCACATGCTATACAGCCTGTGCATTGCAACTATAGAGAAGTCCGCATGCCACAATGAAAGATCCTGCATGCTGCAACTAAGATCCTGCGTGTCACAACTAAAACTTGACATAGCCAAATAAATAAATAAATATTTAAAAAGAAATCTTGAACAATACTATATACTAACTAGACCTAACTGACATCTATACAACACTCCATCCAACAATAGCAGAATACACACATTCTTCTCAAATGCACACAGAAGGACATGTGCATTCTCTTCTTTAGGGCAGAACATGTTAGGCCATAAAGAAAGCCTCACTAAATTTAAAAGAACTGAAATCACACACAGCATGCTCTCCAACCATCATGAAAGGGAGTTAGAAATCAATAAGGAAAGAAGGAATCAAGAAGGAAATATAGGAAATTTTTTTAAAATGTGGAATGAAACAGTACACTCCCAAATAACCAATGCACCAAAGAAGAAACCACAAGGAAATTAGGAACAGCTTGACATGAATAAAAGGGAAAACATATCGGGCTTCCCTGGTGGCGCAGTGGTTGAGAGTCCGCCTGCCGATGCAGGGGACACGGGTTCGTGTCCCGGTCCGGGAAGATCCCACGTGCCGCGGAGCAGCTGGGCCCATGAGCCATGGCCTCTGGGCCTGCGTGTCCAGAGCCTGTGCTCTGCAACGGGAGAGGCCACAGCAGTGAGAGGCCCGTGTACAGCCAAAAAAAAAGGGAAAACATATCAAATCAAAACTTAAGGGATGAAAAAAACAAAACTTAAGGGATGAAGCTAAAGATTATAGCTGTAGTGCCTATATTAAAAAGAAGAAAGATCCCAAATCAATAACCTACATTACACCTTAAGAAACTAGAAAAAGAAGAACAAACTAAAGTAAGCAGAAGGAAGGGAAAAATAAAAATTAGAACAGAAATAAATGAAATAGAGAAGAGGAAAATAGAGGAGAAAATGAAACCAAAAGCTGGTTCTTTGAAAAGATAACAAAATTGACAAACTTTTAGCTAGTCTGACCAAGAAAAAAAAGGAGAGAGAAGACTCAAATTACTAAAATTAAGGATAGGACTTTCCTGGTGGCGCAGTGGTTAAGAATCCACCTGCCAATGCAGGGGACATGGGTTCGAACCCTGGTCCGGGAAGATCCCACATGCCGCGGAGCAACTAAGCCTGTGCACCACAACTACTGAACCTACACTCTAGAGCCTGCAAAACACAACTACTGAGCCCGCATGCTGCAATTACTGAAGCCTGCACCCCTAGAGCCCATGCTCTGCAACAAAGAGAAGCCACTGCAATGAGAAGCCTGCGCACCACAATGAAGAGTAGCCCCTGCTTGCCATAACTAGAAAAAGCCCGCTTGCAGCAATGAAGACCCAATGCAGCCAATAAATTAATTAAAAATAACTAACTAAATAAATAAAAATTAGGGATGAAAGAAGGGATATCATTACTAATGTTACAGAACTAGAAAGGTTTATAAGGGACTACTATGGACCAAATGCATGCCAACAAATTATATAATCTAGATGAAATGGACAAATTCTTAGAAAGACACAAACTACTAAAATTCATTTAAAGAAGAAACAGAAAACCTGAGTAGACCTATCATAAATGAAGAGATCAAATTAATAATTGAAAAGCTTCACACAAAGAAAAGCAGAGGACCAGATGGCTTCACTGGTGAATTCTACCAAATGTTTAAGTTAGAATTAATACCAATACTTGTCTTTTTAATTATATCCACTTTGAAAGTGAAGCAGTATCTTACTGTGGTTTTGATCTGCATTTCTCTAATGACTAATGATGCTGAACATCTTTTCAACTGTGTACTGACCATTTACATATATTCTTTGGGGACATGTCTATTAAAATCCTTGGCTCATTATTAAATTGGGTTATTTGTCTTTTTATTGTTGAGTTGTAAGAGTTCTTTATATAATAGATACAAGTCTTTTATTAGAGTCATGCTTTGCCAATATTTTCTTTCATTTGTGGGTTGTCTTTAACTTTCTTGATGGTGTCCTTTGAAATATACAAGTTTTTAATTTTGGTAAAGTCTAACTTACCTATTTTATCTTTTGTTGTTCCTACTTTTGGTGTCAAATCTCAGAAACCACAGCTAAACCCAAGGATTTAAAGATATACTCCTATGTTCCCTTCTAAGAGTTTTACAGTTTAGCTTTTACAAACAGGTCTACAATCCCTTCTGAGTTAATTTTTTATATGGTGTGAAGCAGGGGTACAATTTCATTCTTCTGCATGTAGGTATCAAGTTGTCCCAGCACAATTTGTTGAAAAGACTCTTCTTTCCTCATTGAAACTGTCTTGGCACCATTATTGAATGTCAAGTGACTGTAAATATAAAGGTTTATTTCTGGACTCTCAATCCAATTCCACTGTTATCTGTCTAACTTTAGGCCAGTACCAATCTTGATTACTGTTATTTTGTTGTAAGTTTTGAAACTGGGAAGTATGAATCCTCCAATTTTGTTTTCTTTTTCAAGACCATTTGGCTATTCTGAGTTCCTCACATTTCCATATGAATTATAGATCAGATTATCACTCTCTGCAAAAATACAGCTGGAACATTGATAGGTCTTGTGAAGCCTGTTTCATGAGCAATCTACAAATCATCTGTTGAGTTCATAAGAAAGGGAAGAGTCCTGGTTTGCTGACAACCAGTGTGGCCCAGAGTAGCCTCTCATAGAGGCACATGGTCACAGGGCTGCTATCAGTCAGGGAAAACTTGCCAATGTTACTGGGGTCTGGATCTATGGGAATATAACTGGCTTTCAGCTTCTGGAAGCCATGCAGTCAGATGTAAAGTGAGGCTGGTACATCTTATACCTTGGCAACACTGGCCACTTGCACTCATCCTCTGGCAGGGGAAAGACTCCTGGGCAGTCTTAGCTGCATGCTTCCTTTCCCGGGTGAAAGATCAATGTTTTTCTGCCTACCTTGAGCTCATCTTTGCTCTGGAAGTTGTCCAGGAGGTGCTGGTAATGGGTGTCACACATCTGGCGGAGCAATGAGAGAAGGCAGGACACATACTCGCCCTGGGGACCAACCCAAAAAACACTTAGTAAAGCCAATGACAAGAGCTGTGTTCTCCCAATCCACAGAGGGCAAGGAGAGAAGGAAGGGTCTGAGATGGCCCCAATGATCATGAAAGGGAAGGTGACAACTCTGGCCCTGAAAATGAATTTTCTTTTCAGCTAAGGGGGGCCTGAAGGGTTGGGAGTTGTAATAAGACCTCTGCAGCATGGGGCTAACTGAAAAACCTTAACCTATAACAAAGAAGTACTGCCAAGTAAGACAGATATTCTAGCTTTTTTCCTAGGAAAGTTTTGGCTTCATGGTCCTTTGTCATTATATGTTGCCAGGGTACCATACAGAAGTCTGGAGGGGCTACTGGGAACAGGGCTCTCAGCCTTCTCTGGACAGAATCTGGACTCCACCTATCCTGCTGGGCTGGAGAAGCCCTTCTACAAGGATCTCCTTGGGGACCTCCCAGAGCTTACATGTGATTACTGGACCAGGCAGATGGAACATAGTAGATCAACATAACTCTCTGGAAAGCAGAAGAGTCAAAACTGAACTTTATGAGAAGATGAGCTAATGGCTTTAAGTAAAAATTTAAAGATAAAAAAATGAGTCTTTAAAATTTCTTCAAGTTCCAACTGGGGTACATGGATGAAAACCCCACCTTAAGGACTCCAAAGACTCATCTCATAGAAATTTTTGGCACAGGGCAGCTGAGCATGGCTTCCTCTTACAAGGTTGCCTCCTTAGAAGGGATAGAGGAAAAATTACTTCATTTGGGCAGTTTTCAAATGTTTTTAAACTCATGGGAATTTGACAACAGTTTTTTAGTCTCTCAGATCCTTTTTAGACTCATGAAATTATTATACATACATGTATTTAAAATATATACAGGTACATGAACCTCAGCTTTATCTGAAAAAATGGACATAAGCCATAATTTATAGATTTGTTGTGAGGATCAGATGCATTAATGTACATAAAGCATTTAAGTAAACAGTTCACTACATAAAGCCGTGCTCAATAAATTGTTGCTATCATCTTCATTAAATCCATATAAAATAGATCACTTCTTTAGTATTGCTAATGAGTTAATATTTGTAGAGTGCATAAAGCAGAATCTGGCCCACAGCCAGCACTGTGTCATTGCTGGTTAGAAGGATGGGCTGCCAGGACATGGCAGGGTGTGTATGTTTTTACCTATAGTGAGGGTGTCCTGAATAGGGGTTCCTAAGAGAGATATTCCTTCCAAGCCCAATGCTCCAGAACTCATGTCTGCTCTTTGCTCTCCCTAACATGCTGGAGCTTGGCTTGCTCCCATAGAAGGTTTTCTACAAAGGGATCATTGTAATCTTCCACCTGCCAACTAGAAGATTCCAAGCAATCTGTTTATCATGTTCCAACATCAGGGCTAAGAAGTCCACTCTGTATAGGGGTGGGGGTTCTGGGGGGTGTGTCTCTTTGCCACACCTGAGAAGCTTTCCCAGTCTGTTTCTCTTCTAATTCGATCATAGGATATCATTGTTCAGTAATGCCAGTCCAATTCTACCTCATCACATTTTTCCTGATGCTAGACATTTAGATACAAACACTATGGACAAAAGCGACTAATTTGTAGGTACAAGCAAATTGTGAGAAAATAACTGTCATGCACGTCATTTACAAGAGCTTGCTCCTAAAAGGAATAGTCTATACTTTTCACCTTCAACCTCTTACTATGTCTCTGCTTTATTCCACATTATAGAAAATGACTTGGCTCAAATGCAAAGGCCAATGGAGGTGGTATGCAGGAAAACAGGACAGGAAGCATCACTGGATCTGCCCCTAAGTAGACTCCTGTGAGTATGAACCTAGAGCTTTCAGAGCGGAGATGGAGTACGACTTGAGAAGGAAAAAGGGCAGCATGCTGACAACCAGGCAGGAAGGGAAGCTGAGATGAAGGTGGTGTGATGGTGAGATGAGGTTTGGTGTGGAGGAACCCCAGGTTAGAAAAGAAAGCAAGAAAACCTGAATGTTAGTTACTAACAGTGATCTCCGCTGTGCACTGCGGGCACCGCTGCCCTCTTACCGCCTCCTGAGCGTGCGATTTGCTCATGATGGTGAGCAGAGTCTGTAAGAGCACGTCCAAGAGGCTCTCCACCATCATTTCTACCTCCTCCATAACATCTGCCTCCTGGAGTGAGCAGCGAGAGAGCACACAGTTAGTGCCAGACCTGCTGACGTGCAGCTGGCAGTACTTACTAAGTCAGCCACATCAGGAGTGGTCTTCTGACTTAATTCTCAACACTGAGCTCCTGGCCTCACTGGTATGCAGTGTCAAGGAACCTGGAACAATGGCTCTGAAAGGAGGTGAGGCACACCTGCCGCTGTTGCGCTGGTTTGGTGGCTGGGGCCTTACCCTAACGCAGCACCACCCTGACACCCACAGTTCTGAACCTCAGACAAATACATTAATTTCAATATACAGGGCAGAAGTGAAGGTTCTAAGTTAAATGTTTTCTTTGATTTTCCTACAAAAGTCAGGAGGAAGCACAGCACTGCTGACTAACATTTTGAGAAAATGGTAAAGAATTCACACCAGGGGGTGTGGTGGCAGCACCTTTACTACTGCGAATGCACACAGAAGTATCTCAGTCTTTCTGAGAAACATTTTCTCCTTGAGTGACCTCAATTTTTGCCAGGCCTGACTGCTGCCCAGATATGCCACTTCTAGCTCCTTGGAATTCTTGCTCACGTTCCCTGATCCACCAGAAGGACTCTGGTCTCAGTGCATCTTTTTCAGGCAGCCTCACAAAAACAACGGAGCACGCCTCCTCACTAAGGGCTGCTCCCCAGTCAACAGGTTCTGAATTTAGGCAGAGTCTGTGCTATCTTTTTATAGACCTCTCACATGCAATCTTAAACCCTATAACTTGATTTTCATTATCTCACAAAGATATTCCCATTGCCTCTTCTCCAGTCTCTTTATATTATTACTGGTCCAAATGTCCATCCATCCATCAACCCACCATTCAGTAAGTATTTACCATGTGCCAGTCACTGTTTGAGAACTGAGTATACAGAAGTGAACAAGAAAGGTAATATCTCTGCTTTCATGGAGCTTAAATTTCACCCACCCTCCATCCATTCAATATAGTTACACTGAGCCCCATTCCACATGAAAAATTTGAGCAGCTCTTGGGACCAAAGTCTTCTTTCTCATTTGCTGAACTGATCATAACACTCTTAAAACCTGTGATGGCTCTTTGAGTAGCTGTAAGCAACTAATTGCACTTGACTCTCTAGCCCCACAAACACAACCAGATCATCTTCAGGTTTTTACCTGTTCCCATTCCTCTGCCATTCCTCCCCTACCCTTTCTTTTCCCCTTCAATTTCTGTCTTTCCTTTAGCAGTAAGCCTCCCATCCCAAGTCTGACCCTGGGTTACCACTACACCTTATGTGCCTGATGTTGCTTCTCTGAGGCCTGATGGGAAAGAGAGCTGCTAGGCGTTGTCTGGAGCCAAGATCAAACAAAAGGGCCACTACAACCATCACAGTCACTCTGCCAAGCTGGGCCCCCACCACCAGATGGTACTTTAAGTCTGGATACCAGAGCCCCCTATTGAGTCCTTGTATCCTATTCAAACCAAGCACACTCTTTCTTTTCAGCACCTCTCCTGCTCTATCTTCCTGGATAACTTAACCTCCTATGTTCCTATCACTTGGCTACTGGCATTCATTTTAAATGCACTTGAAATTTTATTCTCCAAAAACCTTATCTCAACTTAATAAGACGGCATAATTAAAACTCATTCTTGTTTTAAGTTTCTTTATATTTTCCTATAGTTTCCAAATTTTCTGAAAGAAATATGCATTTCTTCCATTATCATAAATATATAAAATAAATATAATTAAAATAAATTCCCACCCTTATTCATGCCTGATACGTTTTCCCTCCTTTCCTATCTCCCTTCCCTACCACAGATCTCTTCTAAAAAATAAAAATAAAGAAGAAAGAAAATAGGCAAAAGCACTACTAGTTGAAACCTGACCCCTAAAGTACAACTCTACCATCCCATGAGGCTCAGAACTCTTGTGGACAACATTTATCTCTCGTACACCCTGCTCTCATCTGGCATGGTATAGGAATGCCATATGGGTGGAATCAAGCTGCGAGGAAGCTGCCAGAAAAGTCTGAATGAGCAAGCTGCCTCTCAGCCTGGGCCTGCCTCCCTGTGCTTGTGTGTGAGTATCCTTAGAACACTCCCAGGAATACAGAAGTAATACCTTTTGACAGAAATAGAGCATGCACAGGATTGGGCTTTTTGGTACTATAGATAACTATGCTTCTGGGTGTATTTATGGCAGTACAATTTTTTAACATAGCAAGACTGCTGTGTTGAGAAGCCTGCTGGGCACACACAGGGAGGCCTCCATTCACTTGGGCACCCCCATCACTGATGAAAGCTTCTCTGACTGGGAAGTGTACAGAGTTATCTTTGTTGGTCTGCCTCTGGCTAAAGTAACACAAGAGAGGGACAGAGCTTTGGGTGGGGAGTGGAGTGGGTCTAGGGCCACTACCAGAGAGCTGGTCTTGACGATGGAGAAGATGCTGCCAAGAATCCCTGAGCAGATTAGCAGCTCTTTCTGCTGCCTCAGGTGAAGGTGAATATGATGGAGAACCACAGGAAGCAGGATGCGACGGGATTCTGAGAGAGAAAACACAAAGGTGAAGAAGCCCTTCAGAGGAGAACCAGCTACCTTTGGAAGCAAGTGGCAATGTGGGATGCAGCTGGTCTCAAAGTAGGTGGGGCTGAGACTGGAGCCAAGCTGGAAATCACCCCCTTCCCTTATGTGGGTCTAACAGCCCACTTCCTGGACATTTTAAGACATTGCACAGCATTATCCTTCTATCTATCGTTCCTTCTTTCTCATTTCAGGCCTAAATATCTAGGGCATGTTATTCAGGATAATGTTAGGAGGCTGCTTCCAAATGAGATCTCTTTACTGACTAGACTCCAAATTAAAAGCACAGATTACAGTGAAAACCCCATTTAAGTGACACAGTTCTATGAACTACAATGATTTTTTTTAAAATAAATAAATCTGTTTATTTTTGGCTGTGTTGGGTCTTCGTCGCTGCGTGCAGGCTTTCTCTAGTTGCAACGAGCAGGGGCTACTCTTCATTGTGGTGCACGGGCTTCTCATTGCGGTGGCTTCTCTTGTTGCAGAGCATGGGCTCTAGGCACACAGGCTTCAGTAGCTGTGGCACATGGGCTCAGTAGTTGTGGTTCGTGGGCTCTAGAGTGCAGGCTCAGTAGTTGTGGAGCACGGGCTTAGTTGCTCCGCGGCATGCGGGATCTTCCCAGACCAGGGCTCGAACCCGTGTCCCCTGCACTGGCGGGCGGATTCTTAACCACTGTATCACCAGGGAAGCCCTGAACTACACTGATTGAACTTGCAGACTTGGTATGGATTATAAATGGTCCCTCTTCACAATGCCCTGGATGGCGGCCTGGCACTTGCACCCCCATAAGTTACGCATTTTGCGTCAGCCATCAGGCCTGCCTCCTTTTCCCCTCAGGCTTGTGGGATGCTACATGTATCCACAGCAATGAAAGGAATAGAAGCAGGACTTTAATCTTGTCATAAGCCTGCAATAATCAGCTAAACATCATTGTCAATCCTACTGCATACATTAAAATGTTTTTCTTTTCTTTTTTCTTCAATGCTACCTGAATAATATTTTCATCAGGGGGTGACTATATTTAGAACTCCAAATTCAAGAAGGCTAAATCCTAAATCAAGCTCTTTTATTAATTCACTCTAAGATTTTAGGCAGGTTGACTCCTCCTGTGGGCTTAATTTCCCCGATCTATGACTTCACAGGTGTGGTGAGAAGGTGAAATACAAGTGGGAACATGTTTCTGGTATCTTGCACTCCAATGTAGTCAATGACTGTGTGATAAAAGTACCACGACACCTGGGCAGCATGATTCAGTCAGACTACCAGTAACACAAACAAGCCAAGGCATTTGGGATTTATTATTCATATTTGACCATAATTAAGTATTCCAGATGAAATTCAGAATGAAAATCTTTTTCAGCAAAAGACAAACTACATGACATACAAGAGGTTTTGGGGACTGCCTTGTCAAATACTTAGAATATGTTCAAAAAAATGGAATGACAGCTATTCTATGTTTAAAAGGATGCTTGGATAAAAGAGAAGTTCATACTGTATTTTGTAGACCAAAATACCAACAGAGCAAGATTTGTAACAACCAACAGCTGCCTGCAGACAAAATAGTAGTTTTTTATTGGAACCTGCTAATGAAGAAACCAAACTGATATGCTCTGAGGATATGTGTTGGTTAATGACACCACTGGTAAAAGTCTTCCTGCTTCAGGGAAGATGCTTCAACTCAGGCATTCAATGAAAGTGAGATGCAAGTGAAAATTTGGTGGTGGCTTATTATCTCAATATCCAATTACATAGTTCCAGCCAGATAAGAACAATTTTTCTTAAGTGATTATGGGAAGCAGCAAGTACATGCAAAAGTATTAGAAATAACGTATGTCAATGAGGGCAGTCTGCTGTCCGCCTTCCCATATATTCAGAAAGCATCCGCTTTAAGCAGTGCTCAAAGCTTGAGTGTATGCAGTGGCTTCAATGAAAGTACGTCCAAACCATTGATTTTATCTTCAATCCAAGAACTGATGAAGAGAAAAGTGTTTACCATAAAAAGTTACAGGTGGAGAAAATCTGAATTTCTTGGTGGCAGCTTTACCATCAGCAATACTTTACACAGGTAGAGTTAAGTTAAAGAGAGTATTTATTTAGTACTGCAAATGTGTGTAGCTCTGGGCTGAGAAATTATTGTTCTTATACTTTAAAAGTCAAACTTAAAAAATTTTACTACCAAAAAATTCTAATTAGAAAAATTCTAATAATAATTGCTTTACTAGCATTTCAGATTTATTCCTGTGCCCTAGAAATTTATTCCACAATAGTGATATTCTGTTTAAAGGATCAGGCTCACATTGATCTTAACATCTGACTATTGAGTACTTGATCACATTCAATGTGGTTTCAGGTATGAATCCGGGGGTTCCTTCTAAAAGACAGTCTGGCCTGCTGATGGTATTTGTTAGGCTGTCCTGACCTCTTTTGGAGTGTGGAGGGCTCCCTCTCCATCACTTTGTCTAATCTTTAGAAGCTCCTTCAGAGAGAGGAAAAGGAATCTATCTGACTGGTGAGGACAGGAACCAAGGAAGTATAGTGGGTCCTCAGGGCCCCCCTTTCAGGGTCTCTTTTATTTCCTTGACTTATCCTATCCCCTTGGGCTAGACCTTTCTCTCTTGTTCCCCTTCCTTTCCTTCTGCTTTTTCATCCTGCTGGGGCTATGGCAGGCCGCATTCTTGGCAGCCAGCTAGACTTGTGGGCCTGGAGGCAGGCCACCCCATGTGGGTCCCTAGGAATAAATTGTGAGTAAGGCAGTAGGCCTAGGTTCTGGCTGCATTCTCTAACAGAGTTTACCAAAAACTCTGCATTTGAAGGGCCACTGGCGTCTTGCATGATGGCTGATGAAACTGATCCTTTGCTTCCCACTTGGCCAACACCCTGATAAGGGAGAAAGGTGAGTGTGACTCTCATCCCAACTTGATTTACCTGAGAAAGAAAATAGGCGGCTATCCACAGTTCTGGCAATGGACTGCAGCTTGACCACATCCATTGACTGCCCAATGTGCACAGTGCTGGGCATGCTCCCCAGAGTCCCTCTCACAAACTCTGCTACCTCCTGCACAGTGAACATTTGCAGCAGCTCATCAAAGATCGTTGGGAAGGAATTGAGAAGTGCAGCCTGCAGAAGCAAGTGAAGGTCTGGTTAGCTCAGAGTTAGGTATGCATCTATCTTGCATGCTTAGACAATGATACATGGTGATGAGAGGTTGAGAAGTCTTTGCAGCACCCCTGCCTCGAATGTGCTCCTCCCTGGCCTTGGACTCCACCCTGCAGAACTCTTAGGGCATGCAGCAGGAAGAACCAAAAAGGAAACCAAAACAAGAGAATTTACTGGGGCTCAGGCCGCTTGAAGCTTTCAGAACTTGCCAAGGCATTTGCTGGCAAGAGAAGGGAATATATACAGAAATTAACTCTAGGGCTTAACATCTATAGCTGTTTTTGCTCATAAAATGGATTTAAATTTTTGTCTGTCTCTACAATCAAGCTCTTGATTTTCCAGTTTCAGTCCCAAATTCAAGCCAGGAAGCACTCAAAGAACGTAGGCAAAGATAACTGAGCACCATCAACAGCACTAGGTGAACTCCATTCACAGTCCTTCAGCTAGCAATCCAGCTCTGAAAACTGGACCATTTCCCCAGAATAATGTCATTTATTTGAAACCATGAAATCTAAAGACTTTGTAAATTAGTTCCTTCACGTGTGATGCCTGGCAGTTTCAAGTGTAAATCCAAAAGGATGGAGAATGTGTGGATTTAGTCAGCCATGAACTCTTGAGGACTGCTGATAATGCTGGCATAGAGTTCAGAGACCTAGATGGCCTGGACAAGTGGAGTATGTGTGTGTTTGGAGAATTCTCTCCTAGGATCTTAGCTCTGGCAGACTCATATGGTAACCTCTTGAGAACTGATTCTCAATATTCTCTTGAGAATCTGAGCCTTTGGGAGGCAGAATAGTTTAGGAGAAAGAGAATGGGTTTTGGAATTGGACAGACATGAGTTTAAATCCCAGCGTTACCACTTATCTGCCACATAACCTTGGGTGAGTTACTACCTAATTCTCACTTTTCTCATCTATAAAATGGGGATGATGCTATTACTTATCTCCTCGTATTGGTATGAGGAAAAAGTTTAGATGCATAAAATTAATTTCCAGTAGACTGCTTGGCACACAATAGGCCTTCAATAAATGCTGGCTCTTGTTCATTTCTCTTGTCTAAATGGAAGCAGCATGAAGGAGGCTCTTCGTACTTCTCAGTCCTCTTACACTATTAAGCCAAGATTTACAAAGGGAAATGGAGTGTCACCTTGAGACGAGGTGAGAGTGCGCTCTTCCTAAGTGACAGTTTGGGGGGCAGGGTGGGGAGCTGTTTTTCCTGATTGCTTCAACAGGCAGTAAGACACTGGCCTAGAGTGAGTGAAAATTTATGACCTGGGGAAATGGGTCTGGCATACTGCAGTTTATGTTCAGGCCAGGACCAAGGACTGAACTTTTATGAATTCTATCTGCAGATTTATAACTCCCTGGGATATCAAGGAGATCATTTTGCAGTAATTAGAACCAGCACAAAAACTATCATCATAAGCAACTAGATACAAAAGACAAAGGGGGAAAAGCAGGTATTTCTTTTTTTTTCCTTTCCTTTTGGCTGCGCTGTGTGGCTTGCAGGATCTTAGTTCCCCAACCAGGGATTGAACCTGGGGCCACAGCAGTGAAAGTGCCGAGTCCTAACCACTGGACTGCTAGGAAATTCCCAGAAAAGCAGGTATTTCATAATCAACAACAAACAGTAGCTGATTTGCTCTCTTAAATGGTGAAATTTCCTATACTTATGGCATCGGAACAGAAGTACACTTGCACCATAACATCTCCTAGTGGTCAGAATCAAAGATATAAAGTCTGACTGAAGAGCATACTTGCTGAAAGTTCTGAAACTGTGAAACATGAGCCTGGCACCAAAGAAGCAGGTCTGATTCTGATTCAGGTCTAAGATAAGACTACATCTAAGCTATTTATCCTGATGTGATAGGAACATGCCATTGAGTACAGGGCACTGCTGAGTTCTCAGAAAGTGTATCTGGCTTGCTCTGCTAGCTCCCCATATTTCCACATGCTGAGCGAGGAGTAGGTGTCCTGGGCCCTGGTTGGCAGGAACAGATAGGCTGGGGGAGAGGAAGGAAGGAGAAAGATGACTGGCTTGGGGTGTTCAGGAGGGGAGACCATGGAAGGAGACTTTCTTATAGAGATACCTGGTGACCTTGATGTATTCCACTCTTTTATAGAGGCTATCCCCCAGTTGCTCACCTGTTCTCTGGGCCAAGGGGCTTATGCGCAACTGGCATCAAGGGGCAACATAGAAGCAAGTGGAAAACAAAAAAAGCAGACTATTCTAATCTTAAACGAGATATTTAAACATACATTTGCTCTGACAGACCTGGCAGTGACTGAATGAATGGACATGAGAAAGGCTGTCTGGTCTTTGCTCATAGGTTTTGATGTAATAATTGGCTTCAAAAAGATCAAAGAAGTGAAATTCATTAGATAAAATTCTGACATTTATTTATAAGCAAAAATAACCCCTTTGTGACTGGGGTAATGAACAATATCCGTGATCCCTTCTAGGGTAAGGTTGCATGTAAAAGGTGACTGATTAGCTGGACAGACATTTTTAATATAAGGAAGCAACTTGCTTCCCACACTGGTATTGCTAATGGAATCTAATCCTAATTCTTAGCCAAAGTTTTCTAGTTATTTCTGCTGTTTTTCAACCTATTTCATTTTTAACTGCTAGGATGGACCAATACTAACCTGAGGTTTTTAAAATTAATACAGTGGCTAGGAAATAAAATTCTCTATACATTCTGAATATCCTCTATAAATAAGATGTTCATGAACAACTAATAGCATGGTAGCTAAATAAATTTGGTCTAAAGAGGGCAAAGTTGTGCTTCTTCTCCACCATAAAGCCACTAGGCTGTCTTATATTTGGAAGCTGGGGCATAGCTGGCTTTGAAGTAAAAGCAGCATTTTATTCTATTAGGTATTTCCTTATAACTCATCCCTTAGCCAAAACATAGGAGCTTGGCTGGGCTTCTTTGACTCTGGAAGCCAGAGGACAAAGAAACCACCTGCTAAGACAGACAAGAATCCAGCAGCAAAACTTTGCTGTAGCTCACAGACCTGAGTGAAAAGGAGTGTTTCTGAGTTTCTGCTGTCCAAACTGAGCACAAACCGGATGGACTGGAAAAGTTCTTGGATGCTGGACCGGAATTGCTCCTCTTCCATCCCACAGGTGGCACGTGAGTAGAGGATCCTTGACTGCACGATAAACTTGAAAAGGTACTCCAAGGCCTGGAGGTGTAGGAGAAAAAGGGATAGAGAGGTGTTAAAGATGTCCAGGAACTAACATATGAGGGAATGAAGGGTGGAGTACCAGAAAATTATACACCAAGATTGGGAGGTGGACAATTCCAACTATGGAGACAAGTAGTTTAATTTTTAAAAAGTTTTTATTGGCGTAGAGTTGATTTACAATGTTGTGTTAGTTTCTGGTGTACAGCAAAGTGAATCAGTTATACATATACATATATCCACTCTGTTTTAGGTTCTTTTCCTGTATAGGTCATTACAGAGTGTTCAATAGAATTCCCTGTGCTATATAGCAGGTTATTACTAATCTACTTTATATTTAGTAGTGAAGTACTTTAATTTTTTAAACCTTTTCTCAAAACTCCAATGGTCACTGAGCAGCAACTGTCTATGTACTGAGAGAATCATCAAATTATTTCATGCAGTTATGGAAGTGTATAACCACAGACTGTTATGGAAGCAGTTGAATTCAAGACCATATAGGATCAAAAGAAAATTAAATTTCTCTCAGCTTTCTCAGGTCTGGAAATAAAAGGCTACAAAGGCAATGATATAAGAACCTCTCTTAAATTTATTCCAAGAAGGAAGAGTCCTTTAAAGAGTCTTCTGCATCTTCAAGAAACAGCTGGCCCCTGACACGGTGCCAGCCTTCTCACCACGGGTCAAGTCTGAAGAACTTGTCCCTAGTTGCACAGGAGCTGGGGGACCTAACCCACCCATTTTCCATCCTCTTCCAGACCAGGACACCTGCCATCAATAGTTCATGAACAATACAGAAGACAAAGCTCCCATAACACGTTTTGGGAGCAGAATCTGATTCTGAGGAGTCCCTGCAGCTTGGCCCATGCTTATGAGCTGAATAATTCTCTTTTAAGAGAATTCAAGATCCAAGACTATACTTTCTAATCAAAGAAAGGCTAATGATTTCCCAGACACTGGAAAGGCAGAGACATTGAAAACTGAGGAGAAACTTATCCAAGGATGAAATATGGAGCTCAGTTACTTGAACTATGTAACAGGAAACAATTCCCAAGCTACTTTCATGATCTATTCATCTGTCAGGTTTAGCAAAGCAAAACTCTATGTGTGTGTGTGTGTGTGTGTGTGTGTGTGTGTGTGTGTGTCTATGTGTGTGTGTTTATGTGCTCCACACTGAACTCAGTTGGTACTGGAAAACGGCTAGTTCAGAAAAATGTGTGTTCCAAGGCCTGCACCAGAGGATTCTGCAGAATAAGTTATAGTGTTTGGCCTCATCTCCATAAATGCTACAGTCTCTGTTTCAGTAGCCTTTTAATGCCTGGTCTACAAATAACCTGGAAATTTAATGCCTGGTCTGTAAAGAACCTGGAAAGTCTCTGCTAAATTTAAAAAGGAAACTGTTTTTTTTCTCATTTTGAAACAACTACCACAAGAGATGTACTGAGTGGCTTAAAACATCCACTAGTTTCAGAGTGAGAGGCAGAACCAGAGAGCAATTGCACTTCCTGGGTATGAGAGATCAGTTCCTCCATTAAGTCCTAAAATATAAAACACGTTGCAGAGGAGTCCAAGGCTGTTGTCGAAGACAGCCTGTGAAAACCTGCATGAGGGCAAGGAAAACAAGCTCACTTCTAGTCATCCATCATTATCTGACTTCCCCTTTCCCAACTCCTCTTGATTTTTACCATCAGCACCAGCTGATGGCCAGGACCAGGTGAAGTTGGCCACCTGTGACAGATGCAACTGGGTAAAGAGAGGAGAGCAGAAGAGTGGGATAAAAGGTGAGGGTGGATCCTATGGAAGTTGTTTGAAGTTTACAGGTGTTCCCAACCCTGTGTGGAGACAATGGAACACTTTACGGCTGAAGCAGCTTCTCTGTCTTTTTCTACTTAAGTTAATAAACCTGAAGGGAAAAGAGATCCTAAAAGTTATTACAACCTTTCCGTCACTAAGGAGATCATTGTGCTTTCTCTTTCCTGGCTCCCTGGTAAGAACCTGATGCAGCTCAGCAGTGAAAAGTATGCTGCCTTTTTGGAACGCCCTGCCAAAAGCCATCCTCAGACCCACCAAGGATACCCCCTCGTAAGTCATTCACACAGGAATAATGTAACCAAGTAAGAAAATAAAAGACTCTTTATTTTCATCTTTAGTGGCATAACTTTGGAAGGTCATGACTCTAAAGGGAAAGGAAGAGATGATGTATAAGTAGCAAGATGTATTGAATCAAGAGCAATAAAGAAGAGGAGGTTTCCTGGTCCACAGATTATGATACTGGAATAAGAAGTGCCAGGTCAGAAGCATATGCATTCTGTGAATAAGGATGAAATTAGGATCAGATAGAGACTTACACATTAGGTCAAGAGGACTTGTAAACTGAAATTTGATGAAGAAGTGGAAATGGCCTGATAAAACCGTTGGGCTAGATGCATTAGTATCAGATGCCACTCAAATACATTTGATATGGTAAGAACAAGTATGAAAGTACCCCCAGAAAAGTGCTCCCCCACAATGGAACTCTTCCTTTCCGCCCCAAACCTGATATTCTCCAGGAATTTTGTACCTCCATAGGTGACCCTGCCATCAACCCAGCTCGTCTAGCCAGACCCCTGGAACCAGCCTCAGGTCTTCCTTTCTGCCACCCTCACATCCAACCTAACATTTGAAAGCTTCTGCTTTGGTCACATCAGCCACTTTATGGTTGCTTGAAAACTCTAGCTCTTTCCCATCCAGGCTTTTAAACATTCTGTTTCCTCAGTCTGAAATGTGTGTCCCCCAGTTCTTAACACTGATTTCAGCTCAGGTCACCTCATCAGAGAAGCTTTCCCTAAACTCTTGATCTGAAGTAAATCCTCCTCTCCAGCCATTCCATCCCAAGATCCTGTTTATTTCCTTCATAGCATCATCACTTTTCTTTTCTCGCTTACTTTGTGTATTTATCTGTTTGACATGTTTATTATCTGCCTTTTCCCCACTTGAATGGAAGTGCTATGAAGGCCTAGCCTTTCTGCTTGGGCCCCTGCTGAATCCCCAGTGGTTAACACAGTGTCTGACATATGGCAGGTATCAAGCAATACTGACTGAATGAATGGCTGAATGAATGACTCTTAGGGGAAAACTTCTGAGACAGCATCTCCAGTAACCTTAAGCAATTAATTTATGAACTCACATAGAATCTTTTGCATTTAACTCAACTTGTATCCCCTCAAATACTACGCAGGGCACTTCACAGGTGCTGGGGTTCAGAGAAGAACAGAACCCAGTGCTTGCCCTCACATTACACTCAGAACCCTGCTCTGTACTTGTGTTTCAGCCTGATTCCCCTTAGGACAAAGGGGATGTGTTCTTCAAGGGGAGAGGTCAGTCTTACTCTTTGCATCTTAGCACCCATGACGTGCTGATTGCTCAGCTGACATGTATTGCGTGAAGAAAGACAGAAGTGAGACTTGTGGCCTTAGATTTTTAAAGAATGTGCACAGAAGAGGCAGGGAAAATATGGATTTATGATTTGATTTTGCCTCTTTAATCTGATGATGCTTGGGGGAACATCTGTTTTACCTGTTACCACGTGGACAAGAATAACAAAATCATAGGCCCAGAAGTACTTAGAGCAGATGATGGGATATTAAAAGAGGACAGAGAGAAAGCAGAACTACTTTGCTGCCATTCTTCTTTTATTACTAACTAGAAAGGATGGGAAAGACATGGTTAAAAAGCAACTAAAAAATGAGAGTAACTCAAGAACAAGAAAAGACAGGGACAAAAAAGAAAGAAAGCAAGCATGAACTTGCTTTAAATGAGTTCTCAGAGGATACGACAGTTTTCTTCAAACAGCTATATGGAGAACTGTTGAGCAAAAGAGGGATCAACATTCTCATAGGCTGTTCTCTACAGTAGAAGCAGTAGCCATGAAAAGAAGTTACCAGAAAGTATAGTTAACTAACAACGAGGACAGTCCCCTGTAAAGTGGAGCTGTCCAGCAATGCAAAGGGTGGCCTGGTCACGGTTTTTAGATTATCTTCTTCTCAACATATCTGCATACAGTGCATTCTTAAAACAGTTATAGAAAACAATGTTTAGTAACTACTGAAGAAGGGAAAAGTATTGGAAGATCTTATTTCTCATCAATGTTGCCACCAACACTGGCTTAGAAGGAGATATGATATTTTAGCCAGTGGAAGCAAAGACTGACATTGTTGGTAAAAACCAGGCAGGGAGGATGGCTCAGACCCACATGCACATCATCCCTCCCTCCTGCTTTAAGATAAAATTATGAGGAATAAAGACCTTTTAGGGCAAAATCAAAGTGAGGAAAGGGCAGTTATGTGGATCAAGGCAGTCATTCCTGAAAGCAGAGCAGTGTACTGGCTGTCTACACTTGTCCTGCACACTACTCCATTGAGGCTACTTGCAAAGTTCTGCAGGGGTGGGCCCTTTTTGTACAGCAAGCTCAGTACATTACCCTCATGGCTTCCTGAATGTGATCCTGCCGAATCAGTTCTGCTGAGCAGTCCATGTACCACTTCAAACAGCGGATTAGCTCCCTAGGAAAAAGAACAGTTTCAGAAACCCCACTTTTAATCCAAAAGCAATGCAGCCTAAAATATTTGCAGTCCTGAATTAGCCATACAGGAAATAATATACTGCTAATGAGCTAGAATAGAGTGATGGATCCAATACAGCTGTGGAATCTTTAGATCATCCAAGACCAGACAACACTCCCTGTCCAAAAAGAATTGCCACATTTCAATCAGCAATTATAATCATTCTTTCCCACTTTCCCTGACACACATTTTTTCTGATTACAAGAAAGTTTTCCCGAAGTCTGGGACTGGATGTGTGTTTTGTTTTGTTTTTTGTTTTGTTTAAAACTGCTAAGTCTCCCGAACATACAACAGACTCTGAATAAAGGTGTATAGTCCGGTGTGCCCCTCCTTGCCATCCCAATGATCTTATTTCCTTAGGACCAAGTCATCTGAGTGGAATGGGATTACAGGGTCAGAAGGCCTTCACGTTTACATGGCAAAAGAGTACACAGGGCAAGAGTGCAGGCCCTCGTCAGATAACAGTTTGCATCTTAGGCCTATCAGTTTCTAGCTTTGCATCCTTGGGCAAGTTATTTGGGTCCTCTGTCCTCATTCTTTTCATTTAAAATATAGAGGAAACAACAGTACATCTCAAAGTGTGAATTCTAATGAGATGACACATGTAAAGTACATAGTGCAGTGCCTGCTCTCCAAAGTGACATCAAAGTGTCAGAGTTCCAGTGATTCCACAGCCTCAGAACCCTTTGGTTTTGTTTTCTAAACTTGTGCTGGAACTACCCTGGTGGCGCAGTGGATAAGACTCCACGCTCCCAATGCAGGGCCTGGGTTCGATCCCTGGTCAGGGAACTAGATCCCATATACATGCCACAACTAAGGAGTCTATGTGCCGCAACTAAGGAGCCCGCCTGCTGCAACTAAGACCTGGTGCAACCAAATAAATAAATAAATATATATAAAAAAAACAACTTGTGCTCATTCCATAGAATAATATGGTGACTTTAAAAATTGCTTTAATGGTTTTAGATAAGCTGTGAGTGTTTCCCATGTTTATTATTCATATTATCTCTTTTATTGACTTTCTTTTCTTTGATATTTATTTGTCAGTACTATAGTTAGCTATTCACATGTTTCTCACTGAAAAAGCAAGACATATTTTCAGCAGCTCTGCCATCATTTCTTAGAAGGAAAAGTATGACAACTATGTAATAAACTCTAGTTTAAAACATCAGTGGAAAGCTAACATCTAACATCATACTCAATGGTAAAAGACTGAAATGTGTTCCTCTAAGATCAGAAACAAGGCAAGGATGCCTGCTTTTGCCACTTCTATTCAACATATTAGTAGTGAAAGAGCAATTGGGCAAGAAAAAGCAATAAAAGGCATCCAAATTGGGGCCTCCCTGGTGGCGCAGTGGTTGAGAGTCCGCCTGCCAGTGCAGGGGACACGGGTTCATGCCCCGGTCCGGGAGGATCCCACATGCCACAGAGCGGCTGGGCCCATGAGCCATGGCCGCTGAGCCTGTGCGTCTGGAGCCTGTGCTCCGCAACGGGAGAGGCCACAACAGTGAGAGGCCCACATATTGCCAAAAAAAAAAAAAAAAAGGTATCCGAATTGGAAAGGAAGAAGTAAAATTATCTTTGTAGCTAACATGATCTTGTATATAGAAAAATCTAAAGAATCCAAAAAAAAACCATGTTAGAACTAATAAATGAATTCAGCAACACTGCAACAAAATCAACATATATAAATCATTTGCTTTTCTATATACTAACAACGAACAATCAAAAAAGAAAATTAAGAAAACAATCCATTTACAGTAGCATCAAGAAAGAATAAAATACTTAGGAATAACGTTAACCAAGGGGGTGAAAGACTTATACTTTGAAAAGAAAATGTTGCTGAAAAAAAAAGAGAAAGAAATTAAAGAAGTTAATAATAAACGGAAAGACATCCACATTCATGGACTGGGAGACTTAATTTGGTTAAGATGTCAACACTATCCAAAGTGATCTACAAATTCAATGCAATCTCTATCAAAATCCCAATGACATTTTTTGCAGAAATAGAAAAATCCATCCTAAAGTTCATATGGAATCTCTAGGGACCCCAAACAGCCAAAACAATCTTGAAAAAGAAGAACAAAGTTAGAGGATGCACACTTCCTGATTTCAAACATCCTACAAAGCTACAAAGAGTAACTTTAACTTTGATTTGATTACATACATCAATAGAATAAAACAGCCCAGAAATAAACCCTCATGTATACGGTCAAATGATTTTCATCATTAAATGGGAAAAGGATATTCTTTTTCTACAAGTTGTATTGGAAAAACTAAACATCCACACACAAAAGAATAAAATTGGACTCTTATGTTGCACAATAAACAAAAATTAATTCAAAATTAATCAAATACCTAAATGTAAGAGCTAAAACTATAAAACTCTTATACAAAAACATAGGAGAAAAGTTTCACGACATTGGATTAAGCAATCATTTCTTGGATAAGACATCAAAACATAGGCAATGAAAGAAAAATTAGATAAATTAAACTATATCAAAATTGAAGACTTCTGTGCATCAAAAGACACAATCAACAGATTAAAAAGGCAATGGGAGAAAATATTTGCAAATCATATCCCTGAAATTGGGTTAATATCCAGAATTACAGCTCAGCAACAAACAACCAAACAACTTGATTCAAAAATAGGCAAAGGACTTATAGATTTTTCTCCAAAGAAGATATATAAATGGTCAATAAGCACATGAAGAGATGCTCAACATCACTAATCATTAGGGAAATGCAAATCAAAACCACAAGATACCATCTCATACCCATTAGAAAGGCTACTATTAAAAAAAAATACAAAAAAACCAGAAAGTAACAAGTATTGGCGAGAATGTGGAGATATTGGAACACTTGTGCATTACTGGTGGGAATGTAAAATGGTGCAGCTGCTGTGGAAAATAGTATGGTGGTTCCTCAAAAAATTAAAAATACGATTATCATATGACCTACCCATTCCATTTCTGGGTATATACCCAAAAGACTTGAAAGCAGGGTCTCTAAGAGATATTTGTATGCCCATGTTCATAGTAGCATTATTCACAATTGCTGAAAGGTGGATAAATATAGCCAAGTATTCATCAACAGATGAATGGATAAACAAAATGTGGTATATACAGTGGAACATTATTTAGAATAAAAGGAAGGAAATTCTGACACATGCTATGACATGGATAAGCACTGAGGACATTATGGTAAGTGAAATAAGCCAGTCACAAGCAGACAAATATTGTATGATTCAATTTATATGAGGTCCCAGATTAGCAAATCCATAGACAAAAAGTATAATGGTGATTACATGAGGGCTGGTGGTGGTGGGGGGAATGGGAAGTTATTGGTTAATGGGTACAGAGCTTCAGTTTTGCAAGATGAAAACAGTTCCGGAGATGAATGGTGGTGATGGTTGTACAAAAATGTAGATATACTTAATGCCACTGAGCTGTACACTTAAAAATGGTTAAGGGACTTCTCTGGTGGCCCAGTGGTTAAGAATCCACCTGCCAATGCAGGGGACATGGGTTCAGTCCCTGGTCTGGGAAGATCCCACATGCCGCAGAGCAACTAAGCCCGAGTGCCACAACTACTGAGCCTGCGTGCCTAGAGCCTGTGCTTCGCAATAAGAGAAGCCACCACAATGAGAAGCCGCACACCGCCACAGACAGTAGCCCCCACTCGCCACAGCTACAGAAAGCCCACGTGCAGCAATGAAGACCCAATGCAACCAAAAATAAATAAAATTGATTCTTTAAAAAAAAAGAAAAAAGAGAGGTTACCCTTATTAAAAATAAAATTGGTTAAGATGATACGTTTTATGCTATGTGTATTTTACCAGGGTTAAAAAATAAGTAAATTAAGTTTAAAAAAAAAAGGTCTGCTGAACGAATGTTGATGCCACTGAATTTTTTAAAAGCCCGTCTTTCTAGTCAAACACAAGTCCTAATGATGGTGCCAAATGCAACTTACTTGTATGCCAGGGCTCCAGCAAAGTGCTTCTGGATATATGTGTCCATTACAGGTCGGAAATGGAAATATTTGATGTCTCGGAGCAGGTTGATGATGAATACCTGGGAGAAATGGAGGGCAGCAGAATTCACTGGAGGCCTCAAACCTATCCCCAGCAGGAAACAACTCTTGATTCTTCAAGGAATGGCAAACTGCTACTGTTTTCTCCAGTGTTCCCAGTGAAGGTAGGATTTCCATTCTGTGTCTGTATTTCTGTCATATTTGTTCTATTCCTAACAACCCTGGCCTCCCATTCCAAACTTGGGACTCATTTGTCAATGCCAGTGTTACTCTGAGCTTCTCTCTTCACGAATGCTAGGTGGTTCAATATGGACCTAGGGAATGCAAAACAATACCTGTGTAGGTGGCATAAACACTAAGTTGTCTCAAAAAACTTGGAAAAGAGAGAGAGAAAAATATTGTCCTCTAAGCCAAACCAGCCTATGAAAGGCTGTACCCTTTGGAAATGGGGTTGGCTGGCCAGGGAAACAAGGAAGAAGAAAAGCCAGAGAAGCAAACTTTCCAAGTACCATTCTAACTCTTGCCTCTGCTCCTCATCTATCAGGTAGACTCAGAGTATCTGGTTCTTCTTGAACATACAGCCCTCCTGTAGGACTGGATATATTCAACAAAACGCACTGAACATCCAAATCACTGTCCTTTCACACTAAGCAACCTTCTGAGACTCTGGTTCCCAAAGCCCTGCATAGAGGGAGAGAGTGTGATGCTCCACCAGCATAAGTGAGTCTCTGCTTTTCCTGGTGGTTGTATCCTACTTTTGTAAGTGGAAAAACAGGCTGTCTTGTTTCCTATATTAGTCTCTGGGCCTTGTGTTGGTGTAGGTCACTATTTCAGGGGCTAGGAAACCCTGCAACAGTGGTGAGACTGAGTATCAAAACTATAAAGTTGAAGTCCAGATTTGATCTTGTAGGGCTCTGCCTGGTAGGGTGATAGTTGGTCTTCCTTGGGTGACACTCCTCAGTTCCTTTTCTACGTCTTGTGCTGACTCACTATAATAAATTGCTTTCCTTAGATTTTTAAAAAATATGACGGGAATAATTAATAAAAATGAGGAAGGGTGAGACTTACCAAAGACTGAAATACCAACAGGCCATATTTCTCTGTATTATCATCCAAAATCACAAACAGCGTATCTAAGATGTCCTGTAGAAACTGCAACAGCATAAAAATCAGAGGGCTCAGGTCTTCGGACCTTGGATACATGTTCAAACTTCCATACACCAATGAATTTATTTCCCAGTAAACAAAGTCAAAGATCTAATATCTATCTCAAACCACCACTTAAAAATAACCTAGTATCCCACCTCCGCCTAGCCAAGAAATCACTAGGTGGACTTGGGGGTGTTTGCTTACAGCCCAAAGAGCCCTAAGAGAGACTTAAAGAGGCTCTTCCTATTGGGTAAGTGATAAACTTATAAGGAAAGAGCAATTACCTAAAAAACGTAGGACATCCATGTAGAACAGTAACTTTGAAATAAAGACAATCTAAGTGATTCTTTTTTTAAAAAAAAAATTAATTAATTTATTTATCAGCTGCATTGGGTCTTCGTTGCTGTGTGCGGGCTTTCTCTAGTTGCAGTGAGTGGGGGCTACTCTTTTTTTTTTTTTTTTTTACATCTTTATTGGAGTATAATTGCTCTACAATGGTGTGTTAGTTTCTGCTTTATAACAAAGTGAATCAGTTATACATATACATATGTTCCCATATCTCTTCCCTCTTGCGTCTCCCTCCCTCCCACCCTCCCTATCCCACCCCTCCAGGCAGTCACAAAGCCCTGAGCTGATCTCCCTGTGCTATGCGGCTGCTTCCCACTAGCTATCTATTTTATGTTTGGTAGTGTATATATATCCATGCCACTCTCTCACTTTGTCACAGCTTACCCTTCCCCCTCCCCATATCCTCAAGTCCATTCTCTAGTAGGTCTGTGTCTTTATTCCTGTCTTACATCTAGGTTCTTCATGACATTGTTTTTTCTTAAATTCCATATATATGTGTTACCATACGGTATTTGTCTTTCCCATTCTGACTTACTTCACTCTGTATGACAGACTCTAGGTCCATCCACCTCATTACAAATAGCTCAATTTCATTTCTTTTTATGGCTGAGTAATATTCCATTGTATATATGTGCCACATCTTTTTTTAAAGTATTTATTTATTATTACATCTTTATTGAAGTATAAATGCTTTACAATGGTGTTAGTTTCTGCTTTATAACAAAGTGAATCAGTTATACATATACCTATGTTCTCATATCTCTTCCCTCTTGCATCTCCCTCCCTCCCACCCTCCCTATCCCACCCCTCCAGACAGCCACAAAGAACCGAGCCGGTTTCCCTGTGCCATGCGGCTGCTTCCCACTGGCTATCTACCTTACGTTTGTTAGTATATATATGTCCATGTCTCTCTCTCGCCCTAACACACCTCACCCTTCCCCCTCCCCATCTCCCTATATCCTCAAGTCCGTTCTCTAGTAGGTCTGTGTCTTTATTCCTGTCTTACCCCTATTCATGAAATTTTTTCCTTAAATTCCATATATATGTGTTAGCATACGGTATCTGTCTTTCTCTTTCTGACTTACTTCACTCTGTATCACAGCCTCTAGGTCTATCCACCTGATTACAAATAGCTCAATTTCGTTTCTGTTTATGGCTGAGTAATATTCCTTTGTATATATGTGCCACATCTTCTTTATCCATTCATCTGATGATGGACACTTAGGTTGTTTCCATCTCCGGGCTACTGTAAATAGAGCTGCAATGAACATTTTGATACATGACTCTTTCTGAATTATGGTTTTCTCAGAGTATATGCCCAGTAGTGGGATTGCTGGGTCACATGGTAGTTCTATTTGTAGTTTTTTAAGGAACCTCCATACTGTTCTCCATAGTGGCTGTACCAATTCACATTCCCACCAGCAGTGCAAGAGGGTTCCCTTTTCTACACGCTCTCCAGCATTTACTGTTTCTAGATTTTTTGATGGTGGCTATTCTGACTGGTGTGAGATGATATCTCATTGTAGTTTTGATTTGCATTTCTCTAATGATTAATGATGTTGAGCATTCTTTCATGTGTTTGTTGGCAGTCTGTATATCTTCTTTGGAGAAATGTCTATTTAGGTTTTCTGCCCATTTTTGGATTGGGTTGTTTGTTTTTTTGTTATTGAGCTATGCATGAGCTGCCTGTAAATTTTAGAGATTAATCCTTTGTCAGTTGATTCATTTGCAAATATTTTCTCCCATTCTGAGGGTTGTCTTTTGGTCTTGTTTATGGTTTCCTTTGCTGTGCAAAAGCTTTGAAGTTTCATTAGGTCCCATTTGTTTATTTTTGTTTTTATCTCCATTACTCTAGGAGATGGGTCAAGAAGGATCTTGCTGTGATTTATGTCATAGAGTGTTCTGCCTATGTTTTCCTCTAAGAGTTTGATAGTTTCTGGCCTTACATTTAGGTCTTTAATCCATTTTGAGCTTATTTTTGTGTATGGTGTTAGGGAGTGATCTAATCTCATACTTTTACATGTAGCTGTCCAGTTTTCCCAGCACCACTTATTGAAGAGGCTGTCCTTTCTCCACTGTATATTCCTGCCACCTTTATCAAAAGATAAGGTGACCATATATGCGTGGGTTTATCTCTGGGCTTTCTATCCTGTTCCACTGATCTATCTTTCTGTTTTTGTGCCAGTACTATACTGTCTTGATTACTGTAACTTTGTAGTATAGTCTGAAGTCAGGGAGCCTGATACCTTCAGCTCCGTTTTTTGTTCTCAAGATTGCTTTGGCTATTTGGGGTCTTTTGTGTTCCATACAAATTGTGAAACTTTTTGTTCTAGTTCTGTGAAAAATACCAGTTGTAGTTTGATAGGGATTGCACTGAATCTGTAGATTGCTTTGGGTAGTAGAGTCATTTTCACAATGTTGATTCTTCCAGTCCAAGAACATGGTATATCTCTCCATCTATTTGTATCATCTTTAATTTCTTTCATCAGTGTCTTATAATTTTCTGCATACAGGTCTTTTGTCTCCTTAGGTAGGTTTATTCCTAGATATTTTATTCTTTTTGTTGAAATGGTAAATGGGAGTATTTTCTTGATTTCACGTTCAGATTTTTTCATCATTAGTGTATAGAAATGCCAGAGATTTCTGTGCATTAATTTTGTATCCTGCTACTTTGCCAAATTCATTGATTAGCTCTAGTAGTTTTCTGGTAGCATTAGAATTCTCTCTATGTATAGTATCATGTCATCTGCAAACAGTGACAGCTTTACTTCTTCTTTTCCGATTTGGATTCCTTTTATTTCCTTTTCTTCTCTGATTGCTGTGGCTAAAACTTCCAAAACTATGTTGAATAAGAGTGGTGAGAGTGGGCAACCTTGTCTTGTTCCTGACCTTAGTGGAAATGCTTTCAGTTTTTCGCCATTGAGGATGATGTTGGCTGTGGGCTTGTCATATACGGCCTTTATTATATTGAGGAAAGTTCCCTCTACACCTACTTTCTGCAGGGTTTTTATCATAAATGGGTGTTGAATTTTGTCAAAAGCTTTCTCTGCATCTATTGAGATGATCATATGGTTTTTCTCCTTCAATTTGTTAATATGGTTAATCACATTGATAGATTTGCGTATATTGAAGAATCCTTGCATTCCTGGAATAAACCCCACTTGATCATGGTGTATGATCCTTTTAATGTGCTGCTGGATTCCGTTTGCTAGTATTTTGTTGAGGATTTTTGCATCTATGTTCTTCAGTGATATTGGCCTGTAGTTTTCTTTCTTTGTGACATACTTGTCTGGTTTTGGTATCAGGGTGCTGATGGCCTCGTAGAATGAGTTTGGGAGTGTTCCTCCCTCTGCTATATTTTGGAAGAGTTTGAGAAGAATAGGTGTTAGCTCTTCTCTAAATGTTTGATAGAATTCGCCTGTGAAGCCATCTGGTCCTGGGCTTTTGTTTGTTGGAAGATTTTTAATCACAGTTTCAATTTCAGTGTTTGTGATTGGTCTGTTCATATTTTCTATTTCTTCCTGATTCAGTCTTGGCAGTTTGTGCATTTCTAAGAATTTGTCCATTTCTTCCAGATTGTCCATTTTATTGGCATAGAGTTGCTTGTAGTAATCCCTCATGATTTTTTGTATTTCTGCAGTGTCAGTTGTTACTTCTTTTTCATTTCTAATTCTATTGATTTGAGTTTTCTCCCTTTTTTTCTTGATGAGTCTGGCTAATGGTTTATCTATTTTGTTTATCTTCTCAAAGAACCAGCTTTTAGTTTTATTGATCTTTGCTATTGTTTCCTTCATTTCTTTTTCATTTATTTCTGATCTGATTTTTATGATTTCTTTCCTTCTGCTAACTTTGGGGTTTTTTTGTTCTTTCTCTAATTGCTTTAGGTGCAAGGTTAGGTTGTTTATTCGAGATGTTTCCTGTTTCTTAAGGTAGGATTGTATTGCTATAAACTTCCCTCTTAGAACTGCTTTTGCTGCATCCCATAGGTTTTGGGTCGTTGTATCTCCATTGTCATTTGTTTCTAGGTATTTTTAAATTTCCTCTTTGGTTTCTTCAGTGATCACTTCGTTATTAAGTAGTGTAGTGTTTAGCCTCCATGTGTTTGTATTTTTTACAGATCTTTTCCTGTAATTGATATCTAAGTCTTATAGCGTTGTGGTCGGAAAAGGTACTTGATACAATTTCAATTTTCTTAAATTTACCAAGGCTTGATTTGTGATCCAAGATATGATCTATCCTGGAGAATGTTCCATGAGCACTTGAGAAAAATATGTATTCTGTTGTTTTTGGATGGAATGTCCTATAAATATCAATTAAGTCCATCTTGTTTAAGGTATCATTTAAAGCTTGTGTTTCCTTATTTATTTTCATTTTGGATGATCTGTCCATTGGTGAAAGTGGGGTGTTGAAGTGTCCTACTATGAATGTGTTACTGTCGATTTCCCCTTTTATGGCTGTTAGTATTTGCCGTAGGTATTGTGGTGCTCCTATGTGGGTGCATAAATCTTTACAATTGTTATATCTTCTTCTTGGATCGATCCCTTGATCATTAATGTAGTGTCCTTCTTTGTGTCTTCTAATAATCTTTATTTTAAAGTCTATTTTGTCTGATATGAGAATTGCTACTCCAGCTTTCTTTTGGTTTCCATTTGCACGGAGTATCTTTTTCCATCCCCTCAGTTTCAGTCTGTAAGCGTCTCTAGGTCTGAAGTGGGTCTCTTGTAGACAGCATATATATGGGTCTTGTTTTTGTATCCATTCAGCCAGTCTGTGTCTTTTGGTGGGAGCATTTAGTCCACTTAAATTTAAGGTAATTATCGACATGTATGTTCCTATTACTATTTTCTTAATTGTTTTGGGTTCGTTACTGTAGGTCTTTTCCTTCTCTTGTGCTTCTTGCCTAGAGAAGTTCCTTTAGCATTTGTTGTAAAGCTGGTTTGGTGGTGCTGAACTCTCTCAGCTTTTGCTTGTCTGTAAAGGTTTTAATTTCTCCATCAAATCTGAATGAGATCCTTGCTGGGTAGAGTAATCTTGGCTGCAGGTTTTTCTCCTTCATCACTTCAAATATGTCCTGGCACTCCCTTCTCGCTTGCAGAGTTTCTGCTGAAAGATCAGTGGTTAACCTTATGGGGATTCCCTTGTGTGTTATTTGTTGTTTTTCCCTTGCTGTTTTTAATATGTTTTCTTTGTATTTAGTTTTTGACAGTTTGATTAATATGTGTCTTGGCGTATTTCTCCTTGAATTTATCCTGTATGGGACTCTCTGTGCTTCCTGGACTTGATTAACGATTTCCTTTCCCATATTAGGGAAGTTTTCAACTATAATCTCTTCAAATATTTTCTCAGTCCCTTTCTTTTTCTCTTCTTCTTCTGGAACCCCTATAATTCGAATGTTGGTGCGTTTAATGTTGTCCCAGAGGTCTCTGAGACTGTCCTCAGTTCTTTTCATTCTTTTTTCTTTATTCTGCTCTGCAGTAGTTATTTCCACTATTTTATCTTCCAGGTCACTTATCCGTTCTTCTGCCTCATTTATTCTGCTATTGATCCCATCTAGAGTATTTTTCATTTCATTTATTGTGTTGTTCATCATTGTCTGTTTCATCTTTATTTCTTCTAGGTCCTTGTTAACTGCTTCTTGCATTTTGTCCATTCTATTTCCAAGATTTTGGATCATCTTTACTATCATTATTCTGAACTCTTTTTCAGGTAGACTGCCTATTTCCTCTTCATTTGTTAGGTCTGGTGGGTTTTTATCGTTGTTTTTGGTGTCTGTCCCCAGTGGCTAAGGTTGGTTCAGTGGGCTGTGTAGGCTTCCTGGTGGAGGGGACTAGTGCCTGTGTTCTGGTGGATGAGGCTGTATCTTGTCTTTCTGGTGGGCAGGTCCACATCTGGTGGTGTGTTCTGGGGTGTCTGTGGACTTATTATTATTTTAGGCAGCCTCTCTGCTAATGGGTGGGGTTGTGTTCCTGTCTTGCTAGTTGTTTGGCATAGGGTGTCCAGCACTATAGCTTGCTGGTCGTTGAGTGAAGCTGGGTGCCGGTGTTGAGATGGAGATCTCTGGGAGATATTCGCCGTTTGATAGTATGTGGAGCTGGGAGGTCTCTTGTGGACCAGTGTCCTGAAGTTGGCTCTCCCACCTCAGAGGCACAGCACTGACTCCTGGCTGCAGCACCAAGAGCCTTTCATCCACACGGCTGATGTAGATTCCTGTAGTTTCTCTCTCTTCCTCTTCTTTTTCTTACCCTTTCAAAAGAGACCGGTGTGTGTGGTGAGTCTGGCCTCCAGCCGCTGGGCCTGACGCTGACGCCCCCGCTCGCACTCCCGCTTCAGAGAAGGGGTGGCTACTCTTTGTTGCGGTGCGCGGGCTTCTCATTGCAGTGGCTTCTCCTGTTGTGGAGCAGAGGCTCTAGGCGTGTGGGCTTTAGTAGTTGTGGCTCATGGGCTCTAGAGCTCAGGCTCAGTAGTTGTGGCTCACGGGCTTAGTTGCTCCGTGGCATGTGGGATATTCCCGGACCAGAGCTCAAACCTGTGTCCCCTGCATTGGCAGGTGGATTCTTAATCACTGAGCCACCAGGAAAGTCCCAATCTAACTGATTCTGATGACAAATCCATTTTGAGAAAAAGGGCTTACTTTCCTGGGTCCCCCAAAATTTGATAGTCCCTTGTTCTCCTCTATGGCCTAACTCTGTAGAGGACATTTGGATGAGGCTGTGACAAGCTAGGCCTTAACTATAGAAACTATTCTTTGGTCTAGAAATTACTATTCCAGGAGAAGGGAGAATGCAGCTGATGAGGGCTGTCAAAGAGGGTAAAATATCTGGAAAAACCATTGTTTTTTGAGCATGTGCCTTTTTCTTTCTAAGATGCAAAAACCAAGAGACAGAATAATAAATACTCACGGATGCTCCCAGTCTTAAAAAATCAAATCTAATATTCTGTTGGTCAAAGTGCAATTTAATGATATAATGTTTACAACTTATTTCAAAACAATATAAGGTAGAAGGCATGGATGAGGAGTTTATGGGCAGGATTGACCATGGGCTGATGACAGTCAGGGGTAACTGATAGGATAGGTACATGTATGGTTATTTATTCTATTCTGTCAACTTTTTATGGTATGTTTGAAATCTTACAATAAAAAGTAAAAATTAATTAAAATGCTAGCATAATCTCTTTAATTCTCTCTGGCTGGCTTGAGACAAATACTGATGCTAAAACCAGAAATGCTGGTAGGATGTTCTTTTGTTGGGAATGTAACAACTCAGCCTTAAAAGGATCACAGACTTTTCTTAATACCTGGTCTGTTTTACTGGTTAAATTTTTCATATGTTTAGAAGGAAAAAAATGCCCTGAGTATAAGGGCATTTATCTTAAGTTTCAGAAACTAGTATTAGCTTGTTTGTATAAAGAGTTCTTTTAAAAATGTATGATACTCTGATCAATTGATTAACACAAAATTCATACAAGACTTCATAAAAATACAAAGCCATACACAGACTTTAAAATTATTCCTTGTTTGGAGACACCATGTTGTGTATTATTGAGTCAATGGAAGCTGTAAAATGAAAGTACAGACAGTGCAATGCTAATAGATTTGACACTTGCAATGATAAAGCCAAGAATGCTCACTGATAGACAAGTTGCCTTCTTGACATTTAATCTCTATCCTACATTCCATTGCCCTTGCTGATCACCAAAAGTACTTCCATTTTCCTCAGCTGAGTTCAGTCCATTGTGCAGAATCCACCTACTGGGCTTTCACCATCAGGAAGTGCCTGGGAGTTTTCTTGAGCTAAAGTCAGGTGGGCAAACACCTGGCTTCTACACACTGCGGAGAAGCCCTATGGAAAACAACTGGGGTCTGGTAGTGTTGCTGTCAGCCTGCTCAGGCCATTAGATAGGAAATGTCACAAAAGTACTTGAAAAAGCAATTGAGGAAGGGAGTAAGGAAGGGTCCCCTATTACGGACTCTAGTGAGAGACTGGGCAAAATCAACAGTTACAGTTAATGGAGGATATTCAGAGTTCCTGTAGATAATCAAGAGAGTAGAGCCAAGAAGACATCAGGCTGGATTTGTGGTAAAGGTTTACAAAGTAAGGGAAGAGAGAGGAAGGGAGAGAAGACCTAAAGGCATGTGGGCAGCAGCACACACTGGGATTGTTTCTGAGAGGGTGTTTTTATCACTGCCCTTTAATTACCAGTTTGCTTTCCATGAAGAAAAACAAGGCAGAAAATAGGGCTTAAAACTTAAAGGTAGTTTCTAAAAGGTAATAAACCTGATGTGATACCTACTTAAAAAAAAGAAGTTAAGAAAGAAAACTACCTTTATTTCTACTCACCTAATTATATACCTCGAGAAATGGTCTTAGAGGCTTACTGGCAGAAATCAAGGGGAAGTGAGGCCTTCTGCCCAGATTCTTGCTCAGGTAGCATGTGTGAATTGTGTGAAGCCATACCTTAACAATTTCCTCCCCACTGACATGCCGCAGCCGCCCTAGGATGTCCATGATCCGGTCTGGAAAGGCCTTCCACTTCAGCAGAGCAAGGAGGTCCACTAGGAAGCAAGCCCAAAAGACAATGAACCCTGGCTACGTCATGGACAAGCAAAGCCCAGACTCTCCCTGCCAAGGACAGGTGAGACCTAGAAGGACAGAAATAGCTACGAGCAGTATAACAGCCTCCGGAGTGCTGAGATTAAAGGCTAAAGACACATCTGTAAAGTCTGAATGTCACTCAGGAGCTGCTAAAACCATGGAAAATCTCATAGGCTGCTATTGCCGAATGATTTCTTCAATTTCATATGAAAATAATTCCCTCACTGTGGCATGAAAAAGCAATAATTTGTCTCTTTTAACATGTATCAGCAACATGGACCAGCAAGTGAGAACAGTGGAGGGCACCACGCTGCAGGCACCATCACCTACCATTCTGGGTGAGTTTGGTGGAGGAGAGCTGTGTGGAAATGAAGAAAGACTCTTTGGTACTGCGTTGGAAGATGAGGCTGGAGGGGATGTTAGGGCAGCCGTTATAGTCCTCTTTGCAGCAGGGCAGGCCCAGGTACAGAGCATGGTTGTTAAACGTGCTATTCTCATCACACTATAGGCAAAAGTAGAGAATACAGAATGTTTCTTGAACCATGCCACCTGTATAAAATCAGGTCCCAGGGAATTTCTGAGTTGATGTTTACTCTCATCTTCCTGAGGCTGGACCTTGGACCTCAGGTCCTCTTAGAAGAGTGCTTTCTAAGCACTTTAAAAGTGCTTTTCATTTCTTTCCCCAGAATGGCTCACATGCCTTTTAAAGAGAACATGGTGGGGCTCGTGGCCTCTACCTGGTATGCAGGCAACCTTGAGTGCCAGCTATGCTGTGACAGCTGACAGAACCCCAATCTCAAATGGCAGGTCTCCGAATGAACAAGCCAAGGCTATAAGAGCACAGAGGGGTTGGTAACAGATTTCCATGACTAGTGGAGTGGGAGGTGGAAAACAAAGGCCCTGCTGGCATTACTTATGGGAGGAAGCTCACCTCATTTAGAGACAAAAGACTGCCCACAGCTGTCCTGCTGTCTCAACCAGCGCATTACCCTGGATCGTCTGGCCCGCTCAGTGAAAACCACCTAACTGAGAACCATGTGTGAGAGTGGTCTCAGCAGGGTGAGAGACAGCCAGGCTCTGTACCTTGTACACATAGAGCTCGTGGATATCATCTGAGAGGGTGGTGCCGTCATCCCGCATCAGGGGTGAGAATGCAAAGCCAAAGAGTTTCTTTTCCCCTTTGTCCTTTGCTGCAAATCAGAGCCAAGCATTAGTTGTTTTGCCACACACTTTGCTTTTTAACAGCAATTCCCTTTTGGCTTATCACCGATACTCTTTACTTCTTTGTCCCTTACTTTGTTCATTAATTAGGTAGCAACCTGAGGGCAAGAATGATGAGAAATGTACTAGACTGAGTTTCCATTCATATCCCAAGGTACACAGGCAACCTAGACTCAAATAGAAACTAAATTGCTAGTCTTGATAAACCAGGGGCTCCTTAAGAAGGAGTTTAACACATACAAAGGAAACCCCCAAAGAGGACTGACACTGGCAATTATCCAGCATCCAGGTCAGACGCTACAACAGGACAATACCAGATCCCATGTTTCTGAATCACTGTCCAAAGGACAGCCTCTGATGATATCCCATCTCTAAGTACACAACTCCTAATTTTCTTCCCCCAATAGTAAGAACTCTCTTACTTCTGTTCCAGAGAGGAAAGAGTTATATTCATATCCTCAAAGGAATGTGGAGAGAAGTCTCACTCACTGGAACAGTGTCTGAACTCGAAGCGCAGGTGGGAGCCCCGGAACCGATCAATGGGGATGGGCAATTTGATAATTTCTCCCCAGCGAGGACTATTACTGTGGTAGAGGACGAAGGAGTGGTACAAACTCCTATTCGGCTCTCCTGAACCCAAGCTGATGCAATCCTGTAAGAGAGAAGCAAAGCAAGGTGCCATCTTCCTGGAGGGATCCCTTGGATTTCCATGTCACTAGGACATTTCATTTTCTCCTTTGTGCAGGTCTCATTTTCCCATCAGGCCAAATCTATAAGGTGACTTAAATTCAGTACTTTTGGAAACAACTGTCTAGATGATATAAGAAATGAGCAGTCACAATGCTCCTTGTTTTCCTTGCGGCAGAGGTAACCACACTCATTGCTTAATAAACTTGAGAGAAGCTGAGTGGTGCATCTGAATCACTAAGGTAGGCTCTTCATCCTCATTAAGAAAGGAAACAACGAATTCATAGAAGTCAACCGTATATGGCACTTTCCAGATCAGAAAAATAATTAAATAATAATAAAATTAAATTTAAAAAATTAAATAATTAATTAAATAATAATAAAGTGGAGCTTGTTTTCTAATCTTTGGCCTAATGCTGCACTGGCATTTTAGGTTGCCCATAGCTGACTGTCCTTGGATATAAACAAGGTAGATCAGATTTAACTTGACCCCAGTTCCCAAATATTGATGTGAAAATCCAGTCCCAGGCCCACCAGGAAGCTGTGGACAATACAATCAGGAGAAGCTCCTTGTTCACACAGGGTGGTGTGAACAGCTGACAGCTCTGCTGCCCTCAGCATTATTCATACAAACAATGAACATGCCTTAGTCCTTGAGGTGGGTTTTTAAAATGACACACAAATCATTGTTTCTACCACCATTTCAACATTACCCTCCATATCTTTCTAGGTTTGGGAGATGATTCTGACTAACTTTACCTTTTTCCTTCTGTAAAATATGGACGATCACTCCTGGTCTGCCTACCTCATAAGGCTGTTGTCAACACACAGAAGCAAGGTTTGTAAAAGAGTGATTTGCCTTCTACCAAGTGACATGCAAATAATGCCTTTTTATTTGCCAGGGACTTGACCAAGACTGACTGAGGGAAAAACTGACATAATGACAGTAGAAAAACAGCGCTCCAGGTCTTCTCTTTTAATGAAGAGTGACAGAGAATCCTTGTACTGCACTGGCTAGAAATCATCTTTTAGGGCCTGAGTCTGCTGTTCCTTGCCACATAACTTGGTAACAGCAAGTGGGTACCTAAGTTCCACCCTTTACTAAAGGGAAAATATAACTTTCCGTATTAGCTCAAGGAACAAAAAGCGTGGGACCTAATAACAGTTACCAAAACTAGGCAGCTCGATGCTAGACAGGTGGCTGAAAAAGTAACATGTAGGACAGAACTAGAGGGAATAGGTCTAAATTAGAACAGGAAGGATTCAGGTCAGACACTAGGAAGAATTTCTAAAAAGGCTGTATGACACTGCAAGTCATTATCAGAGCATACTGTAGAATTTCCTTGAAGAAAGGCTAAGGTGGAGAAGAATGCATATGGGGTGATTTGAGTTCAGCTCTTCCTGAAGAGGATGGGTCTCTGGACAAAGTCCACAAAAGCACTAAAATTATTACAGGATTAGCCTCCATTCCAAACTCACTGGCAAACTTTACCTTCAAGATTTCTCCATCTGCATAAAGCACATACATGGTCACTTCAATATTCTTCTGTACACTCTTT